AGTCCGAGTCGGCGGGGCGAGGGGGAACTTGGCGGTTCGCGGCAGGGGGAGCGGGGGGAGGGGCGGGCGCGGCAGGGGCCGGCGGAGGCGACGGCGAGCGCTGAGGAGATGGGGCCGAGGGGGCGGGAGGCGTCGGGCGGGGCGTGCTGGAGCCGAACGAGGGACGCTGGAAGCTCGAGGTAGGCTTGGCGACTGACATTAGCTGATGGGGACAACGACGGGGCTCACGGTTGGCACTGGCAGCGCGGCTGCGCTCCTCCTCCTCTTCCTGTTGCTTCTTGGCGAGGGCCTGGCGCTCAGACCAGGTAAGCTTCTGTCCGCTGGGCTTAGGCGCCGACGTCGTAGGCTTCGAGGCACCACCGGAGAACGCGGCCATGCGCTCCTTGAGGCTGGGGCCGGTGGAAGAGGGAGCATCATCGTCGTCATCGTCCTTGTTGCCGGCGGGGTTCCAGCGGTTGCTCAGCTTGCCGACACTGAGCTTGACAGGCTCGTAGTTGGTGCCAACCTTACCGATGCGGTCCTCGGCAGCAGGCTTGGGCGGCTCCTCAGCCTTGGGAGCCGGAGGCGACGGGGGAGGCGAAGGCGCCTTCGGAGCCGAAACAGTGGGACGCGGGGCGCTGGGCATGGGAGGAGGCTTCGAGGCCGTGGGGAGGGAGGGCTTCGACGCGGCAGGGACAGATGGCGTCGGGCGCGCAGCCGCGGGAGGGGGAGGGGGGCTGGAGGCAGATGTCGGCTGAGATGTCAGTTAGGGTGTCGTTGCGGCCGCGGTAGCTGCTCACCTTGCCTTGAGAACCGCCGAGGCCCTGGCTCGGACGATACGAAGCAGCGACCGGCTTGGGAGCGAAACCACCGGTAGCAGCGGCACCGGAAGCCTGCGTCGTGTACTTGGATCCCGAGCTCTCCTGGATACGCTTCATGATAAGGTCGGGGGTAACATCGAGCTGTCGTCAGTTGGAGCCTGGCGATTTACAACTCACGTCATTGCGCGCCTGGAGGACGATGTGGGCGCCCTTCAAGAACTTGTTTTGTACCTGGTCGAGGTTCGTGTCTTAATGGAGTCAGTCGGCTCACAAGTCGGAGCAACTCACGGAAGAGTCCCTTCTTGGACTCGGGGACACCCTCACCACACCAGGCGATGAGAACGAAGCGGTCGAGCTTGCGCTGCCTCGTTAGTTTACGGGGGCATACTCAACTTACCGCAGGGTCCTCCACACGAGCGAATCCATACTGGATACTGCAAGTCAGCGATAGGAGTTGCGATAGGGAAACTCACCGGCCATCCATGAACTCGTCGGACAGGTCGTCGAGGCCGGAGCCGGTGGCCTGAACCTTGAGCTCATTGCCGGACTGGTTGAAGATGGCCCAGTCGTAGTCGGCGGATGAGTTGATGACAGCCTCGTAGGTGGCTACGAGGTTTGGAGAGGAGAATGTGACCGACATTGTGTGCGGTCGTTATCGATGAACGATGTTGCGATGGTCAGTTAGGATAGGATGTTCTTGTCCTTGATCGAATGGCAGATGTGCACGGAGCGCAGTGTCGGCGCGCGTCAGCGTCACTGACTGCGTCACAGCCTCCACACAGCATCCAGCCATGGACCCTGAGGCCCTGGCACAATCTCACCGTATCGCCAGGTCCAGTCACGTGCGTTGCGGGGTCCCGCCTCACAATGCGCTTCTAGTCCCCGCCGTGAGTCTCCCAGGACGATAACACCCAACCCCCCCTTTATCACTCCCGTCGACAGCCTCGTTCCTTCCTCTTCCTCCCCCCCATCCCTTCTCCATTGTTCACCCTCGCCATCCAACATGGCGTCCCCAACCTCCTCTCACGATCTCCAGAGATCGTACAGCGAAGGTCACCCTCCCAACCCCCCTCACTCTCTTTCGTCTCCCCCAACCAACCTCCACCACCTCCCAGCACGTTCGTCACCACTCGCTCCCCCGTCCCGCAGGCTCTCGTCCCAGTCTATCAACCAATCGGGATCTCAGCTCTCCCATACCTCCAACGAGTCTCTAGCGCTCGTTCCGAGGGAGGCTCCCGGCAGCCTTATTCCGTCGCTGCCCAAGCCCAGAGCTCACCCTCTCGGACGTGCCCGACAGCTTCGAGCCGATGTCGATGGTGTTGTCAAGCGTCGCGCCGGTGGCGTCCTCGGAAGAGGGTAAGCTTCGAAGGCGCTATTCTTAGCTGACCATCCCAGCTTTGTTCTCAAGACCGACCACTATCCCAACGGCCGCGCTCTCGACCTTGACCTCAACGTCCAGGGAGCTCCGAACTTCCGAGCCCCTGACGAGGAGAGTTTAAACGTGTTTGGTGTCGCCCAGCCAACTGTCCCCGGACTCAAGTCTATTCTGACCGTGTTGTCCTGCCAGCCCAAGACCGTCGAGCTTGAGACCGACGGGCGGCGGAGAAGCAGCTTTGCAGTGACTCCAGAGGTTGAGGGCCAGTCTACCCTCTGGATCTCGACGAGAGAAGAGACACTGGTCTACATGTGAGACTTGCTTCGCGGATTGTCAGCTGACTTCAGTGCTGGCCGACCCTACGTGCTTCGTGACGCCAGTAGGCCATTCCAGACACTCGCTCTTAGCGATCGAGCCGACAACCTAGAAGACATCGAGAGGCGTTTGAAGCTAGACATCCTTGAGGAGTCGAAACGTTATGGTGGTCTCATTCTCTGTCACGACGAGGTCGGACCAGACACGCTCGTTCCTACTTGGGTCAGCGTGGATGAGAGCGTCATCCGGACCCCAAAGGAAGTGTTCAACGATGTTCAGAAGGCGGGCTGGCGAGTCGATTACAGTCGCATTCCCGTTGGCCCGGACAGACCGATCGAGGTGAGCTAGGGCTGTGACCGTATCTGACCGACAGGACAACTACCTCGATGCCTACGTGTCTCGTCTAAAGGATGTCGATCCTCTCACCACGTCCCTCGTTTTCAACTGCGGCATGGGCGTAGTTCGAAGTCAGTCATAGCTGATGCGTTGACTCTTGCTGAGCTAACTTCCAGCAACCTTCGCCATGGTCGCTGCACTTCTCCTGCGAAGAGCTCAGTACATTCGTCGAGGACTGGAGGACCCCTTCGGTTCTCTTGTTGCTGCCTCCGGTATCTCCACCGTAAGTAGCAACGTCTGAGCCAGCTGACCGCAGCCTTTACCGCTGTCTACTGCCAACGCTGTGAACCCGGAAATGCAAGCGACGCTGTTGCTCCAGCAGGCGACACAGCAGCAGGCCTTGAACAGGAGCTTGCTCAAGGTCACGCGGATGCTCGATGAGAGTCAGTTTCAATGAACGTTTCAGCAACTGACGCTCAGATCTCCCCTCCCGCCGATCCGCAGCAGCGATCGACCTCCTGTCGTCGCACCCGAACCTGCTGGAAAGTCTGCGCCGCGCTCACATGGGCAACTACAACATTGTCCTGTCGCTGCTGTCGGCGCTTGATCACGGACGTGAGACGAAGCGGCTCGTGGACGTGATTATCGACAACTGCGATGCCGTCGTAAACCTGCGCGAGAGCGTCATTGAGTACCGTATCAAGTACTCTGTCGCATCGCGCGAGTCGGAAAACTCGCAGCTGTATCTTGACAAGGCGATGCGTGCACTCGAGCAGTACTTCGACCTGATCGTCTTCGCCGCCTTCGTCGACAGCAAGGACGGCATGGCGTCCGGGGCCAAGTTCAGCGAGTGGCTGCGAGCCCGGCCTGAGATCTGGAAGTGAGCTAACTAGCTGGTTCTTCAAGCTGACATCACAGCCAGATCAAGATACTGCGTCGGCGCTGGGGTGACCGTCTGTTCGCGTTCGCGCCGGCAAATGACCTCAGCGTCATCTCACGCTCGCTTGACCTCGGCGACCGCCGCGAGCGGCGCTATGACCCGACCCTCGAGATCGAGGGTAAGGTGCTCGGCGACGAGTGGGCCGAGCATGTCGTCAAGAACCGTAGCGGCATCATGCTGCGTGCCTCGTGAGCTACGTTGCTAGCTGTCAAAGCTGACATCAGAACCCTGCTCAAGCGCGACCTGTGGATAGCGAACACGGCGCCTTCGAGCGATGGTATCCGCGGAGCCATTGGCTTCCGCCAAGTACAGGGCACCAGCATCTATGCAACTGGCCAGCCGACCGAGGACGCGATCACAAACATTCTGCATATTATCAAGGAGCGGCAGCCGGATATCTCGTCGGTTGTGTGGATCTGTCTCCGCGAGGAGCCTCTCGTCATGATCAATGGTGAGTTAATCCCCAGGCTCTTGCTCACTCCCAGGCGCGCCGTACTGCCTGCGTCGAGATGCAGCAGCGTTGCGCAACATGCGCGACTACACTGGTGTCGGCTCCAGCCGCCTCGAGCTCCTCGAGGAGCGTCTCAAGAGTGACGTGGTCGCCGAGCTGGCAGCTTTCGGTGGCTCGGTGCTCGTGCACACTGAAGATTCGGCCGGCCGCGTGGTGCCGCTTTGGGAGAAGGTGGAGAAACTCGACGTTGAGACGCTGCGGCAGGTCATGGACTCTGTGTCCGAACACACGTCCGACGTCAAGTTCACGTTCGAGCGCGTGCCAATTACATCGGAAAGCTCCCCGGACGTAAGCTTATTCGTTGCCTTCTCTAGCTGACACCAGTTCCACGACATCACCGAGCTGCTGGACGTGATGATGCGGATCGACATTGAGAAGACGGCTGTGATCCTGAACGACCAGCTTGGGCGCGGCCGTAGCTCGAACTGTGCCGCGATTGTGTTCCTGATCCAGCGGTGGCTGAAGAAGAACCGTCAGCAGCCGACAACGCCGCGTCGCACACAGTCGCGCAGCCGCATGTCGCAGCCTCCTTCTCGCGCGCCAGCCTCGCGCACGAGTTGGCAGATTATCAACTCGTGCCTGCGTGTCATCCGAAACGGGCTCGACGTCAAGGCCATTGTGGACGAGGCGATCGACAGGACCTCGTCGTCGTTCAACCTTCGCGATGCGATTGAGGACGCCCGTGACGCGGCGCAGCGCGCCAAGACGACCGAGCAGAGGCACCAAGCCGTGGACAGCGGCATGCACCACCTCTTGCGCTACTTCCACCTGATCGTGTTCCAAGCCTACCTGGACGACACGGTGCCCGACGACGAGACGGCGTACACCTTCGAGTCGTTCGTGAAGCACCGTCCCGTGTTCAAAACACTTGAGACGGAGCTGCTGCACGGCGGCATCAACTCGCTCACCCCGATTGAGAGGACGGAGCCCCTCCAGGGCCTCGCGCTCGAGGACGAGGTGCACTCGATCGTCGCGAACCGCGCCGGCGCGATTCTCAGCGCCCAGACGATCCTCAAGTCGGACTTCTTCCTAGGTCTCCAGAAACAGAGTCTGCCTGAGTGAGTACGGAGACGCGGGGCTGGACACAAGCCAGCTTCATCGCTACCGTTTTTAGCTAACCAACAGGCGCGTCGACGGCGCTGCAAACTACCGCCGCGTCCCTCTCCTGCTCGAGGACGGCCAACCGCAGCAGGGCGAGGAGCACTACGTCTATGGTACTGGGTGAGCTTACTTTATTTTGCCTCGGAGCTGACCCCAGAATGCCCTCGAGCGAAGGTCTGCGCAATGCACTCACGAAGATGGGTTGTGCACCCGACGGTCCGCGTCGCGTGCTCTGGACCTCTCTCCGCGAAGAGCCCGTGCTCTACATCATGGGCCGGCCGCATGTTCTGCGCCTGGTCGATCGGCCGCTGACCAACGTCGAGACGACTGGCGTGACTGCCGCTGTCGTGGAGAGGATGGAGGCGACGCTGAAGGAAGACGTGCTGAGGGAAATCCGCCAGAGCGGCGGTCGTATGCTCCTCCACGACGAGGTGGAGACCAAGCCGGGCGTCTATGAGGTCGTGCCGATCTGGGAGCAGGTCGGCGAGGACGACGTCATGACGCCCAGCGAGCTGTATGCCCGCGTCGAGAAGGAGGACTACCACGTCGACTACATGCGGATAGCCATTGTGAGTTTAGTTGAGCGAGCGGAGCGAGCAAGTCTCCACCTCCCCTGCATGCTTTCAGCATCGTCGGTCGAGGAGGACTGCAGTCGCTTGACTCCAGCTTCTCTGACCCTGAGTGACCAAGCTGACCCCAGACCGACGAGCAGGCCCCTCTCCCCGCGGCGCTGCAGCAGATCGTGCAGCGCGTCTCCCTCGGCCTAGGACAGGGCGACGACTTCGTGTTCAACTGTCAAATGGGCCGCGGACGCACCACGACGGGCATGATTGCGGCGAGTCTGACCGCGACCATTGCCGAGGAGGACATGTCGGATCCGGCGCTCTTTGAGGAGGACATGGATGGCGAGACGGACACGGATATGCCCGAGGAGGCGCAGTATTTGAATGGTGAGTGCCGTGTGGCGCGACCGGAGGGGCCGTGGAGATGAGGGCTAGGCGAAGGCAACGGAGTGAGGCAGCGGGGCAGGACCGTTCCGGTCTCCCGGTAGATCACAGGGAGGTCTGCGGAAGCCCGGACCATAGCTACGTGGGTGTGCAGAATTTAGCTAACGACCAGGCGAGTACAAGACGATTCTCCAGCTCGTCACGGTGCTGAGCCACGGCAAGCGGGCCAAGCGGCTTACAGACCGCGTCATTAATGCGATGGAGGGGGTACAGAATCTGCGTCGGGCAGTGTATGAGTGAGTCTTGCGCAACGCGAGCGTCGCGAGCGTCGCGACCGTCACCAGTCACTAGTCCCGCAAAGACAGGATGACCAGAGACTGGCCAAGCTACCCGTCCTCTCTTCAACACAGCTAACATCCCCCAGCTTCAAGCTCAAGGTCGCCGCGGCCGACCCGGGCAGTGCCAAGCACGCCCAGCTCCTGCACCAGGGCATCAACTACCTTTATCGCTATGGCGCGCTCATTGTGCTCGCCAACTTCCTGCTCGAGAGTAAGGAGAAGGGCGTGGCGTTGAAGGATGCCGATTTCCCGAGCTGGCTCGAGGCGAGAAGGGAGATTCGCAATGTGCTCAGCCGCAAGACGCTTGATTGATTCTTACTTCGATAGTCTTGCGTCTTGCTTGCTAAGGAGCGAGCGAGCGGGGGCCGATGGCGATGGCGATGGCGATGGGTGATAGTGAGATGAGAGGCTGCAAGGGAAGTCGATGTGAGTAGCAACAAGAGTTATCAGTAGACACCACCCTATAGTACAGTTGCTAGAATAGACGTGATGCAGCAAATACCAAGCTTGTACATTGGTCTACTCTGTCTTCTTACCCTGGTCCTTGTCCTTACCCCAGAACCATCCTCCGGAGGTACGCCTCGCCCCAGCCCCACTGGGCGCAGCGGGGGGCACAGAGGCACCTTCGGCCTCCTCACGCCGAATCTCAGCAAAGCCCGACAAGTTGGCCGTACTGCCGCCACTTCCGCTGCCTGAGGCCTCGTCGTCCGACTCGGGCTTCTTCTTATCCAGCGTGTACGGGTAGCCCAGGTTCGAGCCCGACGCCGAGGTGGATTCAGAGGGCACGTCGAAGCCGCGCGCCGAGCTTGAAGACGGCGCGCGGTTCACGGCCTGCTGCGCTTGCGAGGTGGCCGCTGACACGGTCGCGAGCGCGGCGGGCATGTACCTGTGCCTTGTCAGCTCAGGAGGGGTTGCGTGAAGCTTACCGGCTGGCCACTGATGAGAGGAAACCGTACGCCTGCTGCGCGGCGCCGGAGGCGGGGTCGGCGAGCGTCGGGGGTTGCGCGCCCGCGGCGGCCGCGAGGCCCTGCGCCTGCTGTTCGGAAAGCTGGGGTTAGCTACGTGCTGTTGAAAGAAGCTGGAGTGTTGCAATGCGCCGAGTCTCGTCTGGATCAAGACACCCAGAGACACCCAGAGACCAAGCCGCGAGACAACTCATATCGCATTGCGCCTGACGGCGCACTGCTTCTACTCACACCCATGGCCTTCCTTCCCGTGTCCCAAACCCATCCGATGGAGCCCTTGGCGCCCTCGCCCGCGCGCGCCTTCAGGTTGGCGAGGAAGGAGTCGATCTGCGGCTCGTGCTCCCAGGAGCGTGTGGTACACATAGTCGATCCCGCGGCCCGAGGCAAAGTAGGCGAAGACGGCGGTTTTGCAGAGCGTGTAGAAGGGGAGCCTGGGGTTAGCGGTGAGCTGCGAGGCGACAATGAGGCGAGGTGAACGCGAGGGATATCGAGCAGGTGTCCGCTGGCGACGGGCAGCGAGCCAGCTGTAGACTGGGAAGCGCCGACTCTGGCTTTCCGGGACAGCAACGGATCCTCCGGCATGGCTCGCCGCTAGTCTCGTAGGTCATGGGGCAAGGCAAGACGCTCACGTCACGCTCTCCCCGTACCCCCACCCTTACTTCTGCCGATCACCTCGCGGCCCCTCTCGGGGCTCTCGAGGCTCTTGAGCGCCGCAGCGGCCCTTGGCGTACGGCCAAGAGCCTCGTGAGACTCACCAAGTAAGCAGCCGGCCCACGGCTCCCTCGACGCCGGCCCAGACGCCCACGACAGCCCAGTACATGAGCCAGCGCTCGACCTCGGCGTCGCTGCCGCTCAAACCCGAGAGAGCGCCGGCTGCAGCGGTCGCGGCGCCGCTTGTACCCGCTGTGCGGCGGGGGCGGGTCTGCAGAGCCTTGTACGACGCATAGGCCGGATAGAGGAAGGTGATTGTCAGACTGGGATTAGCTGGCAATAGGGTTTCGGTAGCGAGGATGAGGAGGATGATGGGCGGCGGCGTGACAGGTGCCTTGGGCCTGCCGCTGAGCGGGACGGATGTCGATGACGGTGTCGAGGATACAGAGGATCTCGGCGCCGAGTGCTCCTCCTCGATGACCGAGAGACGCTTCCCCCTCCGCATGAGACGCTCGGCGTCTCTTCCTCATCGCTCGGTGGTGGTGAGAAAACTCACTAAAGAAGATAAGTCGGTAGCATGGTGCTTCTATGCTGCCGTGCTGCTGGGGATGTACGTCGTCGAAGAGTGTATCGAGATCTAAGTGGTCGTCGTCGTGGTGTGTTCCGATGTGCGGTGTGGTGTGGTGAGTGCAGTGCAGAAGGGAGTGTTGTCAATAGCAGTGCAATGTACACAAGCCCCCTAAAGTCGTAGTACTGAGGAGGACGTCACCGTTTCTACAGTGGTGGCCGCCGGTCCCTTGAGGGTTCGTTTTCCCTGGGTGGCAACAACATAGGACCAGCCTGTCGTGGGATTCTCATTCCGATCTGCAGGCTGCGGCTGCGTCCTACTATCTGCTTCCGTCAAGTTCATAACTTCCACTCTCGTCCCTACATTCTTAGACCTATCGACCTCTTCCCATGCCAAAGTCATGCTAGCGCCCAGCTTGATGTCTAGCGTGTACAGTTGCCCCAGCCCCTCGGCCCCTCGGTCAGCCCCACGTCTCTCTCATGTCTGCGATGTCTGCGATGTCTGCGACAGGGGCCAAACCAAGAGCGCGACGGGAGATGACGGGAGAGATGTCGGATAAATCAACATCACAGGTCGTCGGCTCTCGGTCTTCTCCTACGCTTGAACATGGGCTCCACAGTCACTTAGTCACTCCCGTGTAACATTGCCCCATCGGTCTATCGAGTACACTTTGTCATGTGACTGTGCCATCTGTGACGGGCGGGTGGTGGATGGAGTCCCGGAGTGCCGGACCGCAGCACGCTGAGGCGCAGAGGTGCAGAGGTGCAGAGGTGCAGAGGTGCAGAGGTGACACTGAGTGACAACAACGCCAGCATCAGCGTCTCAGTGGACGTCGATCAGTGTACTGAGATCTCGCTCGGCATGTCTCGTGGCATGTCTTTCCACTCAAGAGGGTAGCACTTTGCCCGCTATCAACTGGCCGCCGAGCGTTGGGACACCGCGTCAGCTCTTCCTAGCAGCTCGATACGACACAGCCAGCTCAGCCGGCTCAGTCAGGTCTGTCACCAGCTGTCCAGGACTGCCTAACAATAGCAAGAACCCACCATCCGGCACGAGTTCGCCGACGCCGAGCCCTTCAGTGTGCCAGGCACCATTCTCGATCGCTCATGTCCCCATTCCCCCCCCCCTCCTTTCTTTTCGTTCACCCTTGGTCTGTAACTCGGAAAAGCTAGGATAGGTGGACCGCCGGCATACCGTATCTCACACACTTGGGTATGCCGAGGAGAGCATGAGCCTGACAGTCGCGTGCCGGGTACGGGCCGGGCCCGAAGCTTGCTCCGTGCACGCAACTGTCTCGCCGAGCACGGAACGGCTCTGAGACGAGGCTCTGAGGTGACGAGGGATAGGGCGGGCGCCACCTGCTGCGCCTGACTCCTCCGCCTGAGGGTTGCCCGCAGCACACGGCGCCCTCCTACGCCCGCCTACGCCCTCGACGCACAGATCATCACGTCCTGATCCGTGCACATCTTTGGACGAGTGAAAGCAGAGTAGAGGACTGGCTCGCTGTCGCTCGCCCGCCCTCGCACCGCAGAGCTCGGACCGCCTCCCCCGGGCCCCTTTCCTTGTGACCAATCCGACGCGCGTCCGGGGTGTCATGCCAAGAGCTCATGGTCACCTACTATGGAGCGTCGTTTTATTCGCGCTCACGTCGCTGGCGCGACGCTCACGCTCGCTTTGACATCATAGCCCTGCGGCATGCATGGCAGTATGCAGATAAGCCCGAGTGTATCCCGAAAATAGAGAAGCAGAGAGAGAGAGAGGAGAGAGAGATATATAGATCTAGGTCACACAGGCGGGGGAGAAAAGGACATGAGGGGGACGTCTTTGGCGTGATGATTTGTTGATGATGATGGAGATTTTTGCTGGGGTGGGGGTTACAAGTAGAGGAACAGACAGTTTTACAGGACGACACACTTCTTGTGCTTCTTCGACTTGGTCGGGGGGTGGCCGTGTCCCTGCTGGCCGTGGGCGTACTCGGGCCCGCTCTTGGCGACCTTGATTTGCCGGACGAGCGCCTTGAAGGCCGCCTCGACGTTTTGGTTCAGTCGTGCTGACGTCTCGAAGAACTCGCACCCCAGGTTCATCGCCAGCAGCCGCCCCTCCTCGGTCGACACCTCGCGGTCGTTGTATTGGTCCCGCTTGTTGCCCACAATCACAATCGGCGTCCGTGTCGTGTGCTGCCCGTTGCCGTGGCCGTGCGGGTACCCGGCGCTGTCGGTCGCGTTGTACGACGCCTCGTCCTTGACGAGCAGAACGCGCTCGACAATCTTCTCCACGCGGTCAAACGTTGATCGCGACGCTATCGAGTAGACGACAAGGAAGCCTTCTCCGTCACTGAGGAGTAAGCTAAGTACAGCGATGCGCTCAGCTGTAGCCGGCTAGTGCTCTAGCGTCACACCGGCCGCTCATACTCACCGGATCCACTGATCCCGCAGCGCCGTGTACTCCTCTGAGGGGCGTCAGTCAGGTCCCTTGATCAACGCCGCCTCCGCTGTCACGCTCCGTTACCGCCCAGAGCCAGATTTTGAATCTGGCCCAGCGCAATAACAACTTCAAGGCTCGCTCGCACTCACCCTGTCCGGCCGTGTCAAGGACCTCGAGCAAGCACGGCTGGTCATCGACGACCCACTGCTTCCTGTAGCAGTCCTCAATCGTGGGGTCGTACGTCTCGACGAAAGACGACATGGTGAACTATTGGCGAGAAGCGGACCGAAGCGAGAGCCGAGCAGTGCGCGAGAGCGCCAGTGAACGCCCGGAGCAGAGAAACACGGTATGAAATCGGGGTCAAGATTAGCCGTTGCCGGATGCCGACGCGAGTGACAGCGAGCATAGCGCCGAGGTGGAGGTGGACCGCGGGGAGCGAGACAGATCCATAACACAAAGTTGATAGGCAGCCAGCGGGAAGCATAGCGAAGGAAGAAGGCGAATGTCAGCGTCTGCAGCGAGCAAAGGTGGGAGCCCGTGCCCCATGTCAGATCAGACGACGGTCGTATCGACGGGGCTGGGCTGAGGCTCGAAAAAAAGAGTCTACGCACCTGAACTGTCAAGGCGGTCTTGCCGACACCACCGTCTCCAAGGACGGTGATCTTGAAGACCATCCGCGATGCCTGTGACTGGAGGGGGGTCAGTGTTGGGGGTCCCCCTTGCGCTGGTTGCTGATCGACATACCATTGTGACGCGGTGGGCAGAAGGAAGGTAGGAGGGGAGTGGATGTGTCGCTCAAAGGGGGGAGGTGCAGCCGTAGAACAGAGGGGGTGGAGGGTAGTCGACCTGCGTTCGGGGCTGTGCAAAGCAGTGATCGAGTCGAGTGGTCGGCTGCAATCGGATGGAGGAGGGGGATTGTTGGTCGTTGATGGATGAGATGTGAGGATGGAGAGGAATGGACAAGATACGGGTGGTCGATTGGGGGGGTGGCTTAGGCTTTGGGTACGGGTGGAAGGGGTGGGTTGAACCGGAGAGGGCAGGTGGTGGAGGCGCACGAGTTGAGGTGAGCCTAGGTGCCAATGGTGCGATCGAGGTTGGATCGAGGACGGGTTTCTCTGGTGTGAAGAGTTGGAGTGAACAAGTGATGGATGGGGTGTTGATGACGATGAAGAGGAGAGAGCAGTGGATGATGGGTGAAGGAGGAAGTGGATGACTGATTGAGCGCTTTGACGTCTGTGGTGAGTAAGTAAGAGTGGTGTATGAGCAGAGGAAAGGTCGTCTCGTCCTTCCTTCCTTCCGTTGGTGCATGGGTCCCTTCTGCTCACCACTGCAGAGTGAGCCCTTACCGTCGTTTAGGGACCCTCACTGGCTGACTAGCAGACTCCCTATACTCGCTCTCTCGCGCTCGACAAAGGCTCGACCCTTGTCCCTGGTTCGTAGTACGCCAGCCCAAGCCCTAGCATCGAGATATTGCTTCCATTACGGCACCACCCAAACATTGCCGCTTTCATCATCACATCACTCACATCCTCCACTCTCCCAAGGGCCGAGACTCTTCCTCGCCACAAGCATGCTGGCTAGGCGTCTGCATAGGAGCACGCACGGCTGACGACGTGCTTTGCTTGTATCATTGCTCTCTGCCAACTAGAAAATGTATGGCGTGTTGCGACTCCACTACGCTGGGCCTGCACACCTCCACAGTGGGACCTCCAAACGGGCAAAGCGGGCCAAGCCATCAAAAAGCCACTGCACCAGCCCAGCCAGGTCAACCAGCGCCCAGCAAAGCCCAAGCCAGTCCCTGCTCTGGCTGCACCACCGTATGACAATCAGCTCCCAATCCTCGGCCTGCAGCTGCGATCGGCCATCCCCGCGGGGAGAAACGTCAATCTGAATACAAGCAATCAATCTGACCACCTGCTCGCTTGCTCGACTCCCTGTCGGCGGATGCTATTTGAGGATCTATCTAGTCGAGACCAAAGTTAACCTGCGGTGGATCTGTGAAGCAGCTATTCCGCAGAATAGGGCGATGCGACGGCACCCCTACGGCAGAGCACGGCACGGCACGTCGAGGAACGCAGCTCACACCGGCGCACAGTGTTCAGCAGCGGCATGCCTCGCTCGAGATCCTCGCCTGGAATCCTGAACCATGTCGTCAGAGTGCAGTAAGGCCCAGATCGCCTTCCGGACGGGGCAAGTTTGTTTCCGCATCCGTACCGCAGCAAACCGTTCGAGAAAAACAAGCGTATCATAGATCTCTATCTGATGGGGCCAGAAAAGAGAGATAACTCCGCTCCGCAACGGCCGCGATCAGAGTTGGTTAATGAGCGGAGCAGCGGAGGCAGAGACGTCGCACATCTCTTATGCCCATGGGCTCGTGGCTTTTTAGGCGTAGGCTCTGAAACAAGTTACGCAGTGACAAAGTCTGGGCCGCTGCTCTCTGCATGCCAACTGCGCATGCTACGCCGGACGACGGGTCGACCAGACAACAACATAAGCTCAAGCGCGTATGCATAGTGAGGGCCAGGCTGGGCGATCACTCATAATCTCTCCGTACGCATCTCGTTCTCAGCAGAGAGGCACGCTCTATGAGGATGCACATCACGTGAAGAGTCTCGCCATGTGGCCCAAATGAGAGCGCGAGGGAGCAGCGAGGGGAGCAAAACAGACTTTCCCCGTGGGGAAAGACAGTCACTGACAGAATTTCTGGAACGTCATAACAAATTGCTTCGTCCGTCTTCCACATCTCCGCGCTCATCGCTAAAGCCCAACAAGCATGAGCAACAGCGACAACGAGATCGACAACGCCCTCGGCGGGCAGTCCGGCGTCGCCTCTGCGACTACGACTCCCGCGGCTCCGGCCGCTGCGGCAAACGTGCCCGCCGACCTGGCTGCGATCCAGGCCATGGTGGACGCCGGCGTCGTGGTCGGCGCGGACCCCGAGCCGGCGATTCCCGCAGCTCAGCGACGTGCGCAGATTGAGGCCGAGCTGGCTGCCAAGGGTCAGAAACCCGTCGAGCCCCAGCCCGAGCCGGACTCGGAGTCCAGCTCCGAATTCGAGTCTTCTTCCGAGGAAGAGTCGGACGACGAGCAGCCCAAGGACAAGTCAAAGCCCAAGCCGCTTACGAACGAGGAGCAGAAGGATCTGAGGGATAAACTCGACAAGTTTTACGGATATGAGGTCATGAGCGATAGCGAGGAGGAGGAGCTGGACGAGGAGGAGGACGCGGAGCTCGCCATGATGGAGGCGATGGGGCTCGACGACGACTCTGGCCCAGTCATGTCCGCACACGAACAGCCTCTCCCGCCCGTCTCTGCGCCGCCGATTGCCCAGCTTCCCGCCGACATGCCGACTACATGTGCGGGTGAGATTGTGTCTTGGATGAAGGACAAGGCGGTCGAGAACTGGCTCGCCAAGCAGGAGAAGGGCGAGGGGACCGGCGAGGACAGGAAGAAGGGGGAAGGCAAGGACGAGGCGATGGCCGAAGACAAGCCTGAAACTACCGAGGAGAAGCCCGCCGAGCCTGCTGCTCCTGCTGTAGCTCCCGCCGACACGACCGAGACGAAGGACGACGTTGAGATGGGCGACTCGACGCCTACCGGTGCCACCAACGCTGCCACTGAGGAACCCAAGTCGGACGCCGTCGACTCCAAGCCCGAGCCCAAGTTCACGTCCTCCGGCACGCTCATCATCAAAGCCCTCCCTCTGCCGGGCTACCTCGAGTCTGGCTCCATCCTCGCCACGTCCTCGGGTGCGGTGTTGGGTGTAGTGTACGACACGTTCGGTCCCCTCTCCCAGCCATTCTACAATCTCCGCCTTCCCCCGCCTCCCTACTCCATCCCCGCCATCTCTCCAGGCGACAAGGTCTTCGTCCCTGCGTCCGAGGAGTACCGTTTCTTCGTGGACATGAACGCGGTGCGGGACCCGCGATTCCGCTCAGACGCCTCAAACGTGTACGACGAGGAGGTGGGCGAGGACGAGCGCGAGTGGAGCGACGACGAGAAGGAGGCGGAAGCCAAGCGGCTCAAGAAGGCGAAGAGGAAAGCGAAGCGTGGTGGAGCCGCTGCCTCGGGGGGTGATGGACGGCCAGTGGCCGAACTGCCCGCCCATCTCCCGCCCCGACCTGGGGGATTGCCCGTGTACGACGACGAGACGCCGGCGGGCGCGCCGGGGCAGAGGCGTGGCCAGGGCCAGGGCCGCGAGCGCGGTGGAAGGGGAGGAGGAGGAGGAGGCAGGGGAGGACGAGGCCGTGGGCAAGGACGTCCCATGGCTGGAAGAGACCAGTTCCCAGGCTTCACGAACAATCCCCAGGGATACCCCAACATGCCCTATGCGCCGGCGGGGTACAATCCCATGCAGCCTGCATACGGCATGAACCCGATGATGGGCATGCAGGGCATGCCTGGCATGCCGATGGGTATGCAGGGCATGGGAGGCATGCAGGCCATGCCGATGAACATGGGCGGTATGGGGGCCATGGGCGGGTTCTATAACCCTCAACAGTATGGCGGACAGCAGGGACAGCAGTATGGCGCTCCGCAACAGCAGCAGCAGGGCGGTCAGCAGGGCAACGCGCCCGCTATCAACCCGAGGTTCGCTCAGCAGTACGGGTTCTGGCCGGGACAGCAGGCGCCGGGAGGACAGGGCGGGGAGCAGCAGCCGCCGTACTCTGAGTGAAGTTCTCCCTGTACACCATCTTGTCACTCCTTCTCTTGAACTCCCCCTCCATACTTCTTCTTGCATTTCGTTAGAGTCCCCGTGAAGCAACATGTATTTTGTATCCGGTGCAATGCATTGAGAAAATACTAGGAAAAAAATATGAGATCTAAACAGGTGTCACGACCGCCTGGTCGTGTTTTGGCATCTACAGTGTGTAAAGCTCTACTCGTCATCGCTCTCCTCCTCCTCCTCCTCCTCCTCATCGCTGTCCTCCCCATCGGCAGGCGCAGTGTGCGCGGCAACCCACTCCCTCGCCTTCTCCTTCGCGTTCTCCTGTCCCTTGCGGTCTCCAATCTTGTTCTCGACCGCAAGCCACTTTTTGAAGATGAATTTGGCGCGCTTCATCGTGAGTTTCCGCCCGAGCGCGCCCTGAATGAGGTTGCGCGCCGCGGCAATGTCGCCCAGCTTTGTCAGCTGGTCGACGTACACGTTCCACACGTCGAGGCGTTTCGGGTAGCGCGACACGAGCTGCTCGAAGAGCGTCTTGGCGCGCTCGGCCTGGCCGTATTTCAATTCGAGGAGGGCGAACTGTTCCAGCATCTGGACGTGCTTGGCCTTATCGAGGGACTGGAGGGCGCGGGAGAGGAGGGAGCGCGCGCCCTCGACGTCCCCCCTGCGGAAGGACGCCTCGGCCGCCTTGAGCCAGCTCTGCGGGAAGGCCGAATACTTCTTCAGGAGGCGCTTGAAGACCTCGTCGAGCACCTCGGGCGTGTCCTTACCCGCTTGAACCAGCGCGTCGACGTATCGCATGTACACCTCGCGCGCGTCGTTGTACTGCGCCGCCTGCTTCAGGACCTTGTCTGTGCTCTCGGGGGTGCCAAAGCCGAGCTCGAGGTTGACAAGGGCCATCCACACGTTCAGCTTCTCGCCCTCCTCGCGGAACGCGATGCGGTCCAGCGCTTGCCGCCCGATAGACCGCGCCTTCTCGATCTCGTGCAGCTGCAGCTGGAAGGACATGTACTGAATCCAAAGGAAGGAGGAGTTCGGGCTGGCGAGAAGCGCACGCTCAAAGTCGGACGCGGACTGGGGCACGCCGCTCGCCTCGGCCGCCGTCAGGTCGGTCTTCTTCTTGGAAGACTTCTTCGGCGCAGCGGCCTCCTCGTCAGACTCCGAGTCGGAGTCGGACGAATCAGACTCGGCCGCATTGCCGTTCCAGTCAAAGCCCGAGAGGGAGAGCGCCGTCGACCCGCCCGCCGTCGAGACGCGCTTCTGCGCACCGGGCGTGTCCTCTGTCGGCGCCGTGTCAATCTCCTCCTCGTCCTCGGAAGGCTCCTCGTCCTCGTCCTCATCGTCGTCCTCCTCCTCGTCATCAGAGGGCATCTCGGCATCGGCAGAGTAGAGCTTGAGCATGTCGGGGGACTCGTCGTCGCTGTCGCCGAGCAGCTTGGGCATGACGAAGGACTCGTCGTCCTGCTCCATCGACTCGTCGTCGCCGTCCTCCTCCTCCTCCTCCTCGTCACCAGACTCCTTCTCCTCCTCGTCGGACGCCTTGTCCCCAAAGTCGTCCGAGAAGTGGCTCGCCTTGATGCTAAAGTTGATCTTGCCCTTTTCCTTGTCAATGCTCGTGATGACGGCGCGCACATGGTCCTTCTCGCGGAATCCCTTGAGGGCCTGGCTCACGTCCTGCTTCTTGTTGTCGGAGATTTCGCTGCGGTGGCACAGGCCCGACACATCGCTCCCGTCAATGCGGAGGAAGAGGCCAAAGCTCTCCACCCGCTTCACGGTCGCCTCGACCTTCTGGCCCTCCTTGAAGTCGGCGAGGGTCAGCTTGGTCTCGGCCCCAGCCTTGCGCGGCTTGGTGCGCAGCGTCATCTCAACCCTGTCGTCGCCGACAGAAAGGATCTTGCCGGACACGACGTCGCCGACGGCGAACCGCGCCTTCCAGTCCTTGACAAAGTCGTCGAAGAGCTCCTTGATCATGACGCGGGCAGTGACGGAGCGGCCGAGCGCGACGAAGAGGCCGTTGGGCGCCACATTCTTCACGATGCCGCGCACGCTCTGGCCGGCCTTCAGGTCGGCGGTGCTGTTGATCTCGGCGTCGACGATGGCAGGCGCAGAGTAGGGCTGCACGCGCGACTTGCGCGTCGAGAGGTCGATGGCGCGGCTCTCGGCGTCGACCTTGAGCACGCAGCAGAGCACGTCGTCGTCGACCTTGAGGCCCGGAGCAGAGAGATCGTCGCTAGCGTCCGTGGGCGCGACACGGCCGCGGATCTTCTTGCCGAGACGGACCATGGCGCCCTGCGGCGTCTTGCTGATGACACGGCCGGGGAGGACGTCGCCGACGGCGATGGCGTCAAAGTTCCGCGCCGGCGTCGAGATACCCGTGGGAATGCCCTTCTTGGCGCGCTTGTTCGCGACAATGATGAGGCCGCTCGTCGCATTCTTCGACACGACGACGAGGTCCTCGAGCTTCTCGCCGACCTTGAGGCTCTTGCGGAGCTCGTCGACGCCCATGCCGCGGTGGTTGGACAGGTTGGCCAGCGACAGGAGCGCAGTGAGTTGCGAGGGGATGAGGGTGACGACGACCTGCTCGGCGTGGATCTGGGCCACGATACCCGAGACATCGGAGCCGACCTCGAGCTTCTCGGCCGCGACGGCCGTGGGGAGCGCCTGGCGGACGGACGCGACGAGCTTCTGGCTGTGCTCGTCGACGTCGGTAATGCGCACATTGACGGCCTTGCCGACAAAGAAGACATCATTCAGGTTCGCAACGTAGTTGGTGCTAGCCTCGGACTGGGGGACGAAAGCACGTAGGCCGCCAAAGAGGTCGACAATGCAGCCCTTGTCGAGGATCTTGGAGACGACAGCGGGAGTGATCTCGCCGGCCGTGACGTCGGCGAAGCTTCCCGGGACAGGGAGGTCGGACTCGACGAGCGACTTCTTGAGCGTGAGAACGACACGGTTGCGCGCGGGCTCGATGGCAAAGACACGCGCCTTGACCGAGGCACCGACCTTGAAGCGCTTCTCGGGGTGCTTGAGGCGGATGTCGGCATAGTGCAGCGGCCAGACGACGCCATCGACGTTGCCCTGCACATTGACAAAGAGACCCTTGTCGGACAGCTTGCGCACGGTGCCCTTCAGCACCTGACCGATGGTCAGCTCACCGACCTGCATGAAGACCTGGTTCAGGACCTTCTCCTCAAACGAGAGGAGCATGACACCGTCGAGCGGCGAGTGGCCAATGACACGCGCACGGTGGTACGTGCCGACCTTGAACTGGCCAGTCGAGTTGGAGAGCGTCGGCACGCGCTCGTCGGAAAGGTGTGAGATGTGCGTGAAGCCCTCGAGGCCGTCGTCGGTGCGGCACACGAACTCCCCAGTCGGGGATGACGCGGATGACCTTGACACTCGGCAGCGTCTTGCCGACGGGGATCGCGATCTCGAGGGGAGTCTCGCCGTCGGCAGCAACGGGGGAGGCGAGGTTGAAGATGTGCGGCAGGGCGGAGAGGGCGAATCGTCGCTCTGACGAGGCAACAGTGTCGTACAGGATACGGGCTTTGATCTTTTTGCCAATGTTGTAGCGGTCCTCAATGTCGTCCTCACCGAGACCGAGATGCGCAATGTCGATGGTTCCATCGTAGAAACCGCAGATCTTGACGTTGAGACCAGAGGGGACGACGGCAGTAACGAGACACGAAGCGAGCTGGCCGGGGAGAAGCGAGCCGATGTTCGAGACCTCGGTCAGGCTGCTGTGAATGAGAGTTTGCGGGTCGAGCGTAAGCTTGACAACGCGGCCGCCAGCCTTGACCTCGGAAACGACGGTAGGGATGAGCTGTCCGGGAATAAGAGCTCCTGAGAGTTAGCCAATGCGAGGGATGGAGCAACTCACCGCCAGCGTTCTTCTCAACCTCCTCGATCGGGATGAAGCCCTCGACTCCAGCGAGACCAGTGTCGGCGCTGAGGCCGAGGCCGACTCGGTATCCCTTATCCTCAGCGCCGAGGACCTCACCAACGATGCGGTATCCCTTCTCGACGTCCTGCTTGGCGACGTCAAGGTTGATCTTCTCCGGCACGGCGGTCAGCTCGACACGGGCGGCGAGACGAGTCGTCTCGGACACGGGGTACTGGGCGATGAACGCCTGCGAGGCGGTCGGGAACGTATTGATGACGCGCGTCGGGATGTACTGTCCCGGCCTGAAGATGTCGGTGAGCTCGGGGGCACCTTCCTTTTCCTCATCCTCCTCGTCCTCGTCCTCGGACATGGCGTCAATGTCGGCGTTGAGTGCGGCCGTGAGCGTGTTGGAGACCTCGGTGATCGGGATGTGTCCGAGCAGGTTGTTCGGCATCGAGACAACGAGGTGCAGCGGCAGAACAGTGTGTACCCGCGCAAGCACCAGTGTTCCGGGAACAAGACGCTTGTAGCTGAGCTCCTCGACACGGATTGTGTCCTTATCCCGCTCGGCCTTGGCAGCGTCGCTCTCGGCGGTGGCCTTCTCCTTCTTCGCCTTCTGCATCTGCCTCGTGCTGAGCTTCTTCTTCTTGAAGGTCTTGCCCATCTCAGCGTCGGCCTGTCGCGCACCCTCGGCGCGGGTCTGCTTGACCTCGAGGGCAGTTAGCGATGTGCCGCCGCCACGGGGGAAGTCGACCTCCTCGCTCTGGAGTGCCGAGGTGAAGGCCGGGGCGGGGCGAGCCTCTGTTCTCGGCTTCTTGACAGCCGGGGAGTCGTTCCCCGGCTGCTGGCGTTTCTTACTTGGCGCCATGGGGGGGATGGTGTTGTGTGTGTTGTGAGAGGGCTAGGTGCAATGTTGACGCCTGTCCAGTCCTCGTAGGCGGTCGCCGGTCCCAGCAAAATTCTGGCCGCTACAGAGGTGGAGGTCGCATGCTCTCAGGCTTCCACTGAAATTTAAACAGGAGGGGTCGGTTAAGAATGACGACACCCGGCTGTTCATTCTTTGATAACTGGGAAGGCCACGTGTTGGGAGATTGTCCAAGCCGGATTTGACCCTGAGTCCTGTCCTGTCCTTGTCCTCGGCGTTGAGCGCGGCCCGGTCAGTAGCTTCTCCTCGATCGAGCATCATCCGGAGGACGACCATCTCGAGAGACCGACCTCCGCAAGCCCATCCAACCCATCGGTCAAGGTCATCAGCGTGAAGAGTCTCACAGGGACCAACATTAGCAGCACTTGTCCCCTGGCCACCAGTCTGCGCCGCGATCACGGGCTGATCTCATCGGTTCCTCCCGCCTTCCTCGTCATTTGTCCCGCATCTTCCTCCATCGGTATCGGCAAGCTCTCGAGACTGTTTCCAGCACTCCAGTCATGTCAAAACAGGAGATCAGGCAGATGGTGAGCTACCTCTCATTTGTAGTTAAGCTGACATCAGGCCGAGGCCATCTTCGACGAGCTGCTCGGCGACTCTGTGCTGACGACGACGATCGAGGCGCACCGCGAGATCAAGCGCGGCCAGGTCGTCTGCAGCCAGTGTGGGACGAGGTGGGTACACTGACATTCTCTGCGACCTGCAATGGAGGCGGCAAGTCCCCACGTCACTACTAGTGGCGAGGGAGCTGATTGCATGGTAGGATCAAGCTAACAACAGGTGTCGGTCGCACCAACCCCTGTCGTCGCGGGAACCGACGCCGTCACGATCAAACGGCTACGCCGTAGGCCCGGAGAAGGGCACGGGTGGCGGAACAGGAATTGCCTCAGGCAGCGGCCGCGTCGACTCGAGTGGTAATGCCTTCTTCGATTGTCTCGTGTGCGGTCGTTCAGTGAGTCTCGTATTTTAGCCTTGGCGTGCTCTGCGCAGCTTCCAGTATCGACACCTCAGCTGACACTTGCAGATCACATCAAACCGCTACGCGCCGCATCTGGCGTCGTGTCTTGGCTTATCGGGCTCGACGCGGCGGGGCGCCTCGCGCATGGCGGCGGCCAAGGCGAGGCTGGGCACGGATCGGGCCAGTCCCTCGCCGTACCTCGCCAGCGAGGACAGTGATGCCGAGAGTGTCTCGAGCAAGCGGAGAAGTGAGTCGGGCTCTCCCCCTTTTGTCTCCCTCCTCCCCTCCTTTGTCCCTTCTCGCAAGCTTCCCATGCGCACAGCAGAAAGCACAGCAGAAAGCTAACATCAAGAACTAAACGGCAAGCGCGCCGCCTCCCCGCAAAAGCCCACCTTCAAGAAGAAGCTGCAAGGCCACACGTCCGGCAGTGCGCCGCCCCGGATGCCCTCCAAGCTCGGGCGTCCGCCCAAGTCGGCGGCGACTCAGAAGGCCCACTCGGCCTCGCCATTCACGAAAGCCGGCTCGGGCAGTGCCAGCCCAAAGTCAGCCGGCGTCACGGGCAAGTCGGCCTCGCCTGATAAACCCGTCAGTAAACCCGGCCCGAAACCGGGCGCCAAGGCTGCGGCTGCAAAGGAGGCGGCAGCGGCGGCGCGCGAGGCGGCGGCCAAAGAGGCGAAGAGTAAGAGTAAGAGTAGGAGTCCGGCGCCGCCTGCGCCAGCTCCGGCGCCTGCGCCTGCCCCGCCGCCCGCGGACGAGAGTTCAGAGGGAGAGGACGATTACTAGGTAAGCTGAAAGTGTTGGCTAAGCTGACAGCAGTGCCTTCACTCGCGTTAGTCGAGCGTCTCATCCCCAGTACCATTTGGGAGGGCTTCCAAGATACAGATGGAGGAAGGGAGGAAGGGAGAGCAGCAGAGTGTACAGATGAGGACCAGTACCAGTGTAGACATATGCATTGTATCAGCATCCTAGCTCTCGCTCTAGCTAACCACAACTTCTAAGACGGGGCTGATGACGAAATCAAACTCGTCCCCATTGCCCGTGAGTCTGAGCCTCTCAATGCGGTGCGTGCCCTCTCTGAGCGCGAGGAATCTGATTCTCGTCGACAGACTGGCCCCAGGCAGGAGGGGGCCGCACCGTATGTCCGTCTCGAGGGGCACGAGGGCCGGCGCCGCCGCCTCGTGCTGCGCCAGCATAGCCGCGAGCACGCCGTCGTCGGCGCCATGGCTCTGCTCTTCGGCTGCGCGTTTCCGCCGCCGCGCCCACGCGTCGCGCACCCTATCTTCCTCTGCTCGCGCGGGGACAGAGAGACGGAACCGCCGCACGGCGTCTGTGCGGTTGTGCACGAACACTTCGACGGAGAAGGTGTCCAGCGCGCGGATCTTGGGCGCGCCGCCAGAGACTTCCTCGGCGTCAAGCGCGTCGCTGCCCAGCAGCTTGACACTGACGAGGAGGCCGTGTCCGTCGTCCCTCGTGTGCACTGGGGCGCCGCGCGCGCTGACTACGCGACTGACGAGTTGGGAGGGCACAAAGGGCCGGCCACCCGGACGCGGTTTCGGCTGGTTGTCGTTCGCGAGCAGCGCGGCCAGGGAGTAGCGCTTGTCACCTGCGATGGCGTTGGGTGTCGGCGGAGTCGGCTTGCTGATCCTGTGCGCTGCGTGTCGGGGTGCAGGGGCCGAGGCGGCCGGCGCTGGCGGCGCAGGGGGGAGAGAGGCGTAGAACGGACCCAGGTCCAGGGCACAGTTCCAGCGAGACTCGAATGAGGCGGTGGGGAACACGACCTCGTCCCCTCGGACGCGCTTCGGCCTTCCGGTGAGGACGATGGTGACAGGACGGTGGTCGTCAGCTTTGCTGCGCTCCGCCGCCGCCGCAATCGATACGAGATACAGGAGATTGTACTGCTCCAACGGCGCTAGGCTGAGAGGGAACGTCGGTCGTGGCGGCTTGGCATCTTGTCCTGGCTGACAGAGCAGCTCAGTGCTCGCCTTCGCGCCCTTGCCCCCGACTTCAACCGTGACGCCGCGGACCTCAAAGTCGTGTGCGGACGCATCGGGACCATTCTCGACCTCGACGCACACGACGATACGCCGCTCGCCTTCTTCGCTCTCGATGTCGTTGGCGGACCCCGGCGGAAGAAGCTGGGGAAGGAACAGCGTGCGCATGCGCACCCTCAGACCAGAGGACAGATCCAACACACGCCGGAACGACTTGCGCAGCGTGCTGCCGCTGCCTGTGCGGATCGGCGTGGCTGGTGACGCGGCGGGTGTCTCGAGCACAGGGGCAAGATTCAGGTCATTTCGCAGCGATGGGCCAAGACGCGATGCCGGCATTCGATCCTCGACGAGCCCGCCAAAGAGATCAATCTCCTCCATCTCGGCAAAGTCGGTGGCTTCCTCCTCGTCCTCCTCGAGCGTCTCCTCGGTGCGCGTTGTGATGATGCTCGCGGCATCGTTGGCGGGCCGGTTCTTCTTCGCTCCGCCTTCGCGCAGCGTCGCGGACACTGTGAGGGCGAGCACGGGGTTGGCGATCTGCGTGCGAACATAGACTGCGGGTCAGCTCTACAAAATGGTCCACGAGCTCCTTGGGCCACGTTCAGCCCAAGTCCCACTCACCAACAGGCACCTCTCCGCGCCACACTGCCGTCCATCCCTCGCTCGTCTTGAACACAACGGGCCGCGCGTCGTCCTGCGTCTCAACCGCGCCCTCCCAGATCGTAACGCCTTCGACGGCGGCGTAGCGTGCGTCCTCCCCTGTGGTAAAGGGGAGGGGCACGGGAGTGAGGGGCGGTGCGCCATCAGCGAGCACCGCGGGGGTCACGTTGCTCTGTCCGAGGTTTGAGCTCTGCCTCGGGACTCCTGGCCGCCCCTGACCAATCTGGGATTGAGCCTGCGTTTGGGCCTGGTTCGGATTAGGAGCGCCGGGCTGGGGCTGCTGTCCCTGCTGGACGTTGGGCTGCTGTTGGAATCCGGCAGCGGTGGGCGTGCCCGGTTGAGAGTGCTGGGAGGCGGGTCGGGTGCCAGGACCGCCCTGGGTCGCGTCAGGAGCAGTCGCGCGAGCGCCAGCGCTACCACCAGCCTCTGCACCGCGAGCAGCAGAAGGACCAACCCCGATAGGGCTGACAGGAGGACGAGCGGGGCTAACAGCACTCCCGCCAGGGGCGGCAGTGGGAGTTCCGGGAGTGTTGCTGGGCGTCAGCGGCGAGCGGTGAGTGAAGCGAGCCGGTGGTGACGGGTGAGACGTCACGAGCAAGAGCGAGTGAGTGCAAGTGACGCTGGAAGCGTATGAGCTACGAAACATCGAAGCGAACCTAAGCATCCCCCCAAAGGAGGCGCGAGTGGCAATCGCCTTCCCTCACCCCTCTCGCAAACACCAAAGCCAGCCCCACAGCAGACAGTACTCACGGAGCATTCGGCGCCAACGATCCCACACTCGCGGCACTCAACCGGTTCTGCGCCGGAATGCTCAAGCGCGGATCCGGTCGTCGCTGCTGCGGAGGAAGGAAGCTCGCCGTCGCTGTGAGCTGGACGTTTCGGGCGAGCGTTCTGAGTTCTGTGGGCGTGGATCCGGCCCCGCTCGATCTGGAACTGGGGTCGGCAGAGGCAATGTCGGACTCGGGGTCGGCGAATGCGGACGAGGGGAGGGTGAGGGCTACGGCGTAGGAGAGTTTCTCGTCTGATTGTTAGCTTGATCGACCGTGGGTAGCTGGGACGAGTGGGTGGATGGAAACGGTCGAGATCGAGAAAGCAATGGTGATGAAAGGGAACAATGAGATGATGGAGAGAGGAGGAGAGAGAGCAAGATGCAGAATGGCGAGCTGTAGCCTGGTGCGAACGAAGCTGGTGGGAAACTGCGACAGCGGGAGAAGCTTCCTCGCCGCTATCCGCTGCCGCGAAGCGAGTACTTGTCCGCTAGATCGTCGCAGCCTCCACATGTCACGTTCCAGTGAATATGCCTCATACGCGTCGTTACTCCCCCATTCATCTCCCTCTCAGCGTTGAAAAACGGTGAGCGGGCAGTGAGGAAGGAAGGAAAGGTGGCGATACGGGTGGAGGAAGCTGAATCGTGGGAAGAGAGAGGAGATTGGGAAAGGATGGCGACCTGGAGGCCGGACTCACCGAGGAACGCAGTATCCCTCTTCTCCCTGTTCCGAATATCATCCCACCATTCCCTCAGTTCTGACTCTCGGCTCGGCGGGCTCCCCACCCCAGCAGCGGGGATGAGGAGCTCAAGCTCGAGCGCGTGGAACAGGGGCTCTAGGCGGGATGTCATCGTGGCTTCACTCCTCCTCGTTCCGTGTCTCGGTCGCTTCGGCTTTGGGTGTCGGTCGCGTCGCTCTCGGAGTCGATGAGGTTGCGCCGCAGGGAATAGCCGACGATCAGAGCGAAGAGGTAAAATCTGGAAGTGGTGGTGGTGATGGGAGTGCGCAGAGATAAGATCCAGATCGATTGGCGGATGACGGCTCAGCTGTGGTCATTTCGCGGCCCAGGGACCGGGAACGCGCGACGTGTCTCTACTTACTTTCCGGGTGTGGGGTCCCACATGCCATCTGTGGCGAATCCATCCCCCCCTGCCCTTCCTCATCTGCCTTCTCTCCCTCCTTTCACCTTCATTGCGCTCTTTGCCCTCTTGCTTATGTATCAGACTCTACGTTGCTGCATCCAAAGTATGAGACACGCCTCTCGGGCTTTGCTTTTGGCTTACATAGCGCTCGCACGCGGCGCAATATTGTACGTGATGATACGAGTTGGGGGGGCTATGGTTTTGGTACGTTGGGGGGATACAGGGGTTAATACCAGGTGGTGGTGGTGGACAGGTTGTGTTGTTGTGGTGTGCGGTGTAATGTAGGTAGATGGTTGATGAGTGGCCGGAAAAACGAGAACGATACTTGATACTGAGGGTACTTTACAATGCTTGGGTTGGGTATCTTGGTGGATTACACTGGATGCTTTTGTTGTGACAGGCCGGCATGGCCAGTCTGTTGGAGGGGCTTGGTGAGGTGCTCGCGGCGCTCACGCGGCCATGCTCGCCTGCGTCGGCGGGGACGAGCGTGGTGTGACAAAGCCCGTGCTCAGGGTGGGCGTAGCAGAGCGCTCCGAGAAGTAGTCCGCCTCGCTGGCGTACGTCTTTTGCGTCGGGGTCGTGGCGCGGGGCGAGTGGGCGTGCGACAGAGCGTGTCGGCCAACGTACCCGTTGCTCGGGCTGGACAGGCCGCTCTTGGGCCATACGGGGCGGTACGCGGTCGGTTCGGCCAGCGGCGCCGAGACGGTCGGCGGCGACTCGAAGAAGCAGAATTTGTCAATGAACTCCTGATACGTCGCTGCGTTCAGAATCCTGCGGCTGTCGGCGGGTAGGCCGGGGCCGTGATCCTCATCGTCGCTTGGCGGGACGGTGAGCAGGGGTGACGAGTCGTTCGTCGATCCCACCGATGCCGTGGCCGACGGAGTTAACGGAACGGGCAACATGGCGCTCGGCGTAGGGGGCGAGGACAAGTTGCTGCTCGGGGGCGTGATAAGCCCCGCAGCGTCGGTCGCTGGGTCGTCCATAGCCAGAGCCTGCAAGTTGCCGTTACTGCGGCTCTTGCGGGGGCCGTTGGAGTTTTTTTTCTCGTCCTCGCTCCCGCTGCCGCTGCTGCTCGTCTGCGTCGGGCTGTCGAATAAAGGCGCAGCGCCAGTGCAGGGCGGCGTCGAGGGAAGAGGCGAACCGGCCTTGTCGCGCGGCGGGCTGGTCGCAGCATCGCGCTTTGTAGCAGTGACGGGGATAGCAGGAGGCCACGAGTTAGCAGGACGGCCGTGCACGAGCGTCATTGGGGGCGAGTTGCCGGCGCCACCGGCACGACCACGAACCGGCGCCAGCGGCAGAGCAGCCATGGTGGACTTCGGTGGCGAAGGAGGCGGGGACGGAGCACAGTACGTCTTCAGGCGCAGATGCGAGTGCACGTCCGGGCGGACGGGCGGCTCGAATGCGGCCCTTGGCGGGGGTGACTGCGGGGGTGACGGGTCCTTGTCCTTGGCGTCGTTCGACTGGTGTGTCTTGGCGTTGGTCTCAGGCTGCGACGAGTGAGCGGTTTGAGAACCGGTACGGGGGAAAGTCCAGCTGCGCACATCACGGCTGTTCATCGCCGACTGGCGACCGAGGCGGAGCGTCGGTAATCCGAACGCATCGCTGTGGCTGTGGGCGTGGAACGAGTGCGGGCGGGTCGAGCGCGCGGCGGGGCGGCGAGCTGCAGCCCGCTTGAACGTGAAGCGGTAGTTGTCGCCGTTGTTCGAGTCCCACCACTCGCGTCCGCCCTCCGTGTTGTACCGGATGCAGAGCAGGAGCGCGCGCTCCTCAATCTTGCGCTTGTAATCGTCGAGCTTGATCGTGAACCCGAAGCGGTCCCAACCCTCGTCGCCCGTGGTGGCGGCAGGAACGTGCGACACGTGCTGAGCCGAGACCTCGGACACGGTCTGCCAGTGGTCGAGCGTGAAACGGACAGTGACACATTTCTGGAATGCGACGTTGCGGACAAGCACGGTGCCGCGCATCGCGAGAGGGGCGTTTTGCAAGTCGTACCGCTCGAGGATCACGTACTCGTCCTTGAGGATACCCTGGGTGCCGGGGCCGAAATCGACACGGAGGCGGGGCACAGAGCTGGAAGCGGCCACCTGTACCTCGCGGCTCTCCTCGGCCTGGCTCTTGGCGAGGCTCCGCCTCGTCCGGAAGTGGACAAAGTCCGACAGGTCCGTATCGTTGTCCGTGTCGGTTTCGGTCGGGGGATCGTCGGGCGATCGCGACAAAGCAGTAACCTTCTGTCCCCGAAGGAAGTGGACGACCGATTCGAGCCCGCCCAGATCGTTGAAGCGGACAGATTTCGTGTGCAGATCATGCGAAGACCGCGTCGGGGAGTCGCCATCTTCGCCGGGGGTGCGCGCCCCACGGCCCAAGTCGGGCGTCGACATGGACCGAGTCTTGAGTGACGGCTTGACGATCTCGCCCGACTTCTTGCGGATGGTGCGGATCTCGTAACCCGGTGACACGGCCGACGTCGGCTCCGGCGGCGATGGCAGATCGCCGGCCGACAGCGGTCGCGACCGCCGGGGGTCTGACCGCTGGCGTTGCAGCAGCGACAGCTTCGGGGGCGAGTGGTCACCGCGGGCTGATAAGCGGCGGCTCACACTGAGGGGTGGAGGCGATGACTCTTCAGGGGTGGAGGGAACAAGCGTCGAGGTAGTTGATTCTGGCGAATCTCCTGTTTGTGACTGTGACGAGGGCGCGGCCGCGTTAAGGCTCAGACCCAGGTGACTCGTCGTGGGGAACTCATGCTTCGGCGTCGGGCTCGCGCTGCCGTGGCGAGGTGTCGTCGCGAAGAGCGGCTTGCTGTCTGCGGCCGCCGACGATCGCCTCGGGATACCCGGCATCGGCGAAGAGGACGACAGAGTCGCGAGAGACGCCGCATCGTTGGCCGAGCCGCGCGAGTGGCGACGCATAGGACGGTCGCTTGGGGAGCGGTGGGGCAGCCGGTTCTGTGTATGACATGCTGGCTGTCTCTGTCAGTGTCGGTTCTGGCTTCTCTTGCGCCCGAGTCTTTGAAGTGGGAGATGGGGAGGGGAGAGACAGTGAACAACACAAAGATCAAAGGCAAGAAAATTCTGGCTATATGAACCTCTGCTACCGCGGCACCGCGGCAGCAACTGCCCCACTACAGTGTGCAGATCTGCGTGCGACGGTGCAGCCTAGTACACGCCGACAGCCGACGAAGGCGACGGGGTGTGGGAAACGGACGGCGCGAACACACGAGTGCGACGAGTGGAAACACGGCTGTCCTGCCCCAAATCCTGCGGAGACTTGCGCCGCTGATGAGTGCACGTTTGCCCCTGTTATCTCGGCCGTACGGGTGCGCTGGAGGCTATACCAGCACACGAAGTACGCAGGCAAGGGGGTGGCTTGCCAGGAGGAGTTGGGCGGCGGCGTAGTAGGACGAGAGGAGGGAAGGCAAGAGCTGAAAGAGAGAGAACTCACCTGAGGCACGTTTTGGTTAGAGTGAGAGGACTGGTGTGTCTGCGATGAGATGTCTTGATTAAGGAAGGCGGACGGGAGGGTCAGACAGGCGGGCAAGAGGAGGTTACAAGTGCGATGTAGGGTAGCACAAGTGAGAGGAGTAGTGGAAGGAGTGGATTTGCAGTCTAGTCTATGCTGTTGTAGTGTAAGCTGGCAGTCGGCAGTGGGGAGTCTAGGTGCAGGCTGTCGGGCGGCGAGTGGGGAGCGAGAGAGCAACGGGCGACGAGGACATTATTGGTATTTGGTATAGGTAGGGGGGGCGCGTTGTTTTTCCGTTATGGCGATGTTGTTGTTAGTTGTGTGATGGGGGGAGATTGTGTTGTGTGTCGGTGAGTGAGGCGCGGTGTAGTGGTGGGGTAAGATCGGCGCGTCGTTCGTCGCAGTAGGCCGAGTGCGTAGCCGTAGCCGTCGTATCACGGGCGCAGCCGGTGATCGCAGCGATCGGTCGATGTGTGATGCGGATCGGAAAGAGATAGTGAAGAAGGAGGAGAAAGAGAGAGACACAATCAGCATATGCAAAAGAGGAAGAGACAAGGCCAAGGGGGGGATGGCAGGAAGCAGGTGATCATGTGCTGCGCGACTTGGGAGGTCTGCGTGTGCATTCCCGTGTCTCTGTCCATTCCTGGTCATTTCGCGAGTGATGCACCACCACGCATTGAGTGAATGATGAACCCAGCCAGCCCAAGAATGGTCCAGACTTGGGGAAAGATTAGATTCCATGAATGGGCGTTTTTCGGCGTCCCACAGGCGTCTTCTTGGTGCTTGAGCTAGTCCTGACGCCTATAACTCCCCCAGTGTGCACAACTCACTGATCACTGCTTGCTCGCTCGTAGATGGAAAAGGATGTGATGGAGGGGAAGTACTCACCAGTTGTCGATGTTCTGATAGATGCACCGCCGCCGCCGCCGTCGTCACTACTCTGGTCCGGACAGGTCTGAAAATTCCGATGAGGATGGGACGAGTGCGCTACGCGTGCAACTCTGTAGTCAGCATCGGCGTCGGTGTCGCGTCTGCTGCGGCTGTGGTGATGTCATGCACTAGCGTCCCAAGAGCAGCACGGCGGAACCCGGACCAGTCAGAGGACGCCGCTGGGCTGCTTATGGCGTGCATGGCGTGCATGGCGTGCATGGCTGGGCTCTAGGCTGAGCCCGAGTTGGGCTGGGCTGGCTGATCGTCCAGGGTCGCCCATTGCGTGAGCCGAAGGGGGCAAGTAAGGGCTGCCCGCCTGCGTTCCTGGAAAACCCAGATGCAGCCTGGCATCGCTTGCTCAGCAACACCCAGCCATGCTCAGCAAGCAAGCACACCTGTACACCGTGGCCGTGGCCGTGGCCATGGCCGAGGTCCGAGTATTTTTCGGCCGCATAGCACGCCGACGAGCCTGCGCACACCCGCCGATACGCACTGACACTCTACCCCACCGCAAAGGGGTCAATGGGAGGACTCACCCAGAGTAAGTGGGTCGGTATGTGACTGTATGGGCAGTGGCTTGAGGGTAGCGCAATGAGCGTCGGTAGTCGCGTTCACGGCGCACGTTTTCGTCGTCCGCGTCGTTTTTATCCAGCAGCACAGAGCACGGAGCACACGTACACTCGCTGCGCAGATCGTCACTGTCACCGGAGAGTCACTGGCGGGGGGCCGCTGACCTCGCGCGAATGGGCACGGGATGAGGACGACGACGTTGTTGCGCCGTTGCGGGGCGATCCGGAGAGACGACCGTGCGTGTCCGAGTGTCGAAGGGGCTGGGTCGTTGCGTCGGTGGCTGCTTGTGGCTTTTCGTCCGCTGTCGTCGTTGTCGCTGTCGCTCGTCGACAAGCTAGCGTTGGTGAAGGAGTGTGTACGAAAGAGTAAGAGATCGAGATAGAGGACGCGATCGTGTGCTTTGCAGACAGTGCGAGGTGTTATCAGTAATCCAGGCAAGAGTGTTTCCCAAGCTGCCATCCTCCCACCCACCTGTGCTTCGAGCAGCCAGACGCAAAGTGCAGGAGGAGGTGGGAGATGGGCTGTCCCTGACACACCCAGGGCTTTGCCTGAGGGGGGCGTCCGCCAGAGCTATAGAAGACCCTAGGCCCGCCCCGGACCAAAAATTCCTCTTTCACAGCCTAATCCTCCCCCTCTCTCTCCCCTCTCTCGAGCTCTCGAGCCCAGCCGGCGGTCTGGACAAAAAGAGCACCTCCAGGGTCAGGAACGACCAGTGCTGGTCCTCTCGACATTTGTGCACAGAAGGCGGCAGCGAGGGGCCAGAGGAGAAGGCCCATTCCGCGATCTGACTTTTTGCATGCGGACGCGTCGGACAGGGTGCAAGAACGTACCTGGGTCTTGCCTCTTCCCACGCTTTTTTCCACCCGCAACTCACACTCATACAAACTAGACTCAACGATGGCGGTAGCGCGGGAGAACCACACCCTCTGAGCCCTCCCTCTCAGAAGACATGCATCGGCTTTGGTTCTTGAGCCAACGCCGCGCCGCGCAGCTTTATCGGAAAGTCTAGCTTGAACTTCTTCTTGGCCCCGCGCTGAGCCCCGCATTCACAAGTTTTGGGGACGAAGTCAATACGGCGCCATCGAACAAAGCCAAAATGGCGCTGCAATGGTCGCTGATAACGACAGCGCTTGTAGGGAGCGACGTGATATCCAGAGCGAGGTGCGACATGCGGGGCCGCTAGGGGACACACGGGGTGCTGTAGGAAAGGATGGTGGGTGGAGACTTTCCGCTCACGCGTGCGGTCCCGCGCGCCCACAGTCCAGAGCGAGGAGGCTAGGAGGACTGCGAGATAGCCCACCCAGATTGCCCAGGCTGCCCAGGTAGTCCAGATTGCCCAGATCGCACAGCGTGCACTGCCGCTGTGCCCGTGTCCAGGATCTAGAATCTGGCCCAGCTCGGTATTGTTGGGTTCCCCACCCTCATACCCTCACCCACCTGCCCAGCTTGGACAGCAATGACCAGCCTGCAGCCTACTCGTTCCGCGTGAAACCAAATGATTGAATATATCTTGAAGTGGTACTGTATCGCTAGTCGCCATTTGGGCGTCTGAAGCTCATTGGGCCGTATTCATGACGCGTTTGTCCCACTCCTAGTTGATTCCATGAGATTTGTATGCCCAGATCGGGATTGATTGAAATGGCGCTCCACCTTGTCATCGACACGGTAACACGGATGCTGATCACCAAACGGGACGCTCGATCCGGACAGGTACGCTGGAAGTCTGCTGGAGTTGGCTGAATGCTTCCTGGAGACAAAGCAGCAACCGGGATTGGAGCTGGCGTCGACCCACACAACACCATCGGAAGCTGGTGCTTGGTGAGAGGGAGTAGGCTCTGCAGTGGGCCTGCGGGCACCAGATCGTCAGCGCAGCAAGCACGGAATGGAGACAAGCATCACCGCCGGCGTGCCTCGTGCCTGTTCCTGGGCCGGGCCTGACCAAGGCCACCAATGCGAGCGGGGCCCAAACTCCGACCCTGGGCATCCTAAGCCTTCTCCTGGTCTCCTGTTGTCTCACCCAGCATTGCCCGGCTCGCAGGCCCAAGGCCGTACCGCACCTGCTCTGTGTCGCAATCTTCGACAGCGATGAGCCACCACCACCACCACCACGCCATGAGCCACCATGCGCACTCCACAGCCTACGTCGCTGGGCTTCTCTTGCATGCCGCAAGGCCGCCGGCACACCCGATAAGCATCGGCCAACTCGTCACCAACGTCAGGCTAGAGTGACTAGCCCCGTGTCGCGCACGTACAGTACGCAACCATGACGAGAGATGGTCCCACATTGACGTTCCGACGGCTGTCTCTAGCAATCTAGCGCATGTGGACGTGCACCAGACAGCTCCTGCCGAGCCGAGACGCTCCCAATCCTGCGCCATCCATTGCGGCTATTTGTCGGCCACCGGGCCCCGTGCGGGGGGTCATGTCAGTTGCAGAAGAACCCCGCACGAGGCGTCGCCGCCACCGTCACGGCGCGTGTTCACACTTCCCCAAGCCACCTTAAATGGTTTCGCCGCGGTGTCTGCAGACTGTCTGGCGTTTGCTAGGCGCTTGAAGGAGCTGGAGGCCGAGCAGCGGACTCAAATGCTGCCGCAACACCAGGCAAGGGCAGGAGGCACTGTTGCCTTCTTGGCCTTACGAGCAGTCTTCGCTGCAGTGTCCCTTGCCGTGTTCCTCGAGAAACGTATCGAGTCGTATCAGGCCACTGCTTGGGTCTCTGTGAAGCGGTCCATCTGATGGGCTAGTGGGCTAGCAACGCCTGAATGACTAGCAGCCTGACGTTATGCTGGAATCCGGAACACACGTTTCCCACACTACTTTCACTTCGGCCGGTGCGGAGTGGTTGAGGGGGTGGGGCCCTCCACACGTGCTTGCTCATCCAGACAGAGCGTTGCAGAGTGCAACCACTGTGGCCGAGCTGGGGCTCCGTCATTAGTCATGCTCGTGTGCCGTGTCCGTGGCGCGGCCAGCCGTTGCCGGACCGCCGCATGATAGATAGGGTGAATCACGGAGAGAGGCGTCGGAAACGGTAATTGCAGCGATAGCACGGACTGCAGGGAGTGAGCCAGATCTGGGCGTGAGAAAGAGATGGCGGGAACGTGCTTGTGTCGCAGAAAGCGGGGCATCTTGTCCGCTCGATCGCGTCTGCCACCTTCCGTGCACCGTGCAGGAAGACGGCCAAGAGTCTTGTGCCGAGGTACCTTTTCTCACGAGTTGCTAACCTTGCCATTTGCTGGGTGCGTGCGCGTTTTGTGTTTGCAGACAGCCCCCCCGGTCTGTCCCTGCTCGCGAATTGAAGGAGTTGTCCGTAGAATGGAAGCAGAGCAGAACATCCAAACTCGGACTGTGCCTGGCGAAAGCGAAATCAGCAGCCAAAGCGAGAAAGCATTCCTGAACGCTTCCCAATCTGGCTCGACAGATTCCAATGACAACACCACTGCCTCTTCTGGTTAACGATGTTGGTTCCCCGCATCCAACCCCGATGACTCGTGTGCACAGCTCGTGTGACGTCGAGTTTGTTGCAGAACTGCAGTCCCACACTCACACGAGTGCGAAACGCTAAGCGCCAGCCGTTGTGGAGACCCAGGTCAACACCAAATTGTAGAGTGAGTCCGAAGTCCGATCATCTTCCCACGCAGGGATCCGCAAACGCCGATCAGTTGCATAGCCTGGCGCCGAGCAGCTTGAGGCACATGAAGGTACCCGGAAGCATCCAGTACCCTCAAATTCGACTTGAAGAGAGGTAGCGATGGGCAACAGAGGCATATAGGAGGCGCGTAGCGATGAGGCGAAAGTTGGATACGGCAGAACCAACAACGTGGCGAAGCTTCCCGACCACCTAAGGACACCACAGTCCGACGGACCGGATGCGAATAGCAGGGAAAGATTGGGTTCAGAGGCCATAACTTTCGGTCCGCTCTTCCAGACGTGACAGGGGATGTCCGTCGCGTGCAAAGGCGGCGGCCCCCGATATGACCCAAATGTCTAGCTTGCAGACCGGCCGACACATACAGCCTGGTGGACGGTACCTGATAGAATATGTTCCAGCGACCTTCTCCACGCGCTTGTTAGCAGGACATGGCGAAAGTTGCAGTGCTCCGAGATAACTCGAGCCCTCGCTTGGTAAAAGACTCCGAGAAAGAAAGAGCCCCTCCGTCTGGTGTTTTCCTGTGCCTCCTTGATTGCTATTCACTGCCAGTCGATTTCTGAGCTCTGCAGCGCGAGGAAAAGTGTCTGGGCAGGTCCCCTATCGTTAGCTAGGGCGGAGGCCGCGGGACAATCCACTGAAGCTTCCATGATCACTCATCCGCCACACCGCTCCCCCATCCTCCAACCATCCGTTCTCTTCCTCCAATCATCGCTCTTTCACGCTTCCAACGCCGCTCTCGCTCCGCTCGACGTCGAGCATGCAAAAACTGATCACTGACAGGATCGAACTGCCGACCTCCGCATGACTGATAATCAGACAGATTATTAGTACGATGCTCTAACCAGCTGAGCTAAGCGACCGATGGTGTCGAAGACGGAAGATCGATGTCGACCGGCGCCCGACGCGGCAGCCGGCAGGGAGTTGCGGAGGCGCGCAGCTTCTAAGCCAGGAGGAAGGCGGCATATAGATGGAGTGGGCAGACTGATAGAAAGACCGAAGTAGGTGTTGGAAAAGCCGGGAGGAAGGTGCTGGTCTCGAAGAATGTGAAGGTCGATCGCGGATCTGCGGTGAAGTGGAAGGTTGAAAAGGAGGTTAGAACGTTGGGGTTATTGGGTCAGAAGAGAGCGGTAGAATTGAAAGCTTGACTTTGGATTGATGTTCACTTAAGCTGTGCTCTAGGAAGAATGAGAAGTTGAGAAGGACATGAGCTGGCTGTTGTCGAGGATGTTGCAGATTGATCAGTGATGCAAGTGGCAAGGAAAGGGGAGTGACTGAACCTCAGGGTCCGGCTCGGCACAGACGCATTCCCACGTGGCGGACTAATGTCAGCGTGTGCAGTGACGCGACTTGAGCCAATCACATTCCGCGACGCGAAGATGGCTGGCTTGTCACCCTGGGTCTTCCATGAACAAGCCGTTTTGCTACGTCTCGCAACAACAAATCCTTCTTCCTCCCAAACCTCCTACTCCTCCCCGAACTCTACGATCCGCATCCTCCTCCCCTCTTCTTCCACCCCTCGCATCTCCAACGTTCTTTGTGCCCTCAGACAACCGAACATCATACCCGCAAGCGCCCAGTCGCCTACTCCAAAGTACGCAGCATAATTGATATCCAACCCATCGGCTGGCCCGATGTCGTCCGTCCCCAGCATGCCCGAACTGGCCACGCGCACACCTCGCAAGCGCAAGGCTGTCGAGACTCCTCTGTCTCCCCCATCAACGAGGAGGAAAAGGACCGGAGCGGCTCCGATTCCGAACCCGCCGTTAGTGCCATTTCCGACGCCATCGTCCCGCCATCGCGCTAAGGGCAATGATCTCGAGGACCCGGAAGTCACACCGAAGGCATCCGCCTCTGCGTCTTTCGTCTCCGCGAAGCCTCGAGCCAAGCTCCCCGACCACCTGCAGACGCTCCTGACGTTACACCACGCCTTCAACATTGCCATCTCGCTGCACCTGGCTACGCAGCCGCCAGTGCTCCCGCCGCATTCGGCAGATGCCACCAGCGTGCGCCTGCCGAACCTAACCAACCTCCTGACTCTTAAGGGAGCGGTAGAGCGAGGTTCAGGAAGACGATTCGGGCAGACGGAGCTCGCGCGCCTCGCATGGCTGTATGCGTGGGACGGCGAGAGTCTGCCGAAGGAGGACAAGGACGATGAGGATGACAATCCTTTCCTCGATAAGCCGAAGGTGAACCCCTCCGAGCCGGTGTCTGGTCTCTCATACCTGATCACGGCGACGCGGACCCTCGATCCGACTGGACGCAAAGTGCACACGCTGGGCATTGGACTCGAGCTCGACATCGAGGCGGGCGAGACGCGGCAACTGCTCATGGGCGGCGCTGAGGGCGGATTCGGGAACAAGGGCCAGGGTGGTGGTCTCCGTGTGGTCGGGAGATGGAACGCCGGCGCCGAACTGCGCGAAGACATTGTGCGCTCTCGTCTCGAGAAGTGGGTCATGCTGCACGGCGGCGAGTTGGAGATCGTGGAGGACTCGCACCTCCCTACTCCCTCCACGCGCGACTCAGGTCGCAGTGCTATCCCACCCATTCCTCTGCTTCCCCTGCCGAAGCTCGCGAGTGCGAACCTCGGCGCAGCTCTGTTCGCCGCCTCGCCTTCGACTGCCGAGTCTGGACCCTCGACTCCCAAGCCGCCCGCGTTCGCGTCGGAGCTCAGCGACCCGTTCGAGATGCCCATGCCCAAGGCGCCAATGACACCCAAGGGCTCAATTGAGGCGCGCCGACAAGCGCTGCGCGACCGCATTCGTGCCAAGAGCGCGAGCGCAAAGGCGGCCAAGACGCCCTTCGCCAATTCGATCCGGGCGTCGATGGAGACGCTCTCCCGTGCCCAGCAGCAGGAGGAGCTGCAGCGCCGCAGCACTCTCAGCCGTCTCGAGCCCATCGCCGAGAGCGTGTGGATGATGTTCTCGGGCCCTTCATCTGGGCCCTTGACTCTGTCGCCCGGCGGGGGGTTGTCGCCCGCGCGCAGGCGCAAGGCGATTCCGCTCAGCGAGGCGGTCGAGCGCATTGTCAAGAGCGCGAGGAGCCCCCTCTCTGCCGCCGAGGCCGAGATTTCCCTCCGCATGCTGGCAGACTTGTGCCCCTTCTTCGTTACCGTTAAGCTGGTGGGGAAGCACGACTGGATCGAGATGCCCAACGTGCAGGTGCCTTCTAGCCCGGGCTCCGGCCTCTCTGCGACGGCTGCAGAGGTTGCGACGAGCGTTCTCGGCAGCCCCACTCGCAGCCCGCGCACGCCCCGTGCACTCGCTGGCCCTGCGTCGCCGGGTCGCGTCCAGGTCGGCGGACTGCGTGCCGTGCGAGAGCGGATCCGCCGCGAGCTTGGCGAGTAGTGTGATCTTGCTCATCAACTCGCCAGACTCGACGAGTACCTCATAATATAAGTTATTAGATTGGCGCCCAGGCGCCAGAGAAACCATTTGATGAGTGTAGGATAGTCAGAAGCAAACAACCCACAACCAAAGTTCATAGAGAACGATACCTATTATGCATTACATTTGTAACATCACAGAGTGGAGCACAAGCAGCAGAGCAGAACGCTCTGACGGTCGCGGGCAGGGCGGTGAGTGTCGATGGGCCGCGAGGTTTGGGATGCTGTCATGATGACCGGGCTACCACTTCTGTGAAGTGCGCCCGCTCCCGTTGGCGCTGATCTGCGCACTGCCAAAGAATCTCCAGACGTCAATACACTTTCTCGCACCTCGTCATCCGTTGACCCTCGCCTCCTCCTCGCAACCCTCGATCGCTCCCCCAGATCTACGGTCACAGCCGCGTTCTTCGCCATGTCCAAGGTCGACTTTGAGTACTACCCTCACCTCGTAGACATCATTTGGGAACACATCTCAGAACCAATCACCGTCTATACCGCCGGCCAGGTGTGCTCTTCTTGGAGGCAGCGTTTCCTCAAGGTCATCTATCGCTATCTCTCTGCCCAGCCTGATGATGCGGGATCGAGCTTCTGGACGAAAGCAGACCGTGGAGCGTATTTCCTCAAGTATTACTTGCCCAACGCCAAGGCGGAAAACAACCAGAGAGACTTCGAGTTTGCATTTAAAGTAGCACCAGCCCTAGACACGGCCTCTGCAACTCGGCTCACACACTCTCTGGACGTATTCTGGCCCGACTATAAGCCAAAGCGTCGAATCGCAACCGAGCTGACCAAGACTTTCCCCGCTTTGCGTACCATGAGAGTGCATACCACTTCCGAAGGACTCCTTGATGGTGTAGGATCAACTCAAGTCTACTCGTGGTATTCTCGCTCAGCCTCCAGAATCTCCATCGCCGCGCGCGGGGCTGAGACTCTGGTGCTCCTGATCACTGTGGAGACTCCACTCGTTGTACACGCCCTGCTCGGCGACGACATCGGTCTCCATCACCAGCTCGAGAAGGAATGTTACTCCGCAAGTCAAGTCGTGGTCATCTTGCAGCCTGACGAGCCGCCTAGGCAAGATTCGACTGTTCGACCCTGGTCAGAGACTTGGGCATGTACCTCGGCGAGTGCAGTGCTTCCTTCCACATCACTGTGGGTGGAGCGGAGAGCATCCTTGAATACGGGGCCGGGGAGAGCTTCGAGACCTTCAAGGCGGCTGTACTGGGACAACTGGCGCTGTACGGGGGGCACGAGGTTCGATTCATGACTGACGAAGAGTACGCGGCTGCCGTCGGACCGGACACCTACGCTCTGCATTGCGTCCCGGACTTCAGTCGTTATTGATAGTTTATGCAATATGTGAGCTGGCTGCTTCCTCTCGCCCTTCTGCCCTCGGCGCTCTCCAAAGACGGTGGTCGATGAGGAATATTGTTGTCTCACTTTCCACGCGCTCGAAGCAGATGCTTCCGCCGACCGTCACGCCGTTGCCCTCAGCCACAAACGCACAGACAACACGTCCATACCACTGACTGACACTTTCACTGTCAGCATTGCATCGTTCACAAGACTCATTATCAGGAGCTCAACACTCACCTTGCTGAACCTCGTTGGGAGAGCGGCCGTCGCTCGTGCAGTTCGAACTTCGCTACCAACGACCAACCGCCCCCTACTAAGCTTTCCCCCCTCCCGAACTCGTAACCCGCGCGTAGGCGAAACAACGACACCCTTCATTGCCGTCCTCGACCCTCCTCCACCATGTCCAAGGTCGACTTCGAGTTCTACCCCCACATCGTCGACCTCATCTGGGAACACATCACAGATCCCTATACCGCTGGCCAAGTATGCACCTCATGGCGGAAGCGGGCCCTCAAGCTTATCTACCATCACCTCTCCGCCGACATGCACAACGGACGTTGGCGTCTGTGGATGAAGACCGACGATGAAGACATTCATTGCAAGTACCTCCTGGCTGGTGCCGATACCGCCCCAACACTAGACAGCGACGCGGCGGCCCGGCATACAGAGATCCTGGACGTGCTATGGCCGAGGACATGGTCAGGCGGGAGCACGACCGCGAAGCTCGCTGAGAAGTTCCCCAGACTGCACACAATGCGGGTACACACCAAGGAATACGGTGACTTGAAGGGCATAGGAGAGACGCAGGTGTACTCGTGGTTTTCGCGCGAGACCTCAAGAGTCACGATCAGGGCTCACGAGGCGCAGACGCTCGTCGTGCTCATAGCCGTTGAGAGGGCGCCGCTATCCGACGGTCTATTCGATATCGAGATGCGCCTCTCCCGCCAGCTCCTGCAGGCGTGCTATGATGCGAAAGATCTCGTCGTCGTGTTCAACCCTCACCCGGTGGCCGGGGCGCCCAGGATCAGTAGCGCGCCTCTGGCACGAGACGTCGCAGAGTATCTTGGGGTGACCTGCAACTCCTTCAACATCACAGTCGTTGGTGCCGAGAGCTTGCTGCGAGACGAAGTGGGAGGAGCTTACGAGAACTTCAAATCTGCTGTCCTGCGCAAGTTGGCGGCCAGGAACTCGGGACATGGAGTTCGCTTCGTGACCCATGAAGAGTACAAGGCTGTCGTCGGACGAGAGACGTACAAGTTGCATTGTGTCCCAGACGTTCGATGGAGGTAGCGTATGCAGTTACATGATCCCCCACAATGCCACACCCTGCGCTCTGAAGATGTCTCCTTAGCATTCAAAGCTACTGTGCCGATCTCACTGACGGTGGCGCAAGCGAAGTGCCCTAGGATACTTCCGCTGGTAGTTGCGCCCCGTGAAGGCAGTACACAACAGCAGGACGGCAGCTGTCGCAATGTCTGCGTTGCCACTCACTCTATCAGGCCGCTGTTGGTCAAGAACCTCCTCTAACTCTCATCCCTACGGACCTGGGATAGCCATCACAGCGTATCACAGTGTCAACTCGATCTCCGCTCTTATTGCGCCTCATCACATTTGCCGCCACCCATCGCGAACCGCCTCCCACATCTCGCAGCATCACCTCATTTCAGGACCTTCCTCCATCATGTCGAAGATTGACCTTGAGTGCTTTCCTCACGTCGTCGATCTCATCTGGGAGTTCTTGCCGGACCATAGCCTGCATATCGCCGGCCAGGTGTGCCGTTCCTGGCGCTACCGAGCTCAGAAGAGACTCTACCACCATCTCAGCGCTGCCCCGACCTACCAGGGATGGGTTCTCGCACCTCGGGCCAAGCTGTCCAAAAACGACGCTCTCAAGTACTTTCTCCCGCACGAGGACTCCGAGATTCAAAAGCTCCCATCGCAGCCTCGCATCTCCAGCAACTACCAAAGGCTTGATGCCGCCCTCGCCGCTCGCACTACAGAGGCAATGGACCTGATTTGGTACGTACATCGACATCCAGACATAAGGTCCCCAATCTCGTTCCTCAAGAATTTCTCGCGCCTCCAGACTTTGAGGGTGCACTCCTGGCCAGGCCAACGCGTTGAGGGCATCGGAGCGACTCAAGTGTATGGCTGGTTCCCAAGCGCCGATTGCAAGACCAGAATCACAGCTCACAACGCTGAGAGGCTCGTTCTTCTCCACCTCGAGGATAGAAGCCCTCGCAGTGTGCTTGAGGCTGGCAACCTTGAAAGCGCTGGAGTCTTGGAACGAGAGAGCTACTCTTCCAAGGAGCTCATCGTTGTCTTTCGGATTCCCCGGGTCCACAGCGTCGTATACAAGCCTGAGGCATTGAAGGAGGCTATTGTTAGATACCTGGACGGGATTTGGTCGCACTTTCCTGTCAAGGTGGTGGGGTTGGAGGTGCTCCTGCAGCAAAAACCACACACTACCGAGCTGCTGAGAGCAGCCGACCTCGGCGCACTGTTTAACAACATTGAAAAGGAGATCAATACCAAATTTCCTCTGAATCCCGTGCAATTCTTTACTCATGAGGAGTACGAGGCTCTAGTTGGTTCAGACACGTACAAGCTGCACACCGACATGGACGATCGGCTTGTTTCTTGGTAGAGCATCCGTAGCCAGTACTCGCGTAGCTCCTTTTCCATCTCACGTTCAGTGCCACATCGCCAGCCCCTCCTGCCTCAAGAGATGCGGTGCTTTTGTTCATGTAGCTCGACCATTGGAATTCATGCATTAGCACCGGTATGACAGGAGCTTGCGGTTACTTGAACTCGAGTGCCAGTGTGGTGTGACTGGTGCACTGGTGCGTGCTTGCGTGTGCTAATTATGGGCACGGGCCGGCGCTGGCGCACTCGCTGGCTGGCAGCGGTCCGAGCGCCCCAAGCGCTGGCGCTCATGATCAGGCACTCGCCGCCGGTCACCCCTCTGCTTCATGAGCGCGTGCACCGATGTTTATTGCGTGCGGTGCGTGCGCGACAGGAGCATGCGCAGAGCGTAGCAGTGGAGGGCTAAGCGGTGGACTGCAGTGGAGGCAAATCAAGTCGCAGGTCGCAGGTCCGAGCGGCGCAAGCACCCATGTCGCAAGTTGGCCTGTGTCATGTGTCAACGACCGAATCCCGCAAGCGCACACAAACTTGGGCTGTCAACATTGCTCTTTCCCCCTCTCTACTTTTCTTCGATCGACACACACACACAAAAGCGAGGATAGAGGGAGACACCATGTCGCCTATCCGCGGCCATCTTCTCCTCCTCGGCATCACGAGCGCGGTGTGCGCCGGCTCGTTCGTGCTCAACTTCCTCTACGTCCGACAAGGGAGCAAGGGTGGTGAGTTATGAGGAGGCCGGAGGTCTCCATGTCCCTCTCTATCCTTCGGTGTGTTCCTCACATTGGCTGAGAGACTGCGTTGAGAAGCTACTCGGCCGCCGAGGAGCGGGCTGAACGGCCGCGGAACGTCTGGTCATCGGAGGAAGTTCGGTGGAGGTGGAGGCAACGAGAGGCTTGAGGGGAAGAACAGAGCGCTGACGTCCGCAGAGGCCGTTGCCAAGGCTCTTCAAGTCGACTGGTGGCATGACGGTCGCGCTTCACTCGGCATCAAGGGACAGACGTTCTGGGCTATTGCTTGTGCGGGCTACTGTGATCTCCTGTGAGTATTTTCACCATGCTTACCGCTCAGTCATGCTCGAGCCAACGGTTTCCAAACTGGCCATGACCCGGATGCGCATATGCGCACACATGTGCCTGACCGTCTTCCTCCTGCTGCAGTCGTTCGGAGTATTAGCTAACTCCAGCCTCGGGTTCGACCTCATCTTCCCGACAGCCGCCGTGCTGCATGTCTGGTTTGAGCTCCTCGTCCTCCTTCTCATGGCCGGCTCGGGCATCACCTTCGGCGTCCTCGCCGGTCTCTCCGACCTGCAACACCTCTTCCGCGGCCTGGATCATGACAAGACCTTCTGTCTCCTTGGTCTTCTAGGCGTGTTGATCGCGTACGTCGGCGCGATCCTCGCGCTCATCACCGCCTGCTTTGTGTGGCGTGTGCCGCGGCGCATCGTCCAGTCCAGCGACGGGAAGAAGTACTGGCGCCGCTCCATCCGCCAGATCTACCACAACCGCTACACTGGCCTGCCGCCCGATGTCATCTTTGCGGACCTAGGAGATAGCACGAAGAGGGAGAGCAGCAAGGGCGGAGAGAGCTGGTACCAGGAGAGCGCGTACGCTCTGAACACGCAGCAGCGTACGAGCTGGATCCCGCCCGATCACGGCCAGGCACCGCCCTACGTGCCCCCCAACCCGTACTCGACGCCTTATGACCGGTAGAACGTGCTGTAGGACAATGCGAACACTTGTGTACTAGTTTGAGCGAGATGGCAGAATCAGGTGAAACACCGCTGATCACTCGAGTCGGTCACTTCGGATGACGTCGCTTCGTTGCTGTCGCTGGGCTGCGATGTGCCAGATGGGCAACGTGTCCGAGAAACCAGATCTGTCCGTCGCAGTCATGTTCCATCAGCGTTCCAAAGGGGCGTTTCTCCATCTGTGCCCACTTCTCACCACCTCACACTTGCCAGCACGACGGACCATGGGCGCGATATAAGCACCCCTCACCCTCTCGCCCCCGTCAAACGTCGTACTCCACCCACTCACCCAGCTACTCACCCTCGCCACTCACTCAACGCTCTCTTCACCAACCAACCACAGACATACACCATGGGGCACCCCCGCATCACATACATCGTGTACACGGTCAACTGCCTGCTCATCATCCTTGCGCTGGCGTTTGCGATGGCCTTCTACACGACGGGGCTGAAGAATAGCTGTGAGTCAGCGAGGCCCGCAGGGCCGAGTAATCCTCTTACTGTAGGCTGCAGCCCCGAAGCCCACACTCATTTCTTCCCATTCTGCCCCACTCCTGCCCCACTCCTGCACCGCTCCGCTCGCTCTCCGGGCGGCTGACCTGGCTGCTGCTCGACTTTGTTCTGACTTACTCGGATTCGCTCCGATTCGCTCCGATTCGCTCTCACTCGCATCACTCGCTCCGCTCGTCGTCGCTAACCCCCAGTGGACGTCTACGACCGCCTGCACGCCGAGCGCGAGAAGGAACAAGGCCCTTACCCACTCGATTACAGTGTCGCGGACAGGTACTGGCGCAAGCGCTCCATCGACTACATCATGATGCTGCTGTGGCAGTCCTTTGGGCTCGTGTTCTGCTACCCCTCCATGTACGTACACCAGACACTTTCGCTCGCGCCTTGGTTTGCTCGTTCGCTGCGCTCGCTCGCTCACACCAGCTTCCTCCTGCAATCCGACGCCCCCCAGCTGCGGCCCAGATGGACGCTCTCCGCCCTCCTCCTCCTCGGCGCGTGGGGGCTGGGCGTCAGCTTGAACTCGGCGATTCAGGCGGGCCACGCCTTCTTCCACTGCGACATGCCCTACCCCGAGCTGGAGAATACGAAGCTGTGCACGCTCGCGAGGGGGACGTTGGTGACGGCTTGGATCAGTACTGTCTCTGTAAGTTTGGGCGCCGAAGGGGGCCGAGCTCCCGAGCCCCCCGAGCCACCCGAGCCCCCTCTGAATGCAAGAAGGATGAAGGGGTGAGGGGAGGAGGAGAACAGCTGACCATTTTGCAAGCTTAGCTGACAATCAGCACTTCTCCACCGCCGTCTACGTCTACATCTCCCAGATCCGGAATGACTGGGCCGAGTCCCCGCCCGCATGGCAGGGCTGGAGCGCGAAACAGCACGTGCACTCGCACAACGTGAGCCAGGCTGCTCCCTTGGGATTCGCGAGCCAGGGCCAGGTCGAGAGTATCGAGCTCAAGAGTGTGCTGCGCCCCGCTTGATGCTACGCTTCTCACTCCATCGCTCGCTCGCTCCGACACTCGCTCCGACGCTCCGCTCCATCACTCGCTCACCGCACTGTCTTGTCGCTTCTTCCTCCTATGACGTCTCAGCAGATCATAACGAAATACGTCCGCCCGCTCTTCCATAGTCTCCGTACACTACTCTCCGCCTGGGCTTGACGCCGCCCGCTGTCTTCTGTTAGATTCCTTCCGTGTCATTTTTATGAATTATGGTCTTTCACCGCCACACTCACTCCACACCTGCTCACTCTTCGTATCGCGCTCAGTCCTGTATGATCGTTACCAACTCGGGCCGCTCCGCGCGTCGCTTCGCTCCGCACTCCGCGCTCCGCTCTTCCCGCTACGTTCTGCATGCACAGCGTAATCTAGAATATATGGAATTTGTCTACTAGACTTTTGATGCCCGCTCTGCCACTCCTGCAGCCGGACAGCTTGTGGCTGAGACGAGACCGAGAACGCATGAGTTTCGTATGCCCTCGCCCGCACCACGCAGCCTGCACCTCGCACACTGCACGGCCGCACCGCAAGCACCTGCGGTGCGACCGCGCCGGCGCTCGGATTTACGGACGAGCACGTCCCATGTACCTCGGGTAGAGGCAGCACTCGCGGACGGTGAAGCGGTTGAGGAACCAAGCAAGCAAACGCTCGACGCCGAGGCCGTAGCCGCCGTGCTCGGTGGTGCCGTACTTCCTCTGGTCGGTGAACCAGTAGTACGGCTCGGGGGGGATGCCCTCGCGCTTGTATCCGGCCATGAGCTCGTCGTAGTCCGCGATACGCATGGATCCGCCCACAATCTCACCGACACCGGGCACGAGCACGTCGACACTCTCCGTAAAGTCGCCGTCGCCCGGGATCGCCTTCATGTAGAACGACTTGAGCGTCTTGGGGAAGTTGATCAGCATGATGACCTGCCCGATCTGGTCGGTCATCTTGCGCTCGGCCGCCTCGGCAATGTCGTCGCCGACGACGTGGTCCGAGCCGTCCTCCTTCTTGATTCCGTGCTCGTTCAGGTACTTGATCGCGTCGCGGTAGTCGAGGCGCATAAAGGGCTTCTTGGGCGCGACAAAGTTGGGGTTGAGCGTCTTGATGATCTCGCTAGCGACAGGGTCCTTCATCAGCGTGTCGACGACCGACGTGATCATGTCCTCGAGGTGGTCGAGCAGGTCCTTGAACTCGATGAACGCAAGCTCAGCCTCGAGGTGAGTGTACTCGGACAGGTGGCGGCGCGTGAGCGACTTCTCGGCACGGAACGACTCCTGGATGCAGTACACGTCGCCGAGCGAGGGGAGCACAGTCTCGAGGTACAGCTGCGACGACTGCGTCAGGTACGCCGACGCGCCGTAGTAGTTGAACTCGAAGAGCGTCGATCCACCCTCAACAGAGGTCTGCACCATGCACGGCGGCGTGACCTCGGTGATGCGGCGCTGGTTGAACGCCTCACGGAAGGCGCGGAGCATGGCGGCGCGGAAGCGCATGACGGCGGTGGCGGTCTCGCCACGGAGCTCGAGGTGGCGCAGGTCGGCACGGATCGAGGCGTCAGTCTCGGCAGTGAGGCGGCCCTCGAAGGCGTCGTCGCCTCCGGGGGCGCGGCCGAGGATCTTCCACCAGTCGGCAATGATCTCGAGGCCCTGGGGAGCAGTCTGGCCCTCCTTGACCTTCTGGACGGTACCGGTGACCTCGATCGTCGACTCGACAGTGAGGTCGAGGGCGTCGAGCGTCTTGATCAGGTCGCCAGTGAGGATGACCTGGGCAAGAGGGCCGGAGCCGTCACGGAGGATAACGAAGAAGTTGGTCTTCTGGGTACGGAGGCGGTGAACCCAGCCACGGAGGCGGACGCGCTTGCCGATCTCCTGCGGCAGCTGATACGCCTTGACCTGAAGGTTAGCTTGAGCTCACGGAGAATTTGTAGCTGTGCGAAATGCACTTTGTAATGCAAGGCGCAGAGCGGGACCAGGTCAACCAAACAAGGCCAGAGCGCATCGCAAAAACAATGGGTTCCGGCCGGACCAAGCTTATCACCATGTCTGACTCGACTCGACCTTATCGCGCACTAGCGTCGATTATTTCCGAGTCCGACTCCGCCTTCCACATCCGGTGCTCAGCACTACTGGTACTCACGAAGTCAGCCTTGCCCTCGGGCTCGGCGATCTTGACCTGGGCGGCCTCCTCGCGGCGCTTCTTGTCACGGGCCTCCTGTTCCTTGCGCTCCTTCTCGAGACGCTCACCGTCAGCAGCGAGCTTGGCAGCCTTCTTGCGCTGGACGTCGACACCCTTGGCGAGCTTCTTCTTGCCGGCGCCCGAGAGCTCGGACCACGACTCAGGGGCGTCACCCTCGGCGGGCTTGCGGACGAGAATGTTGACGACGGACAGCGGGTCCTTGTCCGACTCGGTGGAGGGGTTGAGGGAGAGGTAGGCGGCGACGGGGGTCGCGAAGGGGGCGGCCTCGGTGCCGTTGCCGGTCGAGTCCGAGCCCTTCTTCTCGTCAACGTAGAGCGTGGGTTCTGGGGTCAGCTGGAGTGATTCGGGGGAGGCCAGCGATGTGGCATGGGAGTGTTGTTGGTTGAGTGTTGTACTCACTGTCGCTCATGGTGAGTGTGATGTTGTGAGAGGAAGGTCGCAATCGCACTCTTGTGTGTCGATTGTCTGGAGGTGGCCGTTGCCCGGTGGATTTTCGAGTCGGACCTGGCGCGGCGGGCGGTTGGATTGCTCGGGCCACGAGGCAAGGGGCCAAGGGCGCAGAGATGAAACGGTATCACCATGTGAGTTGACAAAGTCCACGTCAGAGTGTTGCACGTGACCAGCAGACTCCAGCCAGGGACGGGGGACATGTGATGTAACTGACCTCCACCATCCACTGCCCGGAAAGTCTGAACAACCGGAAAGTCAGGCGAGCGATCCGCATCCGGCTCCAGTCATGAACTTGGAACTGCCCTGAGCAGCAACTTACGCAGGCCCCGCGCGCGCGCGAGAGCGATGCATAGCGATTGTTGACAACTCCGGGGCTTAACTAAATTAACGCTACTCTCTCTCTCTCCGACACTACTACTACTACTCTTCCCATTCCGCAGCTACCGACTAGCACGACTAGCACATCTTGTCTTCCTCGCTCGACCGACGGACCGGCCAACCGACCATCTCGCCCCACGGGCACCCCCTTATATCTACTCTCCTTGACCCCCAACCAACATCTGCCCATCATATCATCCGACACTCACCCGGCCCAAATGGGCTTTGGCTCACACCACTCGCCGCAATTCGGCACAACAGGCGTCGTCCTCAACGCCACCCCGACAGTCGTCAGCACCTTCTTCCAGCATGTCTTCACCTGGCCGACACGGCATAAGAGCCGCAATGCCCCCTCCGGCTCTGAGAGTCCGACCAGCATCGGCACCCTGCCCGCGAACCAGATGTCGTATGACCAGGGTCTGCACGTCGTCAAGCAGTTTCTGAACTATGCCTCGGAACACGGCGTCGAGGAGCTCCAGGGCTTCAGCGCGCAGCCCCTGCCCATCCCCCGTGAGCTATAATGGTCCGTACCAGCTAATATCAGACTGGCTCCGGCGTGAAGTTGTCAAGGTCCCGGACGAGAACATCGAGCGTGCGACAGTCATTCTGACAGAGCAACTCTCCAAGTATGCCGACGGGAAGGGCCTCGAGCTCGTCGGTGGCAAGAAGTGGTGGCAGGTGCGCGGCCGCCCGTTAGAGGGCGAGTGGATCGAGGTGAGTGGTGCACACAAGTGCCTGGAACATGGCTCGAGGCTTCTCAGAATCAGTGCGCCCCTTCGGGCCCCGAAACGGCCATTGTGGGCTGACGAAAGATGTCCAAGCACTACCAGCGGCGCATGGAGCGCGAGGCGGCCAACGGCCAGCCCAACGGCACCGACCGTGCAGACAAGCGCAAGAGCTGGCGACACTCGACCCTTGGATCGTTCACGTCGTCCCGCACCAAGCCGGTGCTGGACGGCAGCGGCGCCGAGGTCGACACCGACCGCGTCATCATGTATATCCACGGTACGCTGTAGGCTTGTGTCTAGCTGACATCAGGTGGGGCATTCTTCTTTTCTTCGCTCGACTTGCACCGATACCAGATCGAGCGGCATGCACGCAAAGCGGGCGCGCGGGCGTTCGTCCCCAACTATCGCCTCTCGCCGCAGTATCCATTCGTAAGCTGCCCGACACTGCATGGAAGCTGACCTCCCAGCCGTGCGGATTATTGGATTCGCTCGCTGCGTACCTGTACCTGATCGATCCGCCCGAGGGCAAGCCGATCGACCCGGCGAACATCATTCTGATGGGCGACTCTGCAGGTGGAGGGATGTGTCTCTCGCTCCTCGTCGTGATCCGCGAGATGGGCCTCCCCATGCCAGCAGCCGCAAGTTTGATGTCCCCCTGGGTCGACCTCACGCATTCGATGCCGAGTATCAACCAGTGGGACGGGGGAGACTACATCCCGAACGTGGGGTGAGTGGAGGATGACCGGTCCGAGTAGCCGGGCCCCATGGGACGTTATCGCGCTAACCCCAGATTCCACTACCGGCCTAGTCTTGTCTGGCCCCCACTGCCGGTGCCCGACAACGGCGTGATGGTAAAGTTAGCCGATGGCACAGAAAAGGAGGTCGACGATCAGATTCAGCTGTACTGGTGAGTCGTAGCGCAGCAGGTAGTGCGAAGTTGTATTTTTGGAGGGTCGTAGCAAGTAACGCTGAACCACTCTAACTCAACGCTAACGACAGCCCCAACAATCTGTTAACCCACCCTCTAGTCTCGCCCATCAACAACGGCTCCCTCGGCGGTCTCTGCCCGCTGTACATTGTAGGTCGCGACCAATGGCTTGGACTAATGCCAGACTGCCGGCTCAGCCGAACTGCTGCGAGACGAAGTGATCTACGTCGCGCACAAGGCGGCCGACCCGCCCGCCTACCCGCCCAGCCCAGAGACACTGGCCGAGTATCCCGAGCAAGCACCGCTCGTGGACGCCTACCCGCCGACGAAGGTGCACCTGCAGGTCTTCGAGGGCGCATGTCACGTCGCGACGACGCTGGCTTGGACCCGGAGCGCAAAGTACATCTTCCGCGGAACCGCCAAGTACGTATACTGCTGCTCCGTGCGGTGAGCTAACGGCAGTTTCAACATCTGGGCATTCAAGCGCGGCGAGAGGAAGCGGCGGCAGCGTTCCGTCATGGGCGGTGCCGAGGTCGCAGAGCCGCTGAGCATGTCCCGTTCCGGCTCCGAGGGGGGTGTGACTCCGCAGCGCAGCACATCCCTCGGCATGACGCCCGCGGGCTCGGGTGCAACAGACGAGGAGCTCTCAGACGGCACGGCGAGCGAGCCCGAGTCGCCCTCTGCGACCTCGCCTTCCCGCCGCTATTTCAGCCGGCACAAGCCCCTGGACCACATGCAAGTGCGTGGCGTCGAGCCCCGTTCTTCAGCCCCAATCGTCGCGGAGCGCGTGTCCACGCACGGCCGCATCACGCCCATGGAGCCAGACAGTGAAGTCCAGGCCCTAGACCCCAAGTTGCGCACCCGCGTCGGTCGCATAAGGAGCGACGGACCGATCGGGCGCTGGCTCGAGAAGCGGGCGCAGTGGGATGCGCGCTGGCCCGACCGTCTCGCCAAGTATCGCGACATCCGCGCCCGCGACCGCGCCCAGGCCGAGAAACAGGGTTTCCTGACGGGCACACTGCAGGGCGAGCATCCTCCCCCAAGTGCTTTGGCGGGGATGGCGAACCCAGAGCTCGCGCGCAAGGTCGGCAAGTCCGTCGACGAGCCGACGAGCAAGACGACCGTGCCTGTGCTGCTGTGGAGCTCGCTCGCGAGCAAGCGCGACGCAGAGGCGGCCGAGAAGGACGAGAGGGACGAGAGGGACGAGAAGGACGAGAGCGAGAAAGAGGGGAAGGAGGGCGGGGGCACGCTCGCGCGCATCATTAGCGGAAAGCCCGCAAGGGACGATGGCGGCTCGAGCCGCGCCGAGAGCGAGCGAGCCCTCGCCCGAGGCGTGGAGGACGAGGACCGCAAAATGTCAACCGCGGGGCAGACCCTCGGCACAGTGGCGGCGGGCACTGCCGTCGTCACGTCCGTCGCGGCTGCCCCTGGCGCGCCAGCCGAGGTGGGCGAGGTGGCACCGCACACTCGAACTTCATTAGATGGAGAGAGGGGCGCGGCGCTGTCACGAGTCTCGACGAATGCGAGCGAGTACGTCCTCGCCTCGGAGGTTGTGGACAGCACCCCCGAGGCGAATGGGGATGTGCGCGAGACGGTCGTCACGCAGACGATTGCGCCGGCGGATGCGTCTGCTTATGACACCGTTGGTGTGAGCGGAGTGAGCGGAGCGCATGCGACAGACTATGCGACGGCTCCTGCTGCCTCCGAGAAGGCAGGCAGTGGCGAGCCTGAGCCCCAATCACACCTCAGCGGGACGACTGCGACGCCCTCGGCCCTCCCCCCCGCCACCGCCACTTCCGCCGAGAAACCCCTGACCAACGGCACCGCCCCTGCTGAAGTTGTTGAGAAGACTCCGGCCGCTAATGGCGTTGATGGTGATGAGAAGACCAACGGCGTCAACGGCACTGGCGAGAAGCTCACGACGACGGGGAAGAAGGGTGTCTCTGACGAGTACGTGGATATGCCTCGGAAGGGGGTTATGGGCAAGCTGTGCTGCTAGAGAATGCGCGCATGCGAGCGCAGCGAGCATGTGTTGAGGGCAAGGTAGGGTTGTTGTGTCAATCGCGTTATATCCATAGGTTCATACGTTCCATGCAAACGGACTATCTTACTCTCCATCTATCATTTAGTGTATGGAGCTCTTCTTCTTACTGTCGCGGCGGTATCGTCCTGTCGACTCGTCTCCCTACCTGAGCCCATCCCGCTGGAGCGGTCTCCACCTCTCCATCTCCCAAATACAGTGCAGTTCGTACGTCTCCCAGCCCACCCGCCGTTCGTACTGGGCATGCGACAAGAGCGCGAGGTTGGCATGACGATAATCGTCTCCAAGATTGCGGGCCAGCGACGTATTGAAGTACTGGCCACCACTCTCAAAGCCGACGAGCGTGACTTTGTTCGTGGCAATAAACTTGCGCATGGCAGCAGCCAGATCCTCCGCAACTCACCCCGGGTCGGCATGACACCACCCCCCGCCCCCGGCGATTCCACCAGCGCCGCCTGCGCCGCCTGCGCCGCCTCCCTCCGCCATGTCCTTGTCAAGGACGAACACCACCTCCACACAACCCTCTAGCAGGATTTGCTCAGAGACAAAAGCCTGGATCGGATTCCCCTCGTCCAGGACGTCGTTGTACGTCCGACCCCAGAAGTTGAGCCCCAGCGTCTCAGCGTCAGAGGTACAGAGCCGCGTGTCGAGGCATTCTTCCCATATAGCGAAGAAGACTTGCGTCCTGCCCCGCCCGCGGATGGGGAAGTTGCACCGCGCCTGCGCCCGCATTACGCTGAGGTTTGGGAATCGGTCCAGGAAGAGGGCGTACGTTTTCTCCTCCTCGGCAACTTCAAGGTCATAGAAGTAGACGTCGAGGACTTGCACGTGGCGCAGAAGCTCTGGGGCGAGCGGGCGCAGATGGTCGGTGTATGGCTCGTCATCTCGCCATAGACGCGGGCATGTTCTCCTCGGCCTAGGTCTCGGCCTAGGCGCCGGAAACGGGAGATAGTATTGCAGTTCGTGGCTGAAGAAGAAGTCGGCTGGGATCGAGAGTTCCCAGACCCTGCCGTCGGGCTTGGCACTGAGGTGCCTCACGTACGCTGCCTCGGCCCTCGACCGCCAGGAAGAGCACACCTGGCTCGCTATGTGGAGGTCCCACGCTGGTATGTGGCGGAAGATTAGGTCCACAATGTGCGGAAAGTACTCGAGGTTGGCGTCGGGCATGTTGAAGGGGTTGCTGTCTTGGCTTGACGGATAGAATCAGTGAGGTGAGAGTGAGAGAAGTAAAGGAGGTGACGACGCAGCGGAAGTATCCCAATGCCGATCATGCATGCGCCCCTCTGTCCTACGGTACAGCATGCAGCTGGTAAACTTCACGCCCCACGCGCTCCCTGTACTCCTTGTGAGTGAGGACGCTGAAGCGCAAGTACATGTCCTTCATATCATCGGAACTCGCGCGAGGCTGATACCATCGCGCCGTCGCAGCGTCGGCAGCCCACTCGATCAGACGGTCACGAAACACCTCATACACTCTCTGGGTGGGGAAGAAGACATCGATACCGACGAGCGTGACGGGGAACCACACCCAGAAATAATGGAAGTACCGCGCTACGAAGCGCGCACGGCGGGCTAGTGTCTTCTCGTCGATGTCAACCCGATTGCCCAGGTTGTGCATGACGACGACGAGCTCCTTGCCCTGGCATTGGGAGGGGGATGTGATCCAACGGTCCATGCCGAATCTGTCGTGGAGATCCCAGGGTGTCGAGGTGGGAAAGTAATCAATGTTCAGAACGAGGCGCATGACGTGTCCCACGTCGATCTTCGGGTAGGGGCGCGACGTGATGTCGAAGTAGACTTGGGTGTCGACGTTCTGGAAGATGTGGTCGCAAGGGTGGCCCAGCGTCTGGGTCAGGATACGCCTCACAGTGGACAAGCGCAGCATCGTCATCATCAGAGCCAGGGAGTGCGCACTCTCCCTTGCGTAGAGGGTGAGGCGCGAGGTTTGGTCGTTATACAGATGTCCGTCGTCGACGTCGAGGATGTCGATGTTGTCCAGCAACTGCCGGTACAGGGATGCAGCGTGCCACCTCGGACCCTTGACCACGAGCGAGTCGATGAGAGAATGCGAGAGAAAGTAGCGCGGAAGCGACACCTCGGGCCGTTTAATGATCTTGGGCGTCAACAGCAACCCACTGGGCGTTGGCTCAACCTCGACGTGGCGCTGCAGGACCTTGCTCGCCTTCTCCCTCCACGCTTTCGAAACTTGGGCAGCGACGATGTAGCCTGAGAAGTCGAGGTTGTCGAAGACCGCGTCGAGAATGTGCGGGAAGAAGCGTTCGTCAAGGAGGACCATGGTGGCGGAGACCTCGGAAGAGGCGGATGGACGGTGATGGTGTCTTGGGGAGTGTTGAGAAACGGCAGGCGAGGTGTTGGTGTCTTAAAAAGCGGTGGCCAGGCTGATGCCATGGCGAACAAAGGCGCGAGGTCTCGGCGGATGCGAGTGAGTGTCGTCGACGGTCCGATGTGTGCTCATGCGAGGCGAGTGCGAGTGTGCGAACCGCTGGCGGTTGTGTGCTGGTGTGTGTAGGCGTGGCGCGCAGGTGATATCAAGATCCCACAACCCTGCCGAAGCGCGACTTCCTGTCCATGTGATAGCAGACGCTCCGCACTACTGCACCGTGTGCAGCAAGTACGCGGCGTCCCCCACTCGTTCCCGATACTCCTCGTGCGTGAGGGCACTGAACCGCGAGCCCAAGTCGTGAAACACCTCGTTCGGGCTCCAGGGGTGCCTTCTTCGAGCCTCATCCGTGTCCGCTGCAGCTGCAATCAAGCTGGCGCGAAACTCCTCATACACGCTCCTGTCCGCGAAGAACGTCTCGAGGCCGACCAACGTGACTGGGCCGTCGACCCACAAGAAGTTGAGAAACTGGACGACATTCTCGGCACAGCTCGCGAGCAGGGCATCATCGGTGTGGACCCAGCTCTCCCCGTTGCGCATGACGATGACGAACTCATCCGGCCAGACACTCAAAGTAACCGACAGGCCCATGGCTTGGCAGCCGCGCCGCTGGTCCAAGGCTGCTGTCGAGGATGGGAAGTAATCCTTGTTCAGAACTATATGCTTCGCCGTTCCGAAATCAATACCATGTCGATGACTAACCGGACCAACGAAACCGACCGGACGGTCCATCTTAATGTTGAAGAACACTTGGGTCTCCACGTCCCTGACTATCTGGTGGATTCCATACACCTTGCGGTCAGTGAAGTGTTCTCTGATCACTTTCATGTTTCGCCGTTTAACGACACGGACGAGATCAGACACGCCCCAAAGGCCGGCCCTTGTGGTCGGCATTACCATTGAACCGTCGTAGGCGGCGTCAAGGACATCGAGAACTTGAATGTTGTCGAACAGCTCCCGGTGTGAAGAGTCCATAGGGGCTATAGCGAGCACCTGCAAGACGCCTGATGGCAGAGCAGGTCCACTGCCCGACGGCACAGTCGCCCCATCCACCAGTCCGGCGGCGGCCCTCAACTCTAATTCCATCTGGCCGATAGCGTAGGAGTAAGCGCGCAGGTTGTCGTATGAGACAAGGTAACGTGGTAGCCGAGCGTCGTAATTGTCAAACGTCTTGGGGATGAGCAGCAACCCACCAACCGTCGGCTTCGCCACGACATGGCGCTGAAGTACTCGGTTCGCCTTCTTTCGCCAAGCCCTGCAGACCTGAGCAGCAACCACACTGCCAGGAAGGTCCAAGCTGTCGAGGATGACGTCGATGATGTTTGGGAAAAAGCGTGCGTCGAGAAACACCATCGCAGGTGCACTGGCGACGGTACGAGCGAAGGTGACCATGATCAGCTGATGATGATATTTATCGCAGCATCGGCGCGCTTATATCTCCCTATCTGAAGGAAGGAGTACGCATCACCGAGAGTTTAACACGTACGCATGTGAGGCAGAGTGCGACAGTGTGCATTGTGGCAGGTGTGTGGATCGCTGTCGCCAGCGTGCACATTGTCACCGGGTGTTGAAAGCGGACAACAGTCGAGAGGCGCATGCGTTCCATCCGCTACTGCTCCGTATACAGCGTATACGTCGCGTCCCCAATACGTTTCCTATACTCATCATGCGTGAAGATCTTGAGGTTCCTCCCCCGCTTCGGAGTGCCAGTAATGCGTTCCGCCTGGTGAGCCGCATACTCCCTCATCTGCCGCTTATACTCTCGATACTCGTCCATGGACCTGAAGAAGCGCTCCATGCCGACCAGCAGCGTGGTAGCGGAGATCCAGCGATCCCCCAGCCATCTGATCGTCTGCCCAGCGACGGCGCGCGGATTCGGCGCCGCGTATGTCTGGAACGTGCCCCTTTCTTCATCACTAGGGTGGAAAACTAGGGTGAGCTGCTTCAGCCTGCCAGGAGTATAGCTCGAGAGCCACTCCCACAGCGTGCCTTCGTCCTCAACCTCGTCGTCTGGGAGGGGTCCATAGGAGATGGGCGGCTGGTCGAGGTTGATCACGAGGCTGCGCGCATACATGCTCACGAGGGGGTTGCCCTCTGTGGTCTCGCGCGAGTTGACAAAGTACACCCCAGTGTCAGCCTCGGGGTACACGTCTCCGTAGAGCTGCATGGCGTTGCGTGTCACGCGCAGGCCGTAGTGCGTCTTCAGGCCCATGACGAGGCTGAGCAGGACCGCCGTCTCCTCCATGCCCTGCACGTGCTGCAGGTCCAAGTATCGGATGTTGGAGAAGAGGTCCTTGACCGACTCGTCGCTCAGCATGCCCGTCACGGTGGCTGGGAAGCCGGAGTGGATTGCATCATCCCTCTGGACGAGGAAGGAGGGGTAGGCAACGTCCGGGTGCGTGAAGCTCTTCACGGAGAGGAGGAAGTCGTCCGTGTCGGGGTACGGAGCGGGGCGGACCGTGAGATGCCGTTGCAGAACGCGGTTGGCGCGTTTCCGCCACCCCCTGCAGACCTCGCGGGACGCGGCGACGGACTCGTAGTCCATGTGGCTCCAGATGAGGTCGATGATGTGCGGGTAGAAGCGGTGGTCGAGGATGGCGGTCATGGTGCGAGGGGATCTGGAGTTCGGGGAAGGTCGTTATGACATGAACGCTGGACACTGGATCGCCTCACGGAAGTGGGTAGGCTAGCTTGGATTTGGATGATGGGCGAATGCGGTGTGATCTGTTGTAGATTACGTCGGTGACGTTGATCTGGTTTCGTAGTCGACTGCTAGACGACTGGATAGAGTGTGAAGGCAGAAGCACGCCGAGCGCACAAGCCCTGATAACATTCAGAGGACGCGGCAAAAGTCTCCCACGGTGCACCACCCTCTGTCGCATGTTGCCGAGCTTGAATGGACGCCGATTCTAGACACCGACCTTAGTCCAGGCCCCTGTCCTGAGCTGCGCGTGTGATTTATCTTGCATCTCCTTGTCACGCTTGTCACGCTTGTCACACTGTCACGTGTGCGATGCTCTCTGGCTGCAACCAAATCCAGGTGCTGCAATGTGCGGAAAACATGCTTAAACACACAGTGTCGTTGTAATAATATGCTTAGAAAGGAGAAGGCAACGAGAAGAGACTACCACAGACTACTAATGGCGCCGTGCTCTCCTCCTACCCCGCACTCCCGCACATGGGCATCTGACATGGCAATGGCACTCCTTTACCTCCTTCTACTGAGCATACTCCTGCTGCTCGTCGACCTGCTCCACGTTCTCGACAATCTCAAGCACGAACGCGCTAGTGACGCCTGGAATCTGTCTCTCGGCGGCCTCGAATGCCGACTTGAGTCGTTCTAAGACTATCCTGGCCGCCTCGTCATTCGGTATACGAGCTGCGAGCTGTGCGGGTCAGCCTTCCTTCTTTCGAACAATAGAGAACAATAGAAACACTCACACTTCCAATGGCCGGCACAATGACGTTCTCCAGCATGCTGTCCTCGTCTTCGTCCTCATGGTGCTGCTGCTGCACCGTCGCCATGCTAGCCATGCTCGGCATACTAGGCATGCTCGCCATCGAGCCGTGGCCGCCCATGTGTGGCGAGTGCTGTACGGCGGGGTGGTGCATCTGAGCGGGGACGCCGTGCGGCGGCATCGGCATCTGGACCGCCATCTGCTGCATTTGCTGGGCCATCGACGAGACCATATGGTCGGGGTCCCGCGCGGGCGTTGCGCGCTGCATCGTATCCGTGTACGGCTCCTGGTGATCAACAGCCGGGAGCGTCTGCTGGGATGTCATGCGCGCGTGTGACGGGATGTTGCTGGCGTGTCCGGGAAGCGTGGGCGTCGTCTGACCCGGCGGCAGACCAGTGACTGGGCTCTGCCCAGGCATCGGCATGGTACCGGGCGAGGGAAGCGGGCGGCTCGCTCTCGACATGGTTGCTGGGAGCGTACTCCTGACGGTTCCGACTGGTGGTTAGTTGTGTCGGAAAGTAAGAAACTCACAATCCCACATATCGTCACCCGCTGGCCCGAAGCCTGGCTCCTGAGACATCTGCTCCCTCGGCTCCTCAGGCTTCAAGCCACCTTCAGCCTTCCACTTCTCGTGTCGCTCGACCAACTCCGTCAGGTACGACGCTTTACGTGCGGTTCTGATAAACTTGTGCTTCAGCAGATCCTTTGCAGACGGACGCTGGGTTGTCAGTTAAAGGCGGGGAAGACCTTCGAGCTCACCATGCGGGGATCACGCTGGAGACACAGGTTGACGAAGTCCCGGAACGGCTTCGAATAGCGTTCTGACAGCTCCGGCGGGGGGTTCTTAGGGATCAGGAAGAGCACCTTCATGGGGTGCAGGGAGGCGTATGGTGGCTCGCCCTCAGCGAGCTCGATTGCCGTGATACCGAGTGACCAAATGTCGGCCTTGTGGTCGTACCCGCTCTGCTTGATGACTTCCGGAGACATCCAATACGGCGTACCGACAAAGGTGTTTTTCTTGGTCATCGTCGCTGTCAGCTGACCAGACACTCCGAAATCGGCAAGCTTGACGTCTCCGTTCGCCGTAAGAAGAATATTGGCGGCCTTAATGTCACGGTGGAGCTTTCCTTCGCCGTGCAGGTACTCCAGTCCCCGCAGCAACTCTCGTAACAGAATGGCGATGTACTCTTCCTTGAATGAGCCGGCCTTCATGAGATCTGAGCACGAGCCTCCGGCACAATACTCCATGATGATCCACAGGTGCGAACCCTTTAGAAAGGAGCCATAGTACCTTGCTGTCAGCTTACGTACTTCTCACTGGCAAGCAGCATCGGTGCTTCGTCCGACTCACCTTGTGATGCAGTCCGAGTCGAGCTGACCCAGGATCTGGATCTCCTGCTGGATATCATCAATCTCATCCTCCGCGCTTTCGAGGTCGATGATCTTGATGGCCACTGGCAGAGTCGTGCGTCTGTCGTAACCGCGGTAGACTTCACCGAACGACCCCTTGCCTGTTCTGTTAATGAACGTCCCATGACGAGATTAGAATGGTGAAATGTGTTACAGCGGTGGGGGAGGGGTGCAATTGACATGAATTGTCGGCCATGTCAACATCGACAAGCGCAAACGTCATTGAAGCATTCACGGCCATCATGAAACACAACTTGCCCAAGACGTTCCACACCCATTCAGCTCTGGCCGGATATCACTGCCGGCGCTAACCTCGCCACTGGCAGCTTCGTTTGCAAGCTAGAGGGAGAGGTTCCCATGCCCTGTTGGGGGCCAGATGTTGCTGTCTGTGTTGACAGAGGAGTACGACAACGGTCGATCGGCACAATAAGAATGGTAGAGCAAAGGCCGAGGCAGCGATGCTTATCCCCTATAGGGCTGCGCAGGAGCAAATATCGACAAGATCACCCGAGCACTCTTGGCGGACAGCGCAGTGACTGTCTGGAACGGGCAAGAGGGGACAACAGCAGGCGCTTTGATGTGAAGGGAGAGGAGCACGTACCGATACGGTTCTGCTTGACGTAGTACAGTTCCGGGTCGGGTCCCTGGCTGGTCATGCCGTGCTTGTACGACTGCATAGTCAGCGATGTCTGACGGTGGAATGGAGATGGGGGAGCCCGTCAGGTGGTCGAGCGGTCGAGAGGGAGAAAGGGAAGCCTGACGAGCAGGCGAGGCATGACGTGTTGGCTGAAATGCGTGCTGCAAACGCAGGTTGGGAGTGATCGACGGGGCGTACTCACCATGTTCGCTTCTGCCTACGGCGGGTGTGGGGTGGAGGGTGAGACCGGAGCAGAGCAGGGTGGGATGGGGGGCGGTGATTCGATGTGAGTCGATGACGGTGTGAAGCCAAGGTGCGCCGGTGGGCTTGGGAGTGAGGTCGTGGATGCGATGGATCGGGAAGAGGTGAGCTGTCAGAAGGGGCGTCGAAGGGTGCGGGGGAATGCAGAGAAAGCTGAGTGCGTTGGATGGAGGGGGCGGGATCGCAGTGAGTCGTGGGCGCCGTTGTGTGTCGAAGGGATGTGGTGCACGAGTGTGTTTGGAGGAGGAGAGAGTGTGTGCAAAGGAAGGAGGGAGAAGGAAAAGGGAGAATGCTTGTGAAGAGGGGGGGGGATAGAGTGTTGTGTTGAATTGTGTGTTGTGTCGTGTGGATTGGGTTTGGTGAGGGGTGAGAGGGTGTGCGTTGGGTGCGGATGGGCTCAGTCAGTCAGCTGCTGGGCGGGTGAAGGGTTATGATGATAGCCCGCCTAGTTGGTCGGCCGTTCACTCGGATGCGTAGTCTGGTATGCAATATGCAGTCGAAGTCGAACATTAGCGGCTAGCGGCAGCGGCGTGCGTGCATAGGAGACATGGGTGCATGGGTGCACCGAGGCCGCGGCGAAGTTGGACTATGCACGACCTGACCTGCTACGTGCTGTGAGCGAGTCTGCGCGTCTGCGGCTGACGGGTGATCCCAGTCCCTTGTCCCTGGGCTGCCAGCCAGCCTTACAACTCACCCACCACCTTGACCAACCCGGCAGGCTGCAGCCTTAAACACACAACGGCGAGACTGACAGGGCCTGCTGGAGGACTGCAGCATGCATCGCGGACACTCCCAATTCTCAGGCCGGATGGTGCAACTATGCAACCCGTTGGCCACCCAAGCGCTGTGCTACCTCAACGGAACACACTCACCACACGCGTATTGGGCGGAGGCAAACACACCACCGCGTCAACGCGTCCACGCGTTTCACTCACGCATTCACAGCATCCAGGCAAGGCACATCGTCTTCCTATTGCTGCATTTGATGCGGTTCGTGCATCCATTGCCTTCCATCCCACCATCTGTCTTCTGCAGCGCTCTTCACTTCCCGTACTTGTTCCCGCATCCGTCCACTAGTCGCTTCCATGCACCCACCCACAGGCCGTTTGCTTACTCGCCCGCTGCTCGATCCCGCACTCGCCGCACTCATGTCCCGCACACACCCCGCTGAATCAAGGTTTGCTAGCCTCAGGTCACCATCATTCGACCCACTGACGCATTCAAGTAGCTATAATTTACATGCCTGCTGTTACTGCCCCGCGGTCTGTGCCGCTCGCATCTACTCAATCTCTCCTCGAGGGCTCACGGGCCGCGGTATCCGGTGCAGGATCCCGTATCTGTGGTCGTCGTCAGCACCTGCCGCCCCACTCCCATTCTTCTGGCTCAATCATATGACCGCCCTGCACCACTCACCCGACTCCACAACCCAGCAGTCCCGAGCCGCCCCACTTCTCGTTCGGGATCACTACCACTTCGCGAAGATTGCTAAAGACGTCAGCAGACATGCCGGATGGTAAAGGCTGCGTTAACGGTACTGGTCCCTTCTCGAGGAAGGTTGCCCAAGTGCTGGAAAGGGTGGCATGGCCGGGTCCCTGTGACCACCGGGTGATCCGCAGACAGGTGCAGTCCCTATCATGGGAGCGCGAGCAGTCGCGGAGGCGCGTCAGACCCGTTGGGATTACGCCTCGTGCTAGGCGTCAAGCAATGTCGGCCAGTGCCTCCGTCGTTTTGGGAGCGACAGTAAGGCACGAGCCGGGACTGTTACCACCAAGACGCGACGTTGCTATGCCGGCAACATTACCAAAACGTGTACGCAAGCCATCCCGCGGTCAGTGCGACCGACAGGCAGCCAATGGGGTGTCACGCGCCGCAGATCATGAGACACGCAGACTCCCGCGCTGTCAAGCCGAAGCATACCGGCCAGATGTGCTTGGGCGGCCGAGATGAGCGAGCTCTGCCTGCACTAGAACCGCCAGGCCGAACTCTACCAGAACGAGAGCCGGCCCAGGAACCCATCCCCAACAATCCCGAGCGCGGCTGCCATACCAGAAAGGAACTCACTCAAGGTCTGCCGAGTAGACATATAATCGCAGGGGCTTATCGATGTGCTAGAAGTGTCAGTGAATACGAAAAACAACGGCTACTCACCGCCTCCACTAGGTCATAGAAGCTGTTCTCGCCGTGCAACGGCCCTCCGGCCCATCCGCAGATCCAGTCACCGAACGGCACAAGCCCCGCCATCTGCAGGTGTGTCAGTCATATACGCGCAGAACTGAGCGGCACTCACCTCGGCTGGGCTAGACTCCAGAACCTCGAGGATGTGCCAGACATTCTCGAGCGCAAGAGCAGGGTTGCAGACTCGAACACTGGTTCCAAGGAGCGAGGCCTTGGACTTATCCGTCGGCTCCCAGTCAGATGTAGGGGTGAGACTGACTTCTGAACATGCGTCAGCTCATCAATGGAGGAGAGGAAGGGCCTTGACCTCCACTCGCAAGCGCTAAGATGCAGGCACTCACCTCGGACCCTCTGCGTCTTGGCGTTGTACACAAAGAGAGAAATCTCCCTTCCCTGATTCCGCTCGAGGATGTTCTGCAGCTCCCTTGGCGTCGGGACCTCCTGGCCAGGCTGCTTGCCCGATCCGTCCTGGATGCCAACGAGGTAATCGAAGAAGGGCTCAAGGAGACCATCGGCTGGCGAGTTCTCCGAGACCTTCAACACGTGAAGAGCGATCTCCGGCAGAGCGGTCGGGGTTGAGGATGCCGTTTGTCCCATCGTTGCTGTTTCGGGAGGAGGGCAGGTGGAGGGAGGGTGACGAGGAAGGTCTGCTGCGATCGCCTGTTGGATTCGATGGCGAGGTCAACGGGCCAATCGGAGCTGATGTGAGTGTTATCACACCAATCGAACTACTGTTGCGTAATTCGAGCCGTTCAGTCTTTGCCGTAACGTTGCGAGAGGGTGGGAGCAGTGATGTTGAGGACGTCGTTTACATCGTCGCCGGTGACGTTGAACATCTTGTCATCTGGGTCAGAGCCGCATCTCGCCGCCGCGGAAGCAAACGCGTCCACGACATGATTTTCCACGTGTTCGTCGACGCGCTTTTGCTCCCGTCTGTCCACTTGTCCGTCGATCGTCGGTCTGCTCCAGCCGTTTCATGCTGACGGACGACTCACTTCACCTCATCATCGACGCACACTCAACAACGCACCCACAGTCCAGCAACACACTGCGGGTCACAGATTACAGACAAAGTCTTGAAGATAAACTTACCATACAACTGAGTGAAGCTATCGCTTCTCCGGATCACTGAAATGCAGCAGCCGCGGAGACGGACGAAATAGAGTTTGATCGCAGGGCTTGACCATGCGGAGCCATAGGACCTCATCAGGGCATAGTTTCGTCAACTGAAAGGTTGCAGATAAGGATGCAAGCTGTCCGATCACTTAACGAAGGCCCAGAAGATCGCGAAATTCACCCGCACCGCCCTTGCGCTTGTGGACACAGCCGGCTTACGGAAGTGCTTCGAAGGGTCGAACACCTACACCCATCACCTGATGTAGCATCCAAGCGAGCAAGATCGTACCAAGGAAAACAGTGACGATACATAAGGGAACTGCCAGCACATCCCCCAACTCATCAACTTTGCACCAGATATCACTGACTCGCCATGCTCATCCGACTGACCATATCGTCCGCAATGGGTATGTTGAGCGAAATCGCTGACGAAACAGCGAGGAAGATGGCTAACACAAGCAAGCGCTGTGCGTCGCGGCCCAGGGCATGCAGCAGGATGGGAACAACTGCAAGCGAATCATGGACACCCGGAAAGATCTTTACTCTGCCTACTTCAAGATGAAGAAGCCTTGTCAAGACGAGTGTCAGCCGTGGTACGACTTCCTACGCAAGGACGGCAAGTATTACGGCCCATCAGTCGGCGACGGCGAGGAGGAGCCTGATGGGACGTACGCGATCAACGTGACCCAACATTGCTCGGTGAGTCATGCTTTCTTTCCCAAGGTTTGCAGGTAAACTGACAGCAGCATCTCGACCTTGCCATGCCATGCCAGGTTTGCAACGGGAACAAGACCTTTGGCCCAGCCTACAGCGACGAGATTCACTCCACAACGCAGTCACAGGAAGCCGGCTTGCCGAATGACGGGATGCTTTACCTCATCACCAGGTGCAGGCAATCGGGCTATGCAACACCGGAAAGCTTGGTAAGTGATGACGGTTGTAGAATGGGGCTATCAGGGCGACCTGAGAAGCCGCTACATCTCAGCAACACCTCTCGAACAGTATTACAAAACACTACTGACGCACAGGACGGCTACCCAAACATTTGGCCCGACAAGGAGGAGCAGCGCAGAGTTGACGTCGGGTCCAAGTGCCGACCAGAGATCATCGGCTGTTTCGATGGAGCCAACTGCAGCGACATCATTGACAAAGTGACTGGCAAACCGTACGACAACGACCGACGGCCAGGCGATGGGAGTGAGAACGTCCCCACCAACGCCTCTGCCATTGTCTACGGCAGCACCATTTCCGCGCCACCTTCCCGCAACACCAGCACATCTGCCTCCAACACCACTACTTCTGCCACGAACTCCAGCGCCTCTTCCTCCAACACCGGCGCCTCTACCTCGGGCACCAGCGCCCCTACCTCCAACGTCGGCTCCTCGACCTCCAACTCAACCCCGCCGCTGCCGGTCTTACCAACCGCCGCGAACGAAACCACGGTGGACTCAACCGCAGCGAGCAACACAGCCTCTCCTCAGCCTAAGGAGACCGACTCGGGCGCACTGGCTGTATCTCTCCCCTTTACCCTTGTTCTTGGCGCACTGGGAATCGCTAGCCTCGTTTAGCCACCGGTCGCCTGTGGACTCACGGTTCGTGTTGCACCATGCTCACACTCATGCCCACCACGGGCCAAGAAGTCCACATTCGCGCGGCTGTGAGGCATAGCCCATTGCACTAAAGTTTAATAATGTTACCTGATTTCTGCAGCACTATTCCCTAGCTTCCCGGGTGATGTGATCTCGATGCCAGGCGCACAGGTCCAAATAGCTAAATAGGGAACAAGGTTGAAGAATCCGCCGAATTCAGAGCCAAGCAAGGCACGGCCATCAGGACTAGGCTTTCAGTCTCCAAACGAAGCCTCGGGCCACAGACTCAGATAACGATGAGGCGGTGTCAGGGATGAAGACGAAACACGAGGGTTGGAGCGGCCATCAAGCCATGCCCGCTACCGTGGGGGAACCAGACGAGATGCACTGCGAGTGCTGCACGCCGAATGCCGTGATGTGAGGTGTGACACAGCTTCAGGAACTCCCTACGTCGATTAGAGCCTTGCAGAACGCTGCACACCTTGTGCCACTCCAGAGAGGTGCTCGCTGCTGTGTATCCCTCACCCTGAGTGCACATGGCATCCGCTTCCATCGGAATGGCGACAACGCGTGCAGCAGCAATGTGGTTCGCCTGCAGATAGCAACGGAGCAGTGCAGTTCCGTCGGAATGGAGTCGCGATCTCCTGCTTATGATCTTCTTCCACGAAGAACGTGCGGTGGTGCCTTGATGCGCCGCCTCCGGTATCCGGTTTCGGCGCTGATGGACGTCCAAGGCTAGCGGGATACAAAGCTGCACTGATGATGTCGTGGGGGCTCGTCCGCCTGTCTACCACACGCACACAGCAGCGACCTACAGTGTACGGGTCATGTTCGGATCGGGACTTCTCGCCCTCGGTAAGTTTCCACAGATACATGGCCGCCTGGACGCTCATTTTCAGCTGCCATAGCTTCGGCGCAGGCATCTTTAGCTTCGTCGTCCGTATCGGCCCAAGCAAACGCCTCCGAGGCTGCGCCTCCCATGGTCGGCGGCACCCTCGCCACACCGACCTGGGCTCCGCCCAACGTGCCATGTGACCCGGAGCAGGTGACCTGGTTCTACCAAGCCACTTTCACGTACGCGCACAAGTGCAGCGAAGCATGCAACAAGTGGTACGGGCTGCTGTACAAGTATGGGACTTACACTGGCCCGCTGTCAGCGGGCCAGAGGGAGCCCGATGGGAAGTATGTCATCGAGCCCGAGGTAACGTGCCCGGTAAGTTTAACAATGTCTCTACTGTTTATTGACTCTGCAGCAAGTCGATTGGCTTGTGGACTGCATGACATGCACCTTGGTGAATGCGACGAAGCCAGCTTCTAACAGCACTATCGAGCTTGGTGCGCGGAACGTCGTTACGGCTTGCCGACAGGGAGGCTACACCATCCCCGCCAGCATGGTGAGATTCACTTCCGCCACATTACTGACGTAGTAGGACAAGTATCGCAACATCAATCCCCACGTCGACCCACTGGGTTCCGCTGCTATAAATGACCTATGTCACACAAAGATTGTCGGCTGCTTCGGAGACGTTGACTGCAGCAACCTCACCGATCCCACTGGCAGGTGGTTCTACAACAGCACGACCGGCGCATACAACAACCGCTCACCTGGTGGCGACTCTGTCGATGTCAATGCCAAAAACATAAACCCAGTCCCTCTGAGTGAAGGTCAAGGCCGGACCAGTGGCGCGCCTGGCGCTGTAGGCACGATCACCAGTCAGGCAGCCTCAGGAGGGGCGTCTAGCACTGAATCCCATCCCTCAAGCCCAATCTGTAGCACCAGCAGCAAGCCAGAGGCCACATCTGGGGCTAGTGCCGCAGCTGCCTCACAGGTTCAGTCCGCGGACTCGAGCGCCACTGTCGGATCAGTCTCCCTCGTACTTGGGTTAGGCATGATGACAGTACTGACTCTGCTCTGGTGATCTTGGAACATATATAGGTCCGGGGGAGGTGTTCGCGCATAGCTTATTGGAGTATCCTCTAGTATGAATGAAGAGGTTGATGCCCTCACGTGTTGCTCAAGCATTATCAAGACGTTCCAACGCTAGTGCAAACATTCAGATAAATAGGACATGATCGTGGAGGAGGTGTTGCCCAACACTTGCGAATGAACCTTGGTGTTCAAATGAACGATCTGTGCGGCGACGGCGTCGCGGCGCTCATTCACAATACTTGAGTGGCTGACTGTAATGGCTTGGGCGCTTTCAGTCAGTTAAAGGAGCGGTCAGTGCAGTGCCATACCGTACATGAAAGTACATGAAAGGGGCACGGATGCACAGCCCGACGTGTGCTGCCGCACGCGTTGTGTCAATTTACCCCTTTTCGTGCCTTTTATCGACTCCTGGGTTCTGATTTACCAAAGCGGCCCCGGTTGACAGATAGCTACATCCGACGCCCAACGTTTCGTTTCAGGAGATGGGTAGAATGCATATAAGCAGGCGCAAGGACGTTGTCTTTCCGCGACTTGTCCGCAACAACACCCCACAATGCTCAGCAGCCTCATCATCGCGCTCGCTACTCTCTCGGTAGCTCCGCCCGCGCTCTCCGCTTCAGTTGAACGGCCAGTAGCTATCGCGGAGCGCGAGTTGCCCGCCCTGCATCTCATCGCTCGTGAGGAGAACGGCTCACCGTCCCCTGCCAACAGCTCAGTGATAATGGATCTGGCAAAGGGCCGGCTTGGTGCACAGTTGGGTGGCACAAACAAGAATTCCACGGGAGAGTTGGACGAAGCAGGATGGCCCCGAAACTGCTCAGACCAGTGCGCGTCTTTCAAGGCATTCTGGGAGGAGAAGTACATCTGCGACGGCAGCCTGAAGCTCAGCGGCGACTTCAAAACGAAGTCGTGTTCCGGCATTCAAATGCTGAGGGTGAAAGACGGTTGCGAGGTGCGTCTCCACATCCTGCTTGCTGTCGCACATCGCTGACGGACAGAGCATGGACAAATCCGTGCCATGCTATTTCTGCGTTATTCCCGAACCAGACGTCCAAAGTCAGCTGAAGGATAACCTTGTCAAAAGTCTGAACACGTGCAAGCAGGCTGGCATCACTATCCCGGTAAGCTCTTCGGATAGTTCCAGCTGACTGTTCAGAAAGAGATTGAAGGGATCGACATGTCCAAAGTCTCAGCCGCGACCACTGCGTCTATGTCGGTCGCTGCCGCAATGGCTGCTCTTGGTGTCTCTTTGTTTATGATGGCGTAATCATGTCTGCAGGCTCTTAGCTATTCATATGACAGTCGAATCAGGCGGACGTAGATGAAATCAGAGATAATACGATGCACCATCGCATGGGGGACAGGCAAGGCTGTGTCCGGTTGGTTGCCTCCGGACACCCCGGTCCGGGGAAGGTCGAGCCCTTATCATTCAGGCACATTCCACGGCGATCTCTGCCCCAGGTGGGGCCGACGACTTCTCACGTGCCCGCTATTGCCGTGCTATCATAAGTGTTGCGTGAGGCTGCACAGCCCGCTCTCCCGACAGACAAACAGCCCCCCGGCCTGCTGTTCTCTGCTGCGGTGTGCCTGTGAAAGTCAAAAGCGTTGAATTGTCAGGAAGATTAGATTGCGGCGTTGCGATGTAATCCGCCGCCTTCCGTCAGACACCTTGATGACCTAGGTGTATCTGATCGAGGGTTGAGGCGGATACGACAGATCACATCTGCGGCCGTTCCTCGTTGAACCTTGATGGGCTGTAGTGGAGCGAACCAGAGCCTCATTGCTGGTCGGTTTCGCCGGCGTCAGTGCGTGTCGGCATCGGCCCAGAGTCACCTGATGATTGCTCCACACCTACAGCTCGGAGGCTGTGATCGCCCCTGCCGACGATCACCTTCATCCAGCATTGGCATGCTGTGTTTCTTCAGCGCAGGTGGAGTTGTTGCCGCTCAAAAGACGCCCATAAATAATCTAAGCCGACGTCTGTTTTGACTCCTATCCACTCAGTTACTACACCATGTTGTCCAACTTGCTTTTCGTTACGAGTATGTCCATATTCACCTCCGGGCTGACATCACAGTCTTATCATCCGTCGCCTCTGCTTCCGTTCCGGGCAGCTTCCCCGCTGTAGGCGACAGTACTCCACTGAGTTGGAGCTTAGCTTCGCGCAGCTTAGTCCGCAAGGATACCTCTTCAATTGAGAGAGCCGTCCTCGACCGTATGGGCCCTCAATTGGGCGGCTCAAGCAAGAACTCTTCGGGAGAGCTAGACAGTCTCGGCTGGCCAAGCAACTGCACCAATGCATGTGCGCCCTACACCGCGGTCATCGAAGAGAAAGGTATCTGTGACACGTACAGTGGCGTTGAGGCCAACGCGACTTGCACTTCGGGGTACAAGATGAAGATCTGGGATCAGTGTGCCGTAAGTCACTGCAGGTCCATTCGAGCTCACTTTCAGAACTTGGACAAGAGCACTCAGTGCTATTACTGCGTGGCGCCAAACAGAAAGGGCGAGATGCAGACGAACGTTCTGAACAATCTGAACACATGCAAGGCAAACGGCGCTCAGATCCCTGTAAGTTCCCCTTCTGGTTTAGCTAACTGGTGTAGGGCAGCGTTGAGGGCATTGACATGAGCAAGGTGTCAGCAGGACACTACGTTGCCACTGTGTCCGCCGCATCTGCTTTCATAGCGATGGGTGCAGGCATGCTGATCTCCCTTGTGTGAGATCCCATGACTGGAGGCTGTGAAGACGATTCAGTAGTCATTTTGTAGTTCAAACGCAGACATGCATTGCATGGGGAAGATGGGCATGAGCATCGCTGCCTGTCATTGCGTTATCGGTGGCTGATATCAGCCTCGAACCGGATCCGGTTTGATTACGTTTCATCTGGCCGTTGTTCCGTAGCCGTTCAAACTAACATTCGTACTCTCTCGAAGCAAGGCATAGCCCTCAGGTACCAAGGCTATACAACCGATTCTCCTGACGTCAGAATCCGAACGGTCAAGTCTAAGATGATGATATAGGCAGAACGTTGGTGCACAGCCCTATCGCTCGCTCGGCTGCGTCGCTTATCAGGTGATCGCTCCCAGAATGACCGACACGGAAAGTCACCCGCATGGCAAAAGACCGCGATGATAGCGTGTCTCGGTAAGGCACACTTGAATGAGATCGCAGCCCGGCGGTGCAACGGAACGCTCTGCCTCAACCTTGCTTCCATTAATGAATGGCAGAGAGAGGTGGTGATCATGGTAGTGCCGGTTCAGCAGATCTACCAAACCCGAAAACTGTGATACCAGTGCCATGGAGCCCTTTCAACGGACGTCTGCTCCGGTAAGCTCGGCAATGATGTTTAGGCAGAACAACGAGCTGACCTGTCACACCGAATCACCGTCGCCATAGCTCCTGTCTCCGGCGCAGCTCCTGAAGGTTAACTCGTGCACGAATCGGCACACCGTGCTGCGGCGTGGTGACGGCCTCGGATGCGTCGGCTCGGTTCAGAGAACGATGCCCGCGTACGGAGCATTTGGACAGACTGAAACCCATATAACGTCCATCAAAGGCGCCATCTGTCCCGCCGAAACCACAACATCATGTTGAAGACTCTTATCATCGCCGCCATCACAGCCGCTGGCGCTAATGCGGTTGCCGTCCCGGCATTCCAGCCTCATGAGATCCTCATGCGGGCTCTGCCCGAATTCCCGGTTGGCTTCGGCTATCACCTCCTCCCGCGCCAAGTCGGAAACAGCATCCCTACAGCGACCGGCTCCTTTACTGCTGCGTCTGGAAGCTCGACATCGGCAGTCGCCTCCACTACCAGCAGCGCCTCAACAGCTCTCGTCACGGATCTCCCTTCCTCTGGGGTACGTCCCGGATGCGAGGAGCAGTGCAAGTCTTGGCTGCAGATAATCCGAAGCAGCGAGTGGCGCTCCGCCGAGGCGACGAGGTCGAGCGTCTGGTCCGTGTACCAGAAGGGTGCGGGTCCCCAGATCCTGTGCTCAGTGAGTTCATTGAACCTGCTCGATGGGATCCAAGCGTGATACGATTCTGACTCGCAGAATCTCGACACAGCCTCTACGTGCGGGTTCTGCAACGCCGGTCCCGAGCACAAGGACGAGATGACGAAGGGTATCCAGGCACTCTATAAGGAGTGCAAGAAACTGTACCACGTCCCGGAACACGTGCAGGGTGTCAACGGAGCGAACACGCGAACTGCCTCTGCCGCAATCATAGCTGTTGGCATCGCCGCGGCCCTATGGTTCTAATGAGTTAGAAGCAGGGACTGAGCTGTCGATCTGGCGCGAAGTTAACGAGGTTGTGCTAGTGATAGTAATGAGTTGTAAACATTGCAGATTCATCGGAATGTACATCATGAATAACACCCCGAATCAGTGGCTTGAGAGCTACAACCCAAGAGAGAGGGAGGGCATTCCGGGAAGCCCTGGAGAAGGGACGATGAACCAGACTAAGCTTATCGCATGCTGCGGATCTTCACGACCGGGATCTACGCTAGGCTGTAACCTTACGTGAGAGAGTCAATCTACCGACAGTCAAGACATTGCAATGGCAGCGCTTCTCCACTGCATCCGGCTATTGCAGAAAGGGACGGTCACCAGCGCCACAATACAGGGCAATGCACCTTGAATTGAGGTGCCCATGAACTACCCACTAAGACTTCTCGGTTGCGCCGCTCCCGAGACCTCATCGCCGACTCACCGATGCTGCTATCAATCCGCAGCACTGACCCCTGGACAGCTTTTGTTGACTCTCCAGCGAATCTTATGCTGTGCTTTATCCGACCTGCGTGACGGCACCGCCGCCCTTCCTCTGTGAGCAGGCAGCAATACGCAAGCTGACTTACTATCCCTTCAGCCCCAGGCGCGCCGACGTCGAGTGCTGCGCGGTGCCGGTTGTACCGACAGTATGAATTGGACATCCGAATAGGCGGAACGGGGCTTGACTTCCTTCAATCATCGGCTCGGTCACCACCCACAACACCGTCCACTGTGTTCCCGTTTTAGCCGCTTTCATGAGGAAGCGCGCCTGGCTAATGCAGATGAGGAGACTGCTCATTCCACTGCTTGACATCGCATACGGTGCCCCGATGCCCCCATGCGCAATGAATGAGGCCCGTCGCGTTGCATGGAAGTCGAGGAGGGATATTCGAAGGCACTCAAGTCGGAGGGAGGCGGTGGCGTCGGCGGCGTTTGCCAAATGCTGCCCTTCTCAACGAGCAAACAGCCAACGGTCGTCAGCTGCTGCTCTGCCTCGGCTTACTGGACGGCGACCTGCTTGCTCTCTGCTCTGGTGGGCAAATCCATGCACTGTCTGTCCGTCCATGCTCTTCCCCTTCATTCTCAATATAGAAAAGCCGGCGCAGAGCTGCTTGTTTTCTCTCCCCCAGATTCTCTTGGAAACAACGAACTCAAGCCCCCATGCTGAAGTCTGCCATTTTCGCTCTCACCGCCGCCGCTGCCGCCAACGCGGCCGCTGTGAACACCGCTGCCGGTGGTATCCAGCTTCACGAGCTCGTCCTGCGTACTGTGCCCGAGGCCTCTGCGGCTGGGAACAACGCTGCCGGCGCGGGCCTGGGCGGGTTCCCGACCTTGGCGCAGCCCGGCTGCGACAACCAGTGCAAGCCCTGGCTGGACATGATCAACGCGGACCCCTGCTTCACGGCCGAGACCTGCCCCAACAGCGAGCTGATGCAGACTGGCAAGCGGATTTGTGAGGTGAGTCCCCCCTCAGCCTCTGCAGGCTTGGAGTCGTAACACTGACCCAATCAGAACCTGGACAGCATCGCTGCCTGTGGATACTGCAACGTCGCCGCCGATGACAGGAACGCCGTGTCCGACAGCATCAAGAAGACCTTCGACGCGTGCCAGAACGCGTACGGCGTTCCCGCCAAGCTCCCCGCCGCCCCGGAGGTCAAGGAGGTCGCTTCGTCCACCCAGAGCGTCAAGGAGGCGGAGACGTCCAAGGCCGCTGCACCCAAGGAGTCGCAGACCTCCAAGGCGGCTGAGGCGCCCAAGGCCTCTGAGCCTGCCAAGGCTGCCGATGCGTCCAAGCAGGAGAAGAGCGGAGCTGTGGCGCGTACCGCTTCCATCGCTGCTGTCGCGGTCGGTTTCGCCATGGCGCTGATGATCTAAGCGGTTGAGGTCAAAGGGGAATGATGCTGTTTGCCGATCAGTCGGCACCCAACTTCTCTTACGGATGTCTTGTATCGGGCCGGACGGTCCACATTGGAATGTATCAGAAGTAGAAGTGGTTGTTTGCCGTGGACCAGTCTTCCCCAGCACATGCTGAGGAACGTGAGATCGAAGCGGGATACCGGAAGCAGTTCCTGTGTGCGGCCCCCTGAATGGCGGACTTCGGACTCGTCCCGAAAGCCGAAAGCTGTACGCTGCGTACCGTGATGTCCGCCTTTGACGGACAGGCGGTGGTCTCTCTTGACTATTCAGGGTCGCCGCCCCAGCAACGAGTCAGTGATCGCGCATTACCCCAGAGTCCGCGACTTGGAAATGGCCAGAGGGAGAACGAGGCGGACCCGTGATGTGACCAGAGATCGACGTTTACTTCCTGATCTTCGGCAACCATATCCTTCCAGGGATACCACTGGAGACCGATTGAAAACAGTGCAAACAGCTTGAGCGTGACGTCAGGGAGGCCGATGCTCTGTTCCAGCGCGTTGTCCCACCGCGTTTCTAGACGCCGTTAAACATGTCACGAGTCTGACACGCGCCGTCCCTCGGACCACTGACAGAGGTATACTACAGTACCGCCTCACCGAACCCCGCGCCGCCCCCTGCCTCCGCCGATCCGTCGGAACTGACGGGGTGAGCGGAGTTGGCACTGAGCGCCAGCAGAGCGCTCGTTGGCTGCCAATGCAGTTGGGCGTCGAGGTATATAATAGGGCACCGCAACGACCTGCTCTTCATCAACATCTGACGACCTACATGCTGAAGACAACCATTCTCTCTCTCAGTAAGTTGCCCCGTCGGAACGCTTCTCACCCCAGCTCTTGCCTCCACAGGCTTCGCCGCTGTGTTCCAGCGAGACGACGCCCCTAGCTCGTCAGTCCCCGCGCCCTCTGCCTCCGCCTCGGTCAGGCCGCCCGGCTTCGTGGAATTCGGGAACACCTCCTCAGTCCCGGACAAGTGCAAGGACTCGTGTGCGCCGTGGCTCCAGACGCTGGACAACAACGGCAGCTGTCTGAGCTACCTCGACGTCGCGTCAAACGGGGACGGCAAGGGCTTCGACGATGACTATCTTGGCCTGAACTGCAAGAACAAGGACAACGGTCAAATTGCAAGCCTGCAGCTGCTGTGTAACGTGAGTAAGGAGGCCTGTCCATTTACCATCCCTCAACTCGCCCCCGCAGGAGGCGTGGTCGCAGATCGCTGACACTCCGCAGCACCTTGATCAGTTCTCAACTTGCGGTCATTGTCTGGTGCAGGACGCGCAGCGCGGGGAGCTTGAAGATGGCATCAAGGTCGTCACCAGCACGTGTAAGAAGCGCGGGCAGACGATGCCGGCAAAGATTGAGGGCGTCTCCAGCAGTGCCAACGCGCTCAGCGCTTCCGCCGCTATTGCCTTGGGCGCACTCGCCGCTGCTGCCCTGTGCTAGCTGAAAGGCGGAGAAACTCCTTATAATCGCCCAGAAATGCAGCTTTAGCTAAAAAGACTCTTTAAGAGTGCGTGTGCGCTTGCTCTCCGACAGTCGCCACTGACCCCTCCTGCCTGGACGCGTCGTTGGCAGGCTGGAGGCGGATATTTACTCTTGCACCATTGATCTGCTGATCGAGAGACATCTCTCCGTTGTTCCCTCCATGGACAGGAGGCCCCCGCAGCTGTCATGCATGTCTGACTGGTCCTCAGGGCAATACCGTCTTCATTTGCTGGATAGCCACTCCAAGCTGTGCCTTTAATCCAGGAGTGACGTTATTCCGCCGGAAAAGAATCAAAGAGCCACATGTTCGCATTGGTAGACACCGGCCCGGTTCCGACGGAAGCAGCCGGATCGACACGGAACCGCGATCGCCCGCCCTTAGTACTGCAACTAGTGGGTCAGGCGAGTCAGATGCGGTGCACAGTGCACGTGGGGTCCTCTAACTGCGCACAGTGGGATCACAAGTCGAGCACTGGACGAAGGAGAGCAGGAGGAGATGCCGAATGCCGATCTCATCGGTGTCAGCCCATTGTCGCGTCTCAGAGACCGGAAGCTCTGTTCATATCATATCTAATCCGCGCCTCTGCTCTGCGAACGCTCAAGGTAACTAAAGAGGGACTAAAGTAGGACGAAGGTGAGCGCCGCGCAACCTGCAACTGCAATGCTGAAGACAGACGATGCCGTCCTCCATTGGCCCGACGCGTCGTTAGGCGTGTTGCCAGACGAGGTGCCAGGCGAGGCGCCAGACGTGGTGCCGGATGTCTTGCCAGACGAGGTGCTAGACGTGGTACCAGACGTTCCGCCAGTCGTGCTGCTAGATGAGCTGCCGGACGCGTTGTCCAAGGTGCCTCGCAGCGACTTCATAGCCGGGTCAGGGATGGAGTTGCCACTTTCAACAACGCCCTCGATGCTGTCCTAAACATCAGCATGGTACGGTGAGTGTTCCTCACGGGCACATCAAAGCGGAACTCGTTCCTGCATTCATCGTTCAAGTTCTTGAGACCTTCCTGCATCTCGATCTTCCTCTCGGGGCCCCTAATGCAGAACGCGCAGACAGCGACGTAGTCCAAGTTCTGCAAGTCAGGATTCGCTCTGCCCTCAACATCAATGGACACGTACCTCGCAGATAACTCGAGCGCCGGGAGCCTTATCCGCAGCGCAGCTCCTTGCTCCATCCGCTGGGTTTGCGCTATCCTGGCATCGGCTGTACAGGTAGAGTGTCTGATTCCACTGCGTGCACTCATCGGCGCACCGGGCAGGGATCTCTGTCAGGTCCGAATCGCCAAGGCTATCGTCAGTCTCGGGATTGACGCTTTCCGATGACGGGCTAGTCGCAGATGAAGGGTCGACACCCGAGTCGGAGGTGTCTGACGAAGGAGTCGAAGAGCTGCCTTCGATGCCTGAAGCAGCATCCACTTCCTCCCGAGAGCACAAGACAGGGCCGCCAACACGAGTTGACGCCGGAACATTGCTAGCAGCAGCTTCCTGAGCTGCTGCCGAGGAGAGGTGGGCGAGGGTAGTGACTGATGTCAATGTCAACAGAAGCTCGTTTCCGCCTACTCACAAAGAGCGAAAAAGAGTGTTCGGACCATGACGTGAGTGGCCTCTGGTGGGAGAAGAAGAGTTCGATGGATGCGATGATGAAGCGCGGGTGTGTTGTTGTTGTCTTCCGCCTATGAGGGTGAGTCAATGCGTAAGCCAACGACGAGGATGACCATGGAGCTGTTGTGGAAGCCGTGCTGGAGCGCACCGTGCCCTAAGGCGTGAGGGGGAGGGCATATCAGAACGTGGCGCCGGGCCGGGTCCGAAATGTGATGCACGAACGGAGTCCTTCTGAAGTACATAGGCGGCTTCTCCATTTCAACTTGGATGCGATGTAGGTCAGCGTCGTTAGTCGCGACGGGAAGGCTCGGTCATGGTCTGCAGGAGTGAGCGACGAAGCGATGACGTGAGCACGGAACTGGTGCTGTCCGTATCTTATCTCGGTCCGGGTGACCGTGGGAAACCGCTAGCAGGTCGAAACGTCGTAACTGGTCTCCCGACTCTTCGTTGTCGCCCACTCACTCTCGTCAAACGCATCCTACTCCGCGTCTTCTGCGATCTCTCCCTCATCGTCTGCACTTGCAAAACCGTCCAATTCTGAAGTCCGCTATGTCTTTATGTGGTCTTTCCAATATCATGAACCGAGCACTACCGCGGCCCTCATCCTCGTCTCGTTCCTCTACCTCTTAAACGTCTTCGGCTGGTTCGCCCAAGTCCTCCTGTCGTGTGGTCTTCTTGGCCAGATTTTTCTTGGAATCATCTATGGCACCCCTCTCGCCGGTCTCCTTCCCCAATCACTTGAGGAGTCGCTCGTTGGTATCGGTTATGTCGGCCTGCTCCTCATTATCTTCGAGGGTAAGTGCACTGAACACGAGAGTGCTGTCATCTCACAAACAGGTGGGATGCAGTCTTCGCTCATGCATTTGAAGGCTACCCTGGGTCTTTCCGTCGCTGTCGCGCTCACAGGCATCCTTGCTCCGATGGCACTGTCGTTCACCCTCATGCCAATGTCGGGCGCTCCTGCTTTGCATGCGTTCGCGGCCGGCTCCTCGCTCGCCTCCACGTCGCTCGGCACTGTACTCGGCGTTCTGGCCCCGAGTGTGCTTGGATTCGACCTCCGGCGCACAATGCTTGGCGCGACGCTCCTCAGCGCCGCGATCATGGACGACGTGGCCGCCTTCGTCATCAGCAAGGTTCTCCAGGTCATCGGCGCGGGCGCGGGCGGTGCAGAGCTCGGCCGCAATATCGGCCGTACGCTAGGTGTGACTCTCGGGATTGCGTTTGCTGCTGCAGTGCTTGCACGTTGGGTTTTAAAGCCAGCGTACCTCTGGTTGCTGGCTCGGCCGACGCTTTGGCGAGGCAAATCTTGGGGCGGCACGCACTTGCTCATCGCCATCAACGCGGCGCTCTTCACTGGTGCCGTTGCCGTGGCTGGGTACGCGGGGACCTCGCTGCTGTACGGAGTCTACGTGTCCGGTCTCTGTATTGCGTACATGTGCGACTCGGATGTGTCGGCCGATATGGGAACTGGTCTACCGCTCGCTGAGTCGAATGCGCCGAGATTGGGGCAGCCGACTTCGGAACCGGCCACGACGAATGAAACTTCAACCATGGCAGTGGAAGAGGAGGTCTCCGAACTGAGTCTGATCGATGCATTCGACGCGACCGTTCCGCCCGTGCTGAACACGCTCCTCCTACCCATCTTCTTCGGCTCGATTGGGTACTCGATCCCGTTCATCCCCCTCTGGCGTGGCACAATCATCTGGAAGGGCATCATCTACGCCGTGCTCATGACGGCGGGCAAAATGGTGTGCGGGGCTTGGATTTTCGCCCTGCACGGCCAGAAGGCATGGCGTGCTGCAGTGTTTCTCGGCATGGCCATGGTTGCGCGTGGAGAGATAGGTCTGCTGTGAGTGCGGGTTGGGAAAGTTTGAAGTGAATACTAACATGCAGAATCTCGCAGATTGCACTGCATACCCCCGACCCCCTCCTGAGCGATGACGAATTCCTAATCGTTACCTGGGGCATCATCTTGTGCACAATCGTTGGACCCCTTGCGGTCGGCCTGCTGGTCAAGCGATGGGGCAAGCTCGTCCTCGCTGGCGGGCTCGACTGAGGCGGCCACATGTCGCCCTGCTCACCCCGTTGGTCTCGCACGTGTATCAAGTAGAGCAAAATGCAACCGATGGGCAGCAATACTTCAACTACTTACACAAGCTGGGACAAGGATGATCAGCACAGAAGCTGGATTCATGCACCTCCCACCCAAAAGTAGGAGTGTTCATGGAAGGAAGGCTTTGAGGGGTAGACTGTCGATCCGCGACAGATTGTTTCTTGGCGCGTCTCCCGTCTCTCTGTGACCTCATCGTCTCGTCTACACTGATGGTGATCGCGATCGTGGCACGGACCTCCTTCAAATTCCGGAATGACCAGGGGCCTGCACCAGACCAGGGGCAGCTACGCTTGCTGCGGGGTTAGCCGTAGCTACAGCCAGCCGAAGACGCCATTGGGTGCCAAGCCTCGACGCCACCTCGGGACGGTGTCAGTCCAGACTCGCTGCCAGCCCGATCAGCGGCAGCCCGGGATGTCTGCGTCGCCGTATCCCGAATACCTATCGATCTCCGAGTGCTCGCCTGGCCACGCCAACCACGTCGATCTCGGCATACTACGATCGAGCAGATCTCGGTGGCATGCGGGGACGTTAGCCCTGCCCACCTGCTGACTCGTTCGCTGTCGTTGGCTGCCCACATGCCACCATCGCATCAGGAACGGTCTTCGGAGGTGCCCTTGCGTGCAGCCTGCGGAGGCACAAGGTGGCACCACGGGAGCAGCTGTGGGACGGTGTGGGACGCTGAGGGCCCCGGAGTCCCCAGACCCCGCAAAACAACTCCGACCAGAGTCCTTCCGAAGCGTCCCAGCCGTGCCAAACGAGCCGGTCAGAGTGGGGGAGCCTGCGCTTAACGAGCTCACATGCATGCCTGAGTCACCTGGAGCTGTCTCGTGTACCATGCATGCTGCTGCGCAGGTGCCCAGCGGGACTGGGGGCTTGGGGCCAGTGGCGCCGCGGGAAATTGCCGAGCGCTCAAGTCTTGCCCAGCGCGTCCAACGAGTCTGGCGTTCGTGCTGGGGCTATCTTCCTTCAACCCAGCGGGCTGGTGTCCGGGGGCCGGTGTTCGGCGCTCGGACTACGGTATCGTGTCAGATGATCGCCCACTGAACAAGGAGGGAGCAACGTGAGAGCGCGATGAAAGAGCGGTTATCTCGCACTGATCGCCTGCCCACACCGCTCTGCTGATCATGTGATCTGTCGCACGCGTCGCGTAGCTCGCTGTCCGCGGTCTACACTGTAGGGCCGGCCCGAGGCCCGCAACAGCAACGGCAACTGGTCTGCTCGATCACTGATACCGGCAAGGGGATTCGAAATGCGACAGCAAGCCCGATTCGAAAACTACCGCCGAGAAGTGCCCCGTCAGGACAAGACGAAGCCTGACCCTATCCCCGCATTGGCTCAGTTGGGTGTGCTAATCTCTCCCAGCCTTAATCAGCATGAAACGGTACCGATTGTATGCCGTTTAGCCTGCCGGATTGCCAGGGCCGCTCAGCTGCAAGTTCTGACTGGACTGCCGTTGGAGAGACGGGCCTGACGGGCGGGCTTCAGCACGGAGCCCAATGGCTGATCGCACAGCGCCGAAACCCCACGCTCCGGTGCGGACTTGTGTACGCATGCCTGCGCCTCTCCTGGCGCTGGCGGTCCTGAAACCTGCTCAGACGCGTCGTGATCCACATGACATGCTGCTGGCGGCCTGAGCTGTTCCAGCAGCCTGGAGGGATGGTGAAGGGCGCCGCAGGTGTCGTAGGGCTCGCCGTAGAGCTCGAAACAGGGTTGGACGGATTGTTGCGATGGCTATTTATCCGCCGAGTGATCCGGCACTGCCGCCGGCATCTCGGCCTCTTCCCTCCCTGTACTTGCCCTGTGGGCGCCAACAAGTCCAGCAAAGCACGCGTCGTCGACAAGCTCTGCTGAGTGCGCTGTGTGTGCCGAGCGGGGCAGGCACCGATGCTCCGCCCTCCGCCCCCGCTCTCCGCCCTTCGCTCCGAAGGACAATCCCCGCTTGGACGTGCAGCAGGGAGTCAGAAGCGCGGGGAGTAATGTGGGGTAATTTACCACCGTGCATCGATCGGCCATCTGACGTTTCCTACCGGCTCGCAGTACTTGGAGCTCGCCTGGCTGGAAGGAGCCTGTTGCTGGGAAAATGTGGGAGCAGACGTTGAATCTGTTTATCCGATGACGTGAGGCCCCAAGCACCAGCCCAGCATCCGAATCACCAGGAGCTCCCCAGGGTCAGCTGCAGCCCGAGCCGCTCGTTCAGCCAACTGGAATGCAGGTATTGGGAGATCTCAGGCTATTCAGGACGTTCCACCAGCCATGCCCCTTTTGCACGTGGGAGTCACCAGCCCCTGGAGCCTGGCTGGTCCGCTGGGGCTCTCGACTGGCGCACGCCCGACTTTTTTTTCGGACCACCGCAGAATAGTTGATAGCGGGATTCGGCGTGTCAACACCCAGATGCGGATCGCCGTTCTCGCTCTGGGCCGCCTATGCATCGACTCACACGGTTATCGCTGTTCGCTGGGCGATGCCAATCTCGCTGGTTGGCTCGTGGGCAGAGGCGACTAACGCGATAGACGAGACTGGACGCTGGGGAGCGACTCGAGCTGGCTGCAGGAAACGCAATACCCTCGGCTTCAGCCGACGTCATGGGCTGGAACAGATGTCGCTCTGCTCTCCCACCGACATTCCCCTCCGCCTCCCCCTCGTTCCTCCTCCGCCAGCGTGCTCTCTGGGGGGAACCTGCAGGGGTTACGCAGGAGCTAGAGCTTCGGCACGTCTGCCCCCACCCCCGCGGAGCCGTGCATGCTGAGACTGCTTGTGCATATGGTGGCGCGCACAGTACAAAAAGTTCGAAAACGGTGGTTCAGTTTCTCCAGTTTGTCCGACCGCACGATCCATCACTGCTCCCTCAACCCCTCACCGCGCCTGTCTAATCCTGTCCTCGCCTGCACCACCAGGGTATCCCCAGTGCCTGCATAGAACCCAAACGCGCTTGCCTGCACGTACGACCGCACCGCTTAGCAACGAGAGCAAAGACCACGTCGGAGCTCCCCCGCCCCCACCCTCGATACATAAAGAAAAAGACGATCGTCTCGCACCTCTTTCTATCCCCCATCTCCACCCCTCTCTACCTCTTCACCATGTTCGCCCTTCGAACTGCTGCCGCGCGCACCTCTACTCGCGCCCTCCCCCGCGCCCAGGTTGCCCGCGTTTCGGTCGCCCGCAACTCTGTCGCCCGCGCTGCCTTTGCTCTCGCTGCCCGCTCCTACGTCGTTCCTGCCACCCCCGTCCCCAACTCGACTCTTGACTCGGCTCCCTTTGCCCCCTGCACCAACGTCGGCCCCGACTCGACCGTCAACAAGGTCTGGCCCAACGCCGCTGAGGCCATCAAGGATGTCATCACTGGCAACCAGCTCATCCTCTCTGCTGGTTTCGGTCTCTGCGGTACCGCCGAGACGCTCATCCAGGCCATCGTCGACCGCCCCGACATCAAGGGCCTCACCGTTGTTTCGAACAACGCCGGTAACGTCGGTGCCGGTGGTCTCTCGCCCCTCGTCCTCTCTGGCCAGATCGAGAAGATGATCCTCTCCTACGTTGGCACCAACAAGGCTCTCCAGGACGCCTACATTGCCGGCAACGTCGCCCTCGAGCTCACTCCCCAGGGCACTATCGCTGAGCGTCTCCGTGCCGCTGGTGCCGGTATGCCCGGTTTCTACACCCGCACTGGTTCCGGCACTGCCGTCGAGACCGGTGACATCCCCATCAAGTGGTCTAAGCCCGACGCCGAGGGCAAGCAGGTCGTCGAGGTTCCCGGCCACAAGAAGGAGGTCCGCGAGTTCGACGGCAAGCGCTACATTTTCGAGCCCGCCGTTCACGGTGACGTCGCCATCTTCCGCGCCTGGAAGGTCGACAAGGCTGGAAACTGTGTCTTCCGTTACACCACCCGCGCCTTCGGTACCCTCGTCGCCAAGGCTGCCAAGTACTCGCTCGTCGAGGCTGAGAACATTGTCGAGATCGGCGAGATCGACCCCATGGACATTGACCTCCCCGGTATCTACGTCGACCGCGTCGTCCCCGCTACTGAGGAGAAGAAGATTGAGCTCGTCACCCTGACTGAGCCCGCCGAGGCCGCCGCCGAGTCCAAGGACGACGCCCCTAAGAGCAAGTCTCAGGAGAACCGTATCCGTATCGCCAAGCGTGCGGCCAAGGAGCTTAAGGACGGCTACTACTGCAACCTTGGTGTCGGTATCCCCGTTCTCGCTGCCAACTACGTCCCCGAGGGCGTCAACGTCTGGCTCCAGTCCGAGAACGGTATCCTCGGAATGGGTCGTTACCCCACCAAGGAGGAGCTCGACGCCGACGTCATCAACGCCGGCAAGGAGACCGTCACCCTTGTCCCTGGTGCTTCCGTCTTCGACTCGTCCGAGTCCTTCACTATGATCCGTGGAGGTCACGTGGACGTTTCGATCCTGGGTGCCATGGAGGTTTCCGCCACTGGTGACCTCGCCAACTTCATGATTCCCGGCAAACTTGTCAAGGGAATGGGCGGCGCCATGGACCTCGTCTCTGCTCCGGAGAAGACTAAGATAATTTGCGTCACGAATCACTGCGATAAGGTAAATTTTGAGCCCAGAATGCATAGGAAACGTGTAGAAGAAGAAGCGCTAACGTCCAGTACGGCAACTCGAAGATCGTCGAGAAGTGCTCCCTCCCTCTTACCGGCAAGGGCGTCGTTTCGACCATCATTACCGACCTCGCTGTCTTCCAGGTTGACCGCGAGAACAAGAGCGGCGGCGGCCTTACCCTCACTGAGCTCGCCGAGGGCGTTACCCTCGAGGAGATCAAGGAGAAGACCGGTGCTCCCTTCAAGGTCGCCGAGAACCTCGGCACCTTCTAAGCGCGTTCTGCCGGCTTCAAACGCAACTCGCATCGATCGCCTGGTCCCCCGCGGAGTCTTTAATACCCTCGCGATGGCGGTCCCTGTATAAAACTGGGAGACAATCATCAAAATCAACACGGAGAACAGAAGAAAAAGGAGAAGAAGTAATTTCATTCTGATATACCCTAGGCACTTGTTAGCATTCAGCATTGTACTCGCATAGAGATGCACTTCAGTACATCTTGACATCCCTCGCCTCCTTGCACCTGCACCATCTGACGGTTGGCTGGCAATTCGAAGAAATCGAATGTTTGAACGCCGAGGTCCACACGGGCATAACGTCATCACCTCGGATCAGGGCCTCGCATAACCGTCGGTTAATCGGAGGCTCCACTCTGCCCCGCTCAACGGGCGCCTCCCGCGTGCCATCCCGTGAGAGACCTCGGCGTCTTCTTACAGAGGTACATCGCCGATTCTTCCAGGCGTGATTTTCTCGATTTCTTGTGTGTATCCGCCACCGTGAGCTGGCGTTGTTGTAAGTGCGCCCTGGACGACTGCCCAGATGCACCGCGTGGTTCTGCTCCCGTGGTCACGTGCCCCAGTAGCCTCCACCTTCCATCACGAGTCCCGTCATCCATCCTGACGACTTTGCTTCTCACCTGCCGCCTTCCTCATCGTTCTCGATGCCGTCAACATCATCCATCCACTGCCAAATGACCCCAGCCCTCGTTCTGCTCCCATCTACTCAACTCACCCACGCCACTCATGCCTACTGACTGCTCGAACCATCAAGCTTCTGCAACACTACGTAAGGTAAGTGAGTTGAAGGCAGTGTCCATCGCTTCTACGAAAAAGGAAGGCGGCAGAAGCGCATTATAGGGGTTTGCTGTCTATAGTCCACATCAAGTGGCTAGAGTGCTGCACCAGATTACTGCTGGGTGAGCTGGACGATGTGCTCGAGGGCGGCCTTAAGCTGGGCGCGGAGCTCCTCAACCTCCTGCTCGAGCTCGTTCGAGCGCTTGCAGTGGTCGCCGCCGCCCGACTGCGTGGGCTGAGGGTTCTGCGAGGACGAGGGGGATGGCTTGCCACCGTCACCACCACCCGAGGGAGTAGGCGATGACGACGGCTTGCCGCCGTCGCCGCCGCCGTCGCCGCCGCTGGAGGGAGTGGGAGAAGACGAGGGCTTGCCATTGCCGCCGCCGCTGGAGGAAGGAGAAGCAGAGGGCTTGTCACCGCCATTGGACGTGGGCGAGGCAGAGGGCTTGTCACCGCCATTGGAAGTAGGAGAGGACGAAGGCTTGCCACCGTCACCGCCGCCGGAGGGAGTAGGGGAAGACGAGGGCTTCCCACCGTCACCACCGCTAGAAGGACAAGGAGACGACGAGGGCTTGCCACCATCGCCACCGCCAGAGGGAGTAGGAGAGGTCGAAGGCTTGCCGCCGTTCGAGGAAGGAGTGGGCTGGCCACCACTGGACGAAGGCGTCGTCTGGCCACCACCGGACGAAGGCGTCGGCTGGCCACCACCGGACGAGGGCGTCGGCTGACCGCCACCAGACGAAGGCGTCGGCTGACCACCGCCGGACGAGGGCGTCGGCTGGCCACCGCCGGACGAGGGCGTCGGCTGACCACCGCCGGACGAAGGCGTCGGCTGACCACCACCAGACGAAGGAGTTGGCTGGCTGCCGCCGGACGAGGGAGTAGGCTGACCACCGCCGGACGAGGGAGTCGGCTGGCTGCCGCCGGAAGACGGAGTCGGCTGACCACCGCCAGAAGTAGGAGGGCCAGTAGGGTGGGGGCCGTCAGTGGGACCGCCAGTGGGGCCGGGGCCCGGACCGCCACCGCCGTCGTTGCAGTTGCAGAACTTGTGGGCGAGACCGAAGAAGTCCTTCTCGCAGCAGAGGGCGCAAAGCAGGCCGAAAGTGCGAGTGTTGAGCTGCTGCAGCTCGGCGCGAGCGACAATGTCCTGGTTCTGGAGCGGAGCGGGGGCGGCGAGCGCGCTGGACGCCGCCGCGAGGGCGACGAGGACAGTACCGGAGAAACGCATCGGTGCTGTTTGTGGTGGGCTTTCCGTGTGGGGGTGGAACGAGAGTAGAAGTACGAGAGCCGAGAAGAAGTGAAAGCTGATGGGGTTGGGGACTGACGGTCTGCCAGGTTATATACGGTCGTCCGGCAGCCCACTTCGAAGTGTTTAGAGCTCGTTCCCGCGCAGCAAGCTAATGCAAGTGCACAGGTGAAGCAGGCCATCCTGCCGTAGTGCCTCCGGCAGGGACTGACAACCTGTGGTCGGAGGGTCGCTCGGCATACTCGCTCGCGCAACCACCACCGCGACCCTCCAGGATGGTGCTCGACCGCGTTGGTGGACTTCCCGGTTAGGTGCCACACAGGCTATCGCGCAGACGGGCAAGAGGGCGAGCGAGGTAGTGCTCAAGGAGGTGCAGTAGCCGCGGCTCGCAGCGAACGCACTAGTGCATGTGGTGCGACGCCCTCCCTGGCATGCCTGGCGTGCCCAGACATGTGCCCTCGGCATGAGAGCGGTCTGCTGCAGGGGGAACCAGCGCGCAGTCGTCAGCATTCCGAGCATCGCGTTCGATACCCGGGCACGTCTTCCAGGTAGCCTCCCAACACCCGCCTGCACCGACCATGCGCTGATATCCACAGAAACGGGACCGCATTCGCGGGTAGCCCTCCAAAGCAGTGAGAGATCCTAATGGCAGATGACGCAGCTTGGCCAATATCAGCGGAACTCACCCACCGAGCGGCGAGCGGGCTCATGCAATTCAGTCCGCAGTCCGGGCAGGACTGTTCAGGACACCCAGAATTGCTGCAGTCGCCCTAGTCGCGTTTCAAGCTTGGAGCCAGCGTAGGAACGTGGCCATGAACATAGCGCAAGGCGTACCGTGGAGTGCCGCAAACAACATCAGGTGGTACAGGTGGAGCGCGACGACATCAAGAGCAGCAAGCATCGGATACTCGGTCCCGCACCCGCATGGGCTACCGCCGATCGGGAAAAGACTTGATCACGATTGCGACAGCGGAGCACGGCCCAAGACGCGTTAGACGCGCCATGCCGCCATGCTAGCGCTTTACGCTTGCTTCGCTTCGCTAAGGGCACCGCCATCGGTCACAATGGGCAATCAGTCACGGAATGCAAGCAGAAGCCGTGCAGCAACATGGGGCAGCTGTCGCTCCGGGTTATCCACATGTTGCTTATGCGCGATTAGCAAGGCACGTCGCACTATGGAAGCTCTATTGCATAGTTGCGCAGCAGAGCTTCTCGTCACCGAGCTCTTCGCAGCACACTCCTCAAGACGGACCAGCACATGACCAAGTGCTGCTGTGCTGGACCCATGAAGGGTTCGTGAGCTGGCTCGGAGAAGAGACATCCACTGAGAACAAAGCGTGGTTTTACAGGTCGCGCAGATAAGCACGCTTGCAGGCGTGCTCACCAAGTCAGGGGGAATATGCGGGGAGGGTTGCCGGCGCGGATCGTCATGTCTGCCTAAACGGTAGCAGGTCCATGGTCGTGCATGCATCCTGCATCCTAAGGATGGCCGTTCTCTCATTCGTGCGGACAACGATCCTCATCGTTGAACTAACGATGCCTCAGGGTGTCGAAATCCGGCTATGTCGCATTCTGAAACGGACGCCGAATTGGCCGAACTGCGGGCAATAGTGGTCTGGTATGACGCGCGCCGTTCACGAACAAGGCGCTAATGACACTAACAGATTAGCGCGGCGGAGCTGAGTTACCAGTGAGCATGCTTGAGGAGTAACTGCTGACCACCTAAGACACGTCATGGAAGGCGGCCTTGCAGAGCGCGCAGTCGCGGGCACGATCAGGAGCCCGGACCAACGTCTTCCGCAGGCTAGCGAGTTCCAATTTGGGAATCGACGGGCCAGTCGAAGTTGGGTGCCGCTCGCGGTGCCGCTCGCCGAGCAGTTATGAGGAACGAGGATGCAGGTGGAGAAGCAGCGACCTCAACAGCAAACGCGGTCCTTGGACCCCTCAGACTCCGGTTACTGTCACCATAAACAGAACCGAGGCCAAAGGTGCAGTCCAACGACGGCCAGACAACGACGGCCAGAGTTGCGCGACTGTCAGAAGCGCATCGCGGGCCATAGCATGCCTAATCTGACCCGCCTTGTCTCACTTGCCAGCTCACCTAGCCGTAGTGAGCCAGTTTCGACCAAGAGGCCATAACTACGTGCCCGATTGCTGTTGTAAATTGTCAGAACTGCAACCGAACCTCCCGTGTCCATGGGCGCCAGCTGTGGTGAAACCGTGATGCAAACCAAGAGCCTGCATATGGGAGCTTTCGCGTTGTCCGTTTGGGACCATCGGTGCTTCGATCACAGCACATGCGCGTTCGGCAGCCCTGGTCCACCGTGCGTGTCCCGAGAATAGACACTCCTACTCATTGACGCCCTTCCGGTATGCCCCCTTCGAACGGCCCTAATCTCGTTTCGCTACAGTAGAGTATCATCGGAATTGAACTTACAATCACACAACTTCCAGCGCGCAATGGACGAACTTTTCGCGTAGGCCGATCCGTCTACCAACAGCCAACACGTCCCCAGCCTCGGCCGAACGAGCTGCTGGCAGCAATGAGGTTGTCGCATCAGGATACAGTCAGCGCGTGCCGAGCATGACTTTGCAACCGACCTCTGTGAGCAATCGAACAAGCGCCGATCCCTTTCGCATGGTAACTCTACTGCCGTTTCAGAACGCACCAAGGCAATTTGGACGAAGATGGAGGTCGCGATCGGATCAGCCCGACGTGCGGGGGACCAGCCGATGTTTTCACTGAAGCGAATTGTGCTCGCAACCTGTGGCCGGCGGTGATTACGGTTGCGACCGCTGACATGCGGACTACAGCGCACTTTCATCCTGGAGCCCCTTGGGAGCGAATCTGTGGAATTCAGTCCGATCAGTGATTGGGCTGCGATACAGGCCGTTCCGCAATGCTGGTATGCTGCTTTCATCCCTCTTCTATCCACGAACAGCCTTCGCGACGTCGTCCACGCTCTCAATGACCCAGCTGACGCCGTCGTCAGACGTGAGCCAGTCCTGGCCCTGGAGAACCTCGCCATTACCGCCGCCGCCCTCGAGGATGCTCTTCTTGAGACCGTAGACGTGGCTCGTGACCTGGGGTCCGACGCCGGTCTGCGCGCGCAGCGCGGCAATGGCCACGACGGACGTGAGCACACGGCCGAGCTGGTAGATGCCCGGCTGAGGGGCGGGGTCGCTGAGCAGCGGGCCGTAGTGCGAGTTCAGGATATGCACGGCGAGATCGGGGTGCGACGCCGTCAGCTTCGCGATCAGCTTCTTGCTGTGCGGCTCGTAGATGCCGTCCCAAAGCGAGAGGCCGCGCTCGTACAGCTTCGGAATCGAGTCGGGGACACTGGGAGGTCAGGAAATGCTCATCTGCGGGGGACGCGGCGAACGTTGCCCCAGAGCTGCACTGGGGCAGCTCCCTGGCGCTCGGCGGCTAGACTCACCGCTGCGGCTCCTCGTTGATGTTCTGGAGCACCTCCTCGGGCAGGTGCGAGTGGAGGGCGTTGAGGTTATTGATCGACCTCGGAATGCCGTTGAAGGAGATACACTTGAGCCCCGTCTCGCGCATGACGGACGCAACGTCGACCTTGCCCTTCGTGTCGTTGCCCTCGGAGGCGTAGTTGAAGAGCTGACACACGGCGTCGGGCGAGTTGACCGTGAACAGCGCCGCGGTGCCGAGCGTGAGCCACGTCTCGCGCCCGATGCCGCCGCGCTCGCCCTTGTGCCGGATGTTGTCGAAGAGGGACTTGAAGGCCGCAGGAGGGGGCGAGGGGAGCGCAGCGCCCTTCGCGCTCGGGAGGGCGATGAGCTGCTTCAGCGCAGGGGAGAGCTTGAGCTTCGCGGCAGCGCTCATGGTGACGGGTGAGATGAGAAGCAAGGGGGCAATGAAGAGAAGCAAAAGTCGGTCGGCCCGGGTGGCTTGTGGGCAACGACGAGTGGAGGCCGGCTCGTGAGAGACCAGTGGTGGAATGCCGATCGGGAAAACTCCGAGATCTTGCATCATCCATCATCGACTCGGGTCCGGCGACGGGGGGCGTTTTCTCTTCCTCTTCATTCGCGCTCGGCTCAGAGCTGCGCAGAGACTTTGCCCGAACATACTCTTCGACCCTTGCATCTCACGTACGTGCTGCCCGCTGCTTCACTGCAGCTCCTCGCCGTCAAGAACGATGGCGGCGTCGGCCGAAACTGGCGCCGAGATCCGGCATTGAACCTCGCCATAGCCGAGACCTCCACACGAGCCACGCCCACCAACGATGCTCCGCCCGGCAATGATTGCCTTCCCTCATCTCCTCGAACACGAGACTGACGGATCCATAGCACTGTGCACCGGAAACAGCTGATGACACTACCTCTAACATAACAACTACGATCATTACTCGGCTGATTATACAGGTGTCGGTTCGCCTACGCCCAGCCCTAGTGGGCCGCCTTCTCCGCGTCCTTCTCAGCAGTAACGACGCCGGTCTCGTTAAGCTCGTGCTCGAGCGTCTCTCGCTGCCTCTGTCGCTGCTCATGGGAGTAGAACTCGTTAGCCTCGCGCTCAAGGTACTTTGCGTTCTCGATCTTGGCCTGGTCGGGATCAACCATCCACACGAACACAATGCCGAGCAGTCCGAGGCCGAGACAGAACCAGTACGCCGCGTTCGTGTTGCCGTGCGCGCGCTCGTTGATCGCGCTGGAAATGAAGGGGCCGGTGAATCCCGAAGTGCGGTTGATCGTGGCGAACAGGGCGAAGAAAAGGTACATCTTGGGCGCGGGGACGACCTCGGAGATCATCGTGATGGAGTACGAGCCCCAGGCGGCGGTCTGGAAGTTCCAGCACTGGATGACCCAGAACTCCCACGCTGCGGCGTTAGCACTGACTCTTGCTACTGCGTGCGCGTCACTTACAGTTGTGGAAACCGATCTTGTGTGTCCACGTTCCGATCGCACCCCACAGCTGCGGGATGAGTGTCATGATGGCACCGTAGCGGGTGAGCGTCTTGATGGAGAACTTGAAGCGCTTGTGCATGAAGAGGATGAAGACGGTGCCGAGACCACCCGCAACGTCCGCAAGCAGGCCGAAAGCAGAGTTCTGGACGGGGTCGAAGTTGATGACGTTGGCCTGGAGAGTTCCCGTGATACCGCCGGCGGTTCCGCTCGCCTCGCCGAGAAGCGCATAGGCGATGAGGTACCAAACGGCGTTCCTCAGATTCACAACGGCCTTGGCCGCGCTCCACGCCTGGCGAGGACCGACCTGCCAGATTGGCACACCGTCGGGCACCTGCTGACCGGGACGGTGCTTGCCGATGAGGAAGTAGGGGAGACAGCACACGACGATGGCGCCGCCGAAGTAACCCAGGAGAACGCGGTAGGCCTTGATGACGACGCCGTCGGCCGTGCTGTTGTGCGTGATAGCGTACGAGATGCCGATCGCGGCGCCGTAGAAGATGACGACGAGAGCAGAGCCGACAATGTTGCAGATGTTGTAGAGCTTGGCACGCTCGTACTGGTCAACGATGTCGTGCTCCTCGGGGCTGAGCGTTAGCTATGTCCGGCGAGCGATAGAGAGCTATCGTTTGGCGCGAGAAAGGTCCTCAAGACGACATCCGGAGAGCGACACTTACGTCCTCAGACCGGCACGAACATCAGCCTCCGAACGCAGCACAGCAGGCAGGTTTCGAGCAATGGATGGGAACGTCGCCTGATAGAACGACACCGAGATGTTGTATCCGAGCTGACCGACGATCCACATGCCGTTCGCGAGCTCCCACTGTGATGGCTTGTACACGCCAATAAGACCGAAGGTCATGGCTGAGCAAAGCGCAGTTCCGACTGGCGGGTGTCAGCGAACGAATAAACGGCGAAAGGTGAGGTACTCACACATCAGGATATACGGTCGCCAAGTACCGTAGTCGGCATAAGGACCGACAACCAGCATCACGACCAGCGTGACGGCGAAGAGAATACCAGAGGAGTCGAGGATGAACGAGTTAAGGAACATGTGCGTGCCGCCCCAGGGGATGATGGCCTTCTTGTTGCTGTCTGGGAAGGCCATGGAGAGCAGCTTCTGGCGTAGAGGGCCAGCCTGCGAGCCGATCGGCGTTCCGTTGTTCTGGAAGTCTGCTGTCAGCCTGTATTCTCCGTACATCCTGCCAGGGAAGCAAAGAGGTTGGGTTGAGCTCACAGAAGATGGCGAACACGATGTACTCGAGCTTGGAGGTCGGGATACGCTCTCCCGTAAGCGGGATCGCTGTCTGCTGAGCCACAATGGCTTCACCGGCGGTCCGCTCAGTGCGGATCTGGACGTCCTTCTCGTCCGCGAGATCGCCATCGTCGACACTCGGGGCCGACACAACGGCCTCGAGCCGCTCAACGTGCTCGACGCGAGGCTTCTCGTCTCCGACTGCGGCCATCTTGTTTCGTTACCGCGGTAGTCTCTAAGGTAAGGGGGCCCTGGGGCCGAGTTGATCCGTCTGCTGTCTTGTTGGGTCACCCGCGACAGCTGCCGATGCTGAGGAGGGGTGGTAGTAAATAGGATGTGAGTATGAGACGGGCTCTGTGTTCCATCGACATGCTCGAGTCTCTCTTATAGGCAGTGGGCTAGCGCCGTGCCCCCACAGCTGGCCATACGACCCGTGTGAGGCTCCACAACTGCCGCGATTGCCCCGCGACCCGAGTCCGCGCCGCATGCTGGGGCCCTTTTGTCGGTGGGCCGCTAACATTCGGAGCGAGCGCGTTGGGCCACTTGCCACAGCGCGGGCGTGTGAGGAACAGCCGGCCAAAGAGCCGCTTTCTTCTAAGCTTTAACGGGAGCACGCGGGGCGGGCCCTGTCAGGCCTGACATGGCTGTCACATGCTGCCCCGTCATGTGAGGTGGGCAGGTGGTTGTGCCTGCATTCGCCGCCGCATGCCGCATGGAGCGCTCGATCTCTGCGGGTGTGGCCGTCAGCGGGGCTGGGAGTCAGCGGTTAGTGACGGGCCGCACGGGCCATTGACAAGCAACTGGGCTGGGGAGACGCGAGACGAGCGAGGACGAAACGTGCCGAGGCAGGTTTGGCCCCTTGCTGTTCCCAGGAATAGACGCCAAGAGGTCCTTTGGTGGGTGAGAGGAGTCAGTGTAAGGGCGGAGGAGCGGTCCGAATCGACGCTAAACTTAAGGGAGTGGCCGGTATATCCGGACCGGGTCTCCTCCTGTCCTCCTGCAGCACGGCAGCACCGATCGCGGACGGCCGCGGCGAAACCCTGGGAATACACTTAGGACCGCGCGCACTGCTTCAAGGAGCATTTGAAGCGCGTTGGGAGCAGAACCGAGGAGATCAAGGGGATCGAGATGAGATTGAGAGCGAGGCAATCTTGGTTCGGGCTGCCTTTTCGGGTCCGTCGGTCTGACGACTCCTCATCAGCGCAGTTCACAGCGAGGAATCGCGACTATCTCCCGGGTGACAATGGTGATCCAGACCCGCCTGGTTCGATCGCGGTTGATAACAGTCTCGATGCAACTGTCGGCGGTCACCGTGTGATGTGACTGTTCGAGACCAACGAGACCGGCATCCTCGTGTCACCGGGAATCCTTTCAAAGGATTCGGAAAGGGACATGAGGTTCGGTTGAACCCACTGAGACTGCTCACCGGCCAAAGTGCCGAACCTAACGCGCCGCTGTACCTGGCATCAACAGCATCTACTTGTGTAACCGAACTTGAAGCCTTGGTTCCTTGGAGCCGAGCAGTGCTGCGTAAGAGTGAGAACGATACTCCGCATGATGTCGTGCGACGACGCTGACGACAACAGCGTTTAAGGATTGGGGAAGACAGCGATGTGTGCAGACTGTAGAGCGGCGTTTCGTCGTCGAAGAGCTGTCCCGATCACGCGGAACGGAGCATGCTGGGCACGAGGGGCACAGCATGGCCAGGGCGAACGCGCCGATCGGACAAAGCCGAGCGCGCCGAGGTCGGCCGGGTCGTCATTTTGCATGCGTGGGGTTCGGTCAGCCCTTAAGCTTCCATCTGTTCACTACTGCTGTGAGCTTCTTCCCGACAATCAATACTCACCGCAGACATGCACCTCCGTCGTTGGCACGTAGCCACGATGTGATGATGGTGAAGAGTGAGAACTCAGTCTTCCCTTGCTGTTCGCGACGCCCTTCGGACACTGTTTGCCGACGCCTCCACCTCCACTGCGCCGATCGCTGTCTTCGCACCCTGGGGCGCAAACTCCACGCGACGCTCTACTACTGATCTGCGCCCCACGCGCACTAACAACGCCTCCGCAGCACACGGGCGCAAGAGCCCGGACCCAGGGCAACGGTCTCGCCCCGGCGATGCCAATAAGTCTCGGCGATCGTCGCGCGGTGCCCCGCCTATCTCATTTACTCGCACCTCAACCCCGGTATCCCGAGACTCTTTTCCTGACGCCTTCCCCATCCCCCGTTAACTGACGCACAACCGCTCCTCAGTACGCTCACTGGAGATACCGATGCTGGACTCCTGCGTACGCCAAGACCGTGGCGCGTTGCCCTCAGAGCTAGTAGCAGTCGATCGAGATCGTGCCTTGTGTGCTAGGCGTCGTTGCGTGTCGGCACAGACACCTGTGGAGGTGCGACGTCTCAGCCGCGTCCGTGCGGCTCTATCTTCTCTCCCGCGGCGATGGATGGCTGAACTCCCTACCCTCTGGGCTCATGCTTGGCCGGTCGTTGACGGAGCGCCGAGTACCGGTGCAGAGGTACGCAGTGTTCGCTAACCTTAGAGGGAGGAGATCCTCGCTCCTGAGAGGATCTTCTGATCGTCTTGGGACCCGTCGCGACCACAGAGAAACGCACTACTGCAACATGTCTGACCGCCCTTGACGAGCAACGAGTGCTTCCCACCTTCCCAGCCACCGCTACCTGCAGCATGCCTGTCCTTCTTCCCCTTGATGATGCCTCAGAAGCATCGGCGGGGAGGCGTACGCCAAGCAAGCTACACAAGCCTGACACGCCATGCAGATGCGAGGCAGGCGTAACGGAACGTCGCTCGCGTCGGCCAGGGAAGCGAGCGGACACAGACAAAGCTGCGCTCGCCTGGCCCGGCCCCACGTCCAACCCTCGCAACGTATTTCAACTCATGCTCCTTCACTCAGCCTTCCTCTTCGTTCACAACTGGCCTTCCTCCCTCCTCATTCCCATTGCTCTTCTCCTACCTCTCCCCTTCTCTGGTCACTTACAGACAGACCACCGCAACAGACAGCACCAAAGCAACACTATGCCCGGCATCCAGATCATTACTGACGGACACCCCACCGTCGTCCACCATGGCACCCACGCCCACTCCCACCAGGAGACCAAGTGCACTTGCACCTGTGCCTGCACCACCTGCAAGCCCGTTTCCAAGTGCTGCACCCCCGCTCCCACCGTCCAACAGGGTGTCCAGTGCTGCACCCCCGCGACCGTGCACTCGCACTCGAATGTTCACCTGAATGCCGCTCCCCACGTCCACGGTCACAACAACATTCACTCGCACGAGTTCGGCCACCACGGACATGGCCACTCGCACGTCGAGGTGTCCGAGTCGCAGGCTTCCTGCGGCAACGCGACCGCGCAGGTCACGACCCACACGTCGCACGTCCAGGTCCACGAGCACCTGAACCACGACGTCTGCTTCAGCCTCCACCAGCTGAATGCACTCACGCTCCCTCCTGTGCAGTTCTCGTCGGCGGCGCACCCGCCCGTCCACCCTTGCCCCGTCAAGGCCGCGATTCCCACCGTGTTCAAGTTTGACGCCCGTCTCGTTCGCGACGAGCTCCACCACCCTCTCCTCTGCTACCTCGCCGAGGGCGTGCAGCCTCAGCTCTTCAACACCGGCGCCGGCACCCACTGTGGCACGCCCATCGGCGCTGCTGCCGCCAAGATTGTCTCTGGCCGCCAGCTCCTCGCTGTCGAGCGCCCTGATGGATACCGCGGCCTCCAGTGTGTTGCGTACGGCACGCTCCTGCTCAGCATCAACGCTGCGCTGCTAGAGGACAGCGCGCGCAACAGCTGCATTGACGGCAAGCGCCTTTGGTCCATCTCCGCTCCCTGCGGTAGCCCCTGCAGTGCTGCGCTGGAGCTGCGTGTCGGCGGCGTCGCCTCTGTCGCTGTCGAGCTCCACCCATCCAATGTCGTCAGCAACGCCATGATCGACCGTGTTCTGCACCTCTGCAAGGGTGGCGCCACCTACGACGCCGCCATGGGCCGCGCGGTCGCCACGTTCAAGGATGGCTGCCCCGTCCTGCACGCTGATGCGCTTACGCTGCTCGGCCAGGTCTGGGCCCGCTTCGGCCGCGAGAGCCTGCGCAAGGACGCCAACTGCGCCTGGGTCGTGCTCACCAACCTGGAGCGCGCCATCGTCTTCCGCCGCGCCGGTGGCGAGATCAAGGTCTCCCACGTCATCAACTACAACGGTACCAGCACCCCCCGCGACTCGGTGCAGAACATCTACTGTCTCTTCTTGGCCCTCGGCGTTCTCGAGAAGCACCAGTACGCTGCCCCCGCGCACGTCGATGTGGTGCACCTCATCTAGGCGTGAGTTGGATTCCTCTCTCTACGGCAGCTGACCTCAGAGTCCCCGAGCTGTAAATTTGAGCTTGTGATGAGCGGATCTGAAGCTGACATCAGTCGCAAGGGCTACGCGAGCGACAATGGCCACAAGGTACGCTGATCTTGTGGTGTGTAAGCTGACAACAGCGCCGCTCTGAGATGTAGCACCGAAAAACATCGAAACCCCACGTGAACGTGAAAGGACACTCCAATCAATCAGGTAGTTCAGTCGTTGTAGATCAAATGCACAAGTGTACATAGTACGAGTCCTCCGTCGCCAGCGAGCAGCAGGATGTCTTCCTCGCGAATAAGGCGACGGAGAGAAGGGGTTGTTTGGTTCCGTGCCGAGCGTGGGAGACTCGGTGTCTTAGATCTGAAACGGCCGAGAAGCACAGGTGTCGGTGGAGGTCGAGTCCAGTCATCGTCCGTCGACGTTGCCACTGCTCTTCTCATACACCTCTTGACCAAACGAACGGCTGTGGTATACTGATTCTTCTTCGACGCCAAGTTGGTCAGCGTGTGAGCTGTGCGTGGTTCTGATAAGCTGACGGGCAGTGACAGTCTGTGACAGACCGTGAGCCGAGGAAGGGATGAGTGCGCTGGGAGGGTTGTCGCTGAGAGCTGACATACAGGTAAGCCTCCTCACCCGTGTCGAAAGGGACAGCCTGGAACAGTAGAGGAAGGCGACGGAGCTGTGAGCTGCGAGCACTGCATCCTTGAGCTGACTTTCAGACGAGCTATGGAGAGGCTTGGTGAGCTGACAGTTGTCGGGGCGAAAGACGAGTGAGCTGGCAATGACATCTGTACGAGCTGATAAACAGGTGAGCTGCAGGACTGACTGTTGAGCTGACACGACACAGGGCGAATGACGAGTGAGCTTTTTAAAAGTGCGCTCAAGCTGACAGGCAGGTGAGCTACGAAGCGTTCCACCTCAGAAGCTGGCAGACAGACTGAGAAGTATGATAGCCAACGGAGGCCGCTCCGCGTATCGCAGACTTGAGAGTGAGCTACCAGGCTTGCTTAGCTGATAGTCAGCCCGGCCTTCGTAAGCTTGCTGCAGGAGGCAACGCTCAGCTGTAAGCTACGAGAATCGTCTGACTAAGCTGACCGACAAGAAAGTGAGATTTGACTAAATTGACGAGCTGACACCCAGCAGCGCAACCCTGAGTGAGCTGGTCGCATTGTCCTCTGAACATGAGCAGACGGACAGCTGAGCTCCGACATGCCGCAGAGCTGACAAGCGGACGTGAAGGAACGGCAGTAAGCTGATAGCAACCCCTTCCATAGCTGACAAACAGATGAGCTACGTGGACACGTGTAGGCAGCATCTCCAGTATGCTCCGTGAGCTTTCACACATAGGCGTCAGCTGACTGGCAAATCAGCGTTAGCTAACGGGTTCGACTGGCTTAAAAGGGGTACGGTCCAAGGATCTCGGTTGAAAGCTAATTATCCTGGGAGTTGGAGTTCGATCATTGAGAGCTGACACGGTGTTTGCGCTCATCAGCGGTGGGCAGCTGAGAAGGGTGCAACTAAGGCTTACTGCCAGAAAAGTCTGCCGTGAACCGAATGGGAGTGAAGAGCAGTCCTCTAAGCGGTGAGTCGTCAGCTGATGAAGGCCTCTGTAGCTGACTGGCAGGTAGATTTTGCCCGCAATGGGAAGCGTCGAGTCGATCTGGTACAAGTCAAGGGTGAGTACTTCGGCAGAATGACGGGACGTTTCGGCATCGGGCCCACGACCCTCAGGACGAGAGCATTTCGCCGAAGGCAAACCTGACTGGCAGGTCAGCTTCCGGGTTATAGTGTCCAGCTGAAGGGCAGGATGAGGGGTGCGTGGAAATCGGTGCGCACGAACGTGATGCTAAGCTTACAATCAGAGACGGACAGCGGCGGCCATAGGACCGCGTTCTCGGGTCCAACGCACTCATGCACCACAGCTTCCCGGCAGTGGGTACTGGGTGGGCTGACCATTTCTTTAGGGGAGCTAACACGCAGTGCGGATAGTCAGCGGATTGTGTTAAGTGGTGCGGGACAATAAAGAGACCATGGTGTCAGCTGCAAGGAGCCAAGGGGTGGGGTGGACGTGAGCCGTTCCGGACCGGTTATCTCGGCAACTGTAAATTCACCGACCTCCACATCTCATGTCCAGCAATGTCCTCTACAAGTCACGCGCCGTTGCCTCAACGTTCCGGGCCGCGCCCCGGAATGCACACTGTAGAGACGTCCCGTCTCCAGATTGCTGTCATACTCATTCCAACTGACAGGAACGAAGCACAGGAAGGGACGACGACTCGTGATCGCGTTCTCACGACACGCGCCCTCGAAGACTCACGGCGACTCCGGTCAGACTATATCTCAGCCGATGCGAAGCTCGTTGCAATGCCCCCTCGTCGCCTCACTGACTCTCTGATGTCCTCACTTGTCAATTACAGCTCCCAAGCAGCAGCGAACTCAGCACCAAAACCCGAGGTGGTTAAGCCTGAGCCTGCTGGAGAGCCCACGCCGAGCCTATCGGTAGCACACAACCCCACCGCATCAAGCTCATTTCCGATCGGCCCCAGCACCTCGGAGGTAGTCAATGTTGAATCGGCTCCACAAGTGCCCGGAATCATTACTCCCTCCTCTCCGAGTGCATCCAGCCCTAAAGATGTCGACAGGAAGGTGAGGTCGGCAGTTCCCGGTGCGGCGAGTGGCCCACAGTCGTCCCAAAGGAAGATAAGCCCGATCGCTGATGGGTTGTCTGCTGGAGCGTATGGCTCGGTCATCTCAGCAGAGGCCACAGCGGGCATTAAACCACTCGAGATCCTTCCGTTCCAACCACTTGAGACGCTTCCGTCTCGACCGCTTCAAACAATTCCGTCTCGACCACTTAACACGCTTCCATCTCAACCACTCGATACATTTCCGACCCGTGACCTATTAGTCTCCCGCGCTCCCTACGGGTCCATTCTGGCTCTGTCTACTCCACGCACTGAGCAGACTCCCTCCGTCATTCTCAAGATCCCCTCTCCCAGTTCCAAGTCAAACGCACCCATGGCTAGCCCCCAGTCAGAGCTCTCGTCGCCGCCTTCTACATCAAGCTCTGCGACAAAGCATACGGAGCAGACGGACAACGACGTCATCGATTCTCGCACCCAAGACCTCATCAATGCCCTGTCATCTGAACCCCCTGCTCGCTCCCTTCGCCCTCGCAAGGATGTCAATTACGCCCGCATTCATCATCCCTACATGCGCCCCCATGCACGGTCTCGCAAACAATCACAGTCTTCCGACAATCCGTCTACAGCATCTCCGGCTAAATCGCGCGCTTCATCAGTCCTTCCGTCCACAGCCGTATCTTCTACAAGGGGATTCGAGCTCCAGTTTCCTGTGTCTGGACCGATTGACGCGACCTTGACCAGACTTGAGCAGCTATACCGCAGTCCTCCCCTTGCGGCGCCCGACCCACGTCGACTAAGTCAAGCTTCATGCACTCTGATCAAAGTTCAGGCGGCACACTTAGCGGGCATCCTTCGGCGCCGACACGACGCTTGGCTCATTGATGCTCGCAGGCGATTTGACCGCCAGCAAGCTTTGAACCGTTACTCGGTGATGGCACGCAGTGCTCTCTATGCTTCTGGCTCGGGTGTACGGAGTACGTCTTCAGAATATTTAAGCAGCGACGACCAGACGCAGCATCAAGAAAGTTTCGACTTCGAGCATGAGCCGTTGTTCAACATTCGCGATTTAAAAGCCGACTCAACCGGAACGGTAAAGGCACACTCGCTGAAGGCGGCGATGAAGAAGTTCATGGATCAAAGCAATGCGATGTTTATGAAGGAGGAGAAGAGGAGATGGGCTGAGAGGCAAGAGAGTTTGATGATACTCAATGCGGCTATCTGCGAAGGGCATCTGGATAAAATCGATGAAGTTCTCAAGGAGGATACGGTGATTGAGATAGACTGAGTTGTTGTCCACAACGCGTCATGCTGCACCCACAGAGCATAGTCTAATCCCTTAATTGTCAACACCGCGTGTTGCATAGTTTGATCCCATAGTTTGATCCAGTGTTAAAGTGATGAAAGAGAATGCATAACAAGCTCTTCTGATACAGTCACTCTGCGTTTGCGGTGGACTTGTGCATTGTTTAGCAGGCAAGTGAGGTTTCCGGCCGGAACGTGGGGAGAGATCCTGCTCCTGCACCGATGAGGCCACTTGACTGAGCTTTTAAATCAATCTCAACACACAGCTCGGCCACCGATGTGACTCCAGCGTTGCCAGCATGGCTTTGCTCCCAGCTCGCACCCAGCATGCCACGTCTTCAACATCTGTCCAGCACACTTAAGACAGACTTGCGTTGTGAAACTATCCGTTCCTCAATATTCTCTCTCTACCCTCACAACTTCACGAAACGCGACCCCCGACAGTCCCCACAACGCCATGACCAACGCGGTCCCTTCCTCCCACACTGATGGGCAGTCCGCGGCTGGTTCTGGTATACAAAGCCGTAACGGCACCGTCCTGCTAGACTCTGGCACCGTCGAACTTCCCAGGGTTCACGACCACTGGTCCATTGGCGATGTCACAATTGTTGCTGCCGACAAGGTTATAATCAGGCTTGACAAGCTTCGGTTGCTGAGCATGAGGTGAGTGATGACCTATCACCGCTGTTGACCGCAGCCTGTATCTGTACTCTCAGCTGCAGAACAACTCGCTGTTGTTCGTGAATTACGACTGCGAAGTCTCAGCAGTCATCGTGTTTGTCTTGGACCTTCTGGTGCAGGCGAACATGCAAAGCACCGATGTCGATGTGTCCACTCCATGGGATCTTTGGGCCTTGGCCCTTTGTTTTGCGCGCAGGTACGACTGCCCCATCGTCATCCGTCTCCTTCGCTCGGAGCTCACAGAAAATCTCCTGCACGGCAACATCGTCAATCTCCGCGCTTTCACTCGAGCCGCCATGCTTCACGACACCACTCTTGCGTGGCACGCCCTCATCAACAAGAACATGCATGGAACCTGGCGCGCTGACGGTGAAGTTCGCGGGCACAACGTCCTTGATGTCTCGGTAATGCCTACCGAGTGGCAGAGTGCCATCCCGACGGAGTACCTCACTGCCCTCCGCATTGCGTGGTTCAATGCGCACCCAACTGGCACAGCTTGGGTCAACCTGGGTGAAAAATTCATCGACGCGATGCGTGTTCTCTTCCGCCCCAACGAAGCCGCTGCTTCCAACTCTGAGTGGGCCTCGGGTTCAACTCACGGGAGCTCGCACTCATTCGGCCGAAGCCACTCGATCATCACCAGCAACCGAGTTGACTGTGTCGATGAGCCCATGGTCGGAAATGAGTCTGCTGCCCGTGCGCAGATTGAGAAAGCCGACCGTCGGATCTGTGAGATCGAAGAGGTCATGGATGAGAAGGTCTTACGCCTGGGTGAGCTTACAATCAACTCTGCCCTGGTTTCATCTCGTCGTCCTGCCCGATCTACTTCTCAATCGCCCCGCGCTGTGCAGCTCTCTCAATCTCAACTCTCTCATCGTCCCGCACACCCTGCCAACCCTGCCACTGGTTCGCCTTCAGCCGGGACCTCTCGTCGTCCCTCACACCTGCCCGAGCGACCATCGCAGCAGACTGCCAGTATCTCAAGGCTGCCCGACCGCCCCGTCTTCGACACGCTGTCTGGTCATCTCCAGGAGGACGCGGAGAAGCGTAAGGCCCGTCTGAGGCGCTGGAAGGAGGGGGGATCTGTTGCTCCCCGCCACTCCTACCAGGCTCCTGCAAACGCCACGCGCTCCTTGGTACATGTCCCTCAGAGTGCCCATACCTCCCAGTCGTCAAGCTTCCTGCGCTCTCAGCACCAACGCCAGACACAAGCTCTGCAGCCGGGCTTTGCCCTCACCGCCGCCAACACCACTCAGTCCGAGCTATTGCTTCCCGAACAGCCTGGCGTGGTCATCCAACATCCCATGTACCACCATTACCCCGGCTGGCCAGTTGCTCCGAACCACACTCTCCACGGATACTACGGGTACCCCATGAACATGACGCCTCAAGCAATCGCAGCCGCCAACCATGTGGCCAACCAATTCACCGGCTACGCTTTCCAGTCTCAGTCTCAGCCCCCCACCCATTCGCACCCCCAGCCTCAGTCTCAGCTCCAGAGCCAGGGCGATTACTACTCGTCCTTCACGACTGCCTACCCTCAGTACGAGGGTCGCGACTGGTACGCCCAGACCCCAACCTATTATGTCGAACCCGACGTCCACACCCTTCCTGCCGACTGGCGTCATTGGAGCGCCGGACCCCTGAGCGAGCCCGCTGGTCAGCGCCGCAACGCCGGCGGACCTCGCTTTGACCGTTTCCGCCAGAATGGTCAAATGCACAACTGGAACTAGTTTGCATGCTTCACGTGATCGACCATGGTCTTCTCAAACATTTTCAAGAACAATGAATCTCCAACGTCCACATCCGCAGGCGGGTGGACAATACGCTCTTTAGCTTTCAATGCATATGGTTTCCTTCTCACTGCATCGGGCACACTCTGAGTAATGAGATTGGGCGTTGTCCCGTCTGAAAGCCACTCAAAGATTGCGTAGCAACAGTGAAGCTGAGACGGGGTTTCAAAAGTCCCATGCAGCAACAGCTCTCCTCTGAGCTACCGTAGAAAAGCATTAAACTCAAGCTCAGACACGAGAACCCAGGAGCTCAGTGGTGTTGGAAACGACATCTTTATTGCGGCTCTCCGGTGAATCGATATCGCTGCTCTGACCCCTACAGGCTGCCGTATCTCCAAGGAGCGAGCCAGTAAACCTTTGAACCACTTGGTCAGGCTTTTAATCGAGGATTCGTGGGCATTAGCAACGCATATAATCTTAGTACGCTGACAAATCCGTAGAGGTGCTGTTGGAGGATGGGGGCGAAGGCCCGCCTGACGGGTCCGCACGCCAAGGTTTGGACACTGTCGTCCCTCTGCGAATCCACACCGACTCCCTTACACTTCTCATCTGTCCATCTTCAGACCCGGCAGACATCTGTTCAAAGTACTTCCTCACTCTCGCCTGCGACACGTCTGTCCTCGTCAACGAAGACCCGAGCTTCACCCCGATGAGGATGCCCACGCCCAGGGTGTCCTCAATGACAGAAATTGGAGGTACTCACACACCTCGCTGTCGTCGACTCAGCTGTGCTGGTCTGTGTGAGTGGCCACACAGCGAAAATGAGTGCGCAGTCTCCGTTTTCCCCACGGGCAATATGCCTGAGGACTCACAGATAATTGAGCATAGCATCGACGACTTGCAATCGCCCACTCCTTCGACAAGCTCGAGTTCAGCCAATGCCGTCGAAACGCCCTGCCGCCGCGTCGCCCAGGGAGCACTCGAAAGCCGGAACAGGTACGGCGACCTCACGAACATCCAGGAACCGCGCAACCCAGCCGCCACCGCTCAGGCAGCAGCCGTGTCCGCCCGCTTCAACAAGTCCTCGCCCCATCTATCCATCGGAGAGACCCTCATCTCTGGCGCCAGTGCAGTGTCGGTCGACGCCACTTCGCCCTCCTCGCGCAACACCGCACCCCCCATCGAGGGCTCAGCGAACACAAGCGTTTCCGACATCGACAGGGTCGCTAGCGTCGCCACGCTCACCATGGACCGCAACCACCCCGTCGCCGACGTTGAACTCGCGAACGCGAAACGATGCCGACGAGTCATCTGCGACGGCTCTTGTGGTGCGCAGCACGTGCAGGGCATCGGATCGCCAGACTTCATTGGGTCCGACCCACCGGCAGCGACCTTCCACCCATTCGTCCTCTCGGCACGGAAGCACCAGAGGAACGCGTCCGTCAGCACGCTCGACCTCGACGGACCTGCGCCCTTCTCCCCATCTCCCGGCTCCCCAGCTCTGGACACCTCATCCGTTTCAACCTTGGACCTTTGCCTCACCCCTTCAACCCCTTCCACCCCTTCAGCCGAGCTGGACGGTTCTCCCCAACTACGTTTTCCCGCCCCAGCAGCCGCTGTACTCCAACCCGTTCCCCTCTCCCCCGGTTCAACCGCCACCTCCATCGAACCGGACGGTCAAGTTCGCGGATCAAGTCCCGCCCAGGCAAAGTCTCCCGCCCAGCGGGGTGAGCAAGCAGCCGCACAACCTCTCAAGCCAACGCAGGCCGACGAGCCACCCGAGCCGCTCGATCATGATCAAACCGGACCAGCGGAGGAGCCCGAGTCGATTCCAGACCCCAGCCCCGCCGACGTCGCCAGCCAGCCCGCCGAGACAGCCCAGCCAGCTGAGCCAGTCGAGGCCGCCTCGTCCGTCTCGTCCGTCGAACCAGCCGAACCCGCCGCGCCCGCACAACCAGCCTCCCCCAACTCCCAGGCGCAGCCCTCGCCACACCCCGCCCTCGACCGTGAAGCCCGACAACGCCTCCGAGAGAAGCTCGAGTCCCTGCTCCCACTGGGTTTCAATCGAGAGGTCGGGTGCGATTCGCCGCCGGAACGCGAACGCCAGCGCCGCTCCTCCCCCGCTTACAGCAGGGTCGTTGTCCTCTACGCCGTACTCGGCCTTGCGTTCATCATCCACCGTAGTCGTAACCAGGTCAATCGGAACTCAGGCACAGGGGACGGCGTGCATCCCCCCAGCCTCGACTAATCCCGCACCGCAGGCCAGCCGGGCCAGCTCGCCTGAGTCCACTGCGTCTGCTCGCTCCGCTGGCTCCGCTCGCTCTGCATCCCCGCTCTTGCTAGGCAACACTCCAGCGACCACCCCGGCAACGACGGTTCACACTCCCTCTCGCCCCCGTACCCCCACTTTCCGTCCTCACCCTCCACTCCCGCCTGGCGCGGCACTGCCTGAACCTCCACCTCCCCCCGCGACTGATTTCTCAAGGCGTCTCCGCCTGCCCCAGCAGAAGGAGCAGAAGCACCGCAAGAACTTGTTCGGTTGGCTGCCTCGCCGTACCAAGGACAAGGACTAATCTCGCCGCTCCCCCATCACTCGAATCGCGCTCGCAATGACTCAAGTTCAACCTCCGATCCAGCATTCATGTACCCAGCATCTCAGCAATCGTCAGTTTCCGCACACTTTCTCCCGTTATACCCTCCATCGTAGCACCACCTCCCATTCTCTGCTCATAGTATCCTCGTCCGCGTCGTCGTCTCTATAGTTCTCAGCTCAGGTCTTTCATATCATCGAACCTTCGCACTCATAAAACCTAATGCAAAATGTGTATAAAACCGTTGTCCCACCCCTGACTCTACCAGCTGTCCAGCGTGGGATGGATAGCCCGGTCATTGAAGAAGTCGAAAGCCTTCAATGCCATCCAGCAGCTATCGCGACGCGCATGCATGAACACTTTGTCGATATTGCGATTAATTGTCCGTATTGTTGTCGATGCGCCACCTGCTACCTGCTGCTGACTTGGGCTCAGGGATCAGCGGTACATCTGAGACCATCCCTGAGACTGACCGCTTATCGTGCCCCAGCGGCGGGCCCCGCCGATCTCGGCTCCTTCATTGTCCAGTTTGTATCGTACATGCATAAACAAGTGCGCTCTATTCCCTAGTTTAATGTTTTAGACGGCGAAGACGGCCGCGGCGCCCATGCCGCTTCCGACACACATGGAGGTGACGAGGATCTTGGGGCCCTTCTGCTCCTGGTTGCGGCGGATGACCTCGTGAAGACCAGTGACGACCTGGCGAATGCCGGTGGCGCCGAGGGGGTGGCCGAGGGCGATGGCGCCGCCGTTCGGGTTGACCTTGGCGGGGTCGAGTCCGAGCTCGCGCGTGGTGTACACCATCATGGAGGAGAAGGCCTCGTTGATCTCAAACACGTCGACGTCGTCCTTGGACAGACCGGCCGACTTGAGCGCCTTCGTGATCGCAGGCACGGGGCCGATACCCATGTACTTGGGCGTGACGCCGACGGTGGCAGAGGTGATGTAGGTGGCGAGGATGGGCTGGCCGAGCGCCTCAGCCGTGGAGCGCTTCATGAGCACGGCCATGGCGGCGCCGTCAGTCATCTGCGACGTGTTGGGGCCAGTGCTCTGCTTGTTGCCCCAGGAGAAGGCGGGCTTCGCAGCGGCCATCTTCTCCATCGTCATGCCGTGACGGATACCGTCGTCCTCGGTGACGGTGATGTTGGATACGGGCGACGACTTGTCCTTGGCGTCGGCGTGGATCGTGGTGTCAATCGGGATGATCTCCTCGAGGAAACGGCCAGACTTGGACGCCTCAGAGGCACGGTTGTGAGAAGCGAGACCCCACTTGTCCATGTCCTCACGCGAGATGTTGAAGTCTGCGGCAACGTTCTCCGAAGTCCAGCCCATAGGCTCAGCGCAGTCGATAGCGGGCTGGCACTCATCGATCGCCTTCTCCTCGAAAACGGGGGACGGGCGGGGGCTGCGAGTAAGCGGTGACCATAAATGAGCGTAGATGGTCAGTTTCGCCAAGGCCGCCAGACGCTCCAGACCCTCATACGTGCTCCATGGGGCCTGCCGCTAGCTTTACTTTCCAAGTACTCACTTGTGCGTCATGCTCTCGACACCAGCGGCAATGCCAATCTCAATGTCGCCCGCGCGGATCGAGTCAGCGACATGGCGGATAGCCTGGAGACCAGAGGCGCAGAGACGGTTGATAGCCTCAACGGGGACGTGCTCGGGGAAGCCGGCGGCGAGGGCAGCAGCGCGCGCATGGTAGGCGGGCGAGGGGAGGTGGCAGTTTCCGACGATGATGTCCTCGACCTGGCCGGGCTTGAGGCCGGCCTCCTTCACACCCTTCTGCAGCGTCTGGTAGAGCAGCGTGTCGGGCGAGGTGTCGCGGAACGAGCCCTTGAAGGCGCGGCACATGGCCGAACGCTTCGCGTACTGTCTGTCAGTTCGAAATCGAAATCTAGGGCACCGCGGATACATGGATGGCGCGGCCGCGCGATTGCCGGACAAACCGCTGCCCACCGGTCGTGAGAAGGAAGGCCGGTGCTCCCGGGTCTGCCGCCAAGTCCCGAACAGAAAGTCTGGCGCGCAGACAACTACTCAAGACGGCCTTCTGTCCAGTCTGCTGCTCATCGAGCCGAAACCATCTTGATCACGGAGCTCCGAACTCTCCGGACAAGTCATTCCCCGCCTTCCCCGCGGTGATTCTACTCACAGTAACAACGATGTCATCAGGCTTGGGCGTCGTGAGCTCAGTGACGCGAGCGGAGGTAGCGTAACCGCGCATCTGGCGGGCGATGGTGGACAGGCGGAAGGAGGCCTGCATGGTGTCGAGCGGGGCGAGGTGGTGGATGCGGGAAAGGCGAGCTTGTGTGTCTCGTCTGGTAACTTTCAGGCTGCTAAGTGGTGGAGCTCGGTGATGAATAGTCAAGATTCAAAGTCGATCGATGTGTCGATCGTCAGACAGGTAGTTCGGAGAGAGGGAGTGACGGAGCACGGAGGTCGCGGAAGTGGAGAACGGCAAGTCATCATGGTGGTCGTCGGCTTTCTGCGAGTGTCATGGATCGGTGAGTACTCAGCAAGCTACGCTGCGGCGGGGCCGGGGCCGTGTCCTCCGAGCCTGGTCGGAAATCGGGTGCCCCGACCACCGACACTGAGCAACGGACCCTTTTTCCGGCCGCGGTGCTTCCACCATACACACTCCAGGAAAGGTCTCCCACGGTTGAACGGGATCCCCACACTGTGGGCACTCCGTAACGTCCCACAATGGCACGCATGCGTCCCACAACGCGGAGCTCAGCCGTACTGGCATCGAACACTTACAAATGCGTCTAGGGTGGTGGTCGATGCATGACTTGTATGCATAGCGGGGATCACTCCCGCTGACCTGCGGTGACTATCCGGGTGACATCCTCCGATCAGTCTCGGAGTTCGGCATCAGCGATGCGCCCCACCCTCTCCACATCTTATCATTCGGCTAAGTCGTGGCTCCAGCCTAGCTCACATGACCACATCCTTCAGACACTTCATGCAACAACTTGCTGATGCAACACAAGTTGTCCGAGAATACCAAATACATGGGTGATGCTAAAACTAACTACTACTGCACTGTGCGATTAAACAGCCTTCTCCTCAACGTTGGGTCCAATGTCGAACTTGGCTCCCGTCTTGTCCTTGACCTCCTGCAGCGTCGCTCCGGGCTGGAGCTCGATGAGAGTCAGCTTGCCGTTCTTCCTGTCAACGTCGAAGACGGCGAGGTCGGTGATGATAAGGCTGACGCAGCGGGATCCAGTGAGGGGCAGGGAGCACTCCTGGACGATCTTGGGCTTGCCGTGCTGGATTACGTCAGCATACGAATCTCAAACTTCTTCCTTCTACAACTCTTCCAGTTCTTCTCCAAACGTCTCCAAATTTTGCCATAAACGTTCTGGGGACCGTACATACCTTATCGGTGTGGTCAGTTGTCACGATAATCTTCGTCTGGTCGGGAGAAGACACCAGGTCCATTGCGCCGCCCATTCCCTTGACGAGCTTGCCGGGAATCATGAAGTTGGCGAGGTCTCCGGCCGCCGAGACCTCCATGGCACCGAGGACGGAGACGTCGATGTGTCCGCCGCGAATCATGGCGAAGGACTCGTCAGATGAGAAGACAGAGGCACCGGGGGCCATGGTGACTGAGGTTGTGAGCGTGTGTTCACGACTTGGCGCTGCCACATCTACATGGCGAGCTGCTGCTCGCGCGAGGGCGCTGCGCGCCTCCTAGGACACTTACCAGTCTCCTTGCCGGCGTTGATGACGTCGGCGTCCATCTCCTCGCGAGTAGGGAGAGGGCCCATGCCGAGCAGACCGTTCTCGGACTGCAGCCACACCTTCATGCCCTCAGGGATGAAGCTGGGGATGAGCGTCGGCATGCCAATGCCGAGGTTGACGTAGTAGCCGTCCTTGAGCTCCTTGGCCGCACGGCGGACAATCTGCTCGCGACGAGCGCGCGCCTCGCCCTTGCCGAGAGCGCCGGCAGCGGGGTCCTCCTCGCCCTCGGCGGGACGGACGGACTCGATCTCGATCTCCTTCGGCGTCGTCGCCTGGACGATGCGGTTCACGTAAATGCCGGGGAGGTGGATCTCCATCGGGTCAAAGGTGCCGACGGGGACGATGTGCTCGGCCTGAAAGTTAGCGGTGATCGAAAAGGGCTAAGCCCGAGCTGGACGGCAAGTTTGAGGACTAGCCCACCACGCTGAAACTGCAAGCCGCCGGACTGGCTTCACCAATCATTCTCGTACGCACCTCAACAATGGTGATCTTGGCGCTCTTGGCCATGGCAGTCGCAAAGTTGTTGGCGGTGTAGCGGAAGATGGCGTTTCCGGCCTCGTCGACCTTCCAGGCGCGGATGAGGGCAACGTCGCCGTAGATGCTCTCCTCGAGGCAGTACTCGCGTCCGTTGAAGACACGCTGCTCGCGGGGCTTCGGGTACTCGAGGGGCTTGCCGTCCTTGTCGTGCTTGGAGGGGATGGTGCCCTGCTGGACGGGCGTGTTGTTGCCCGTCGGCGTGTAGAAGGCGGGGATGCCGGCTCCCGCGGCACGCATGCGCTCAGCAAGCGTGCCTTGCGGGGTCAGCTCGAGCTCGATCTCGCCGTGCATGTACATCTGCTCCAGGGGCTTGTTCCTGTATGTTAGCTCCGTGCGCGGAGGAGAGGAGGGTGACGGGGCTCGGTGGGGAGCCGCTTCCAGCGAGTTCGGCTACCCCGAACCTTGGCTGAGACAGCTGGACTCGCGAGCTCGGCTCATCCAGCTCGCTGGGAGTCACGGGATGAGCGCTGCTCGCAGGTAGCTTCTGGGTTCACAGAGCTCGCTCCTTGAGCTCGGCTGGCAACTTCGGCGGCTGGTAGCTCGTGAATCACACGAGCACCAACCCCCCGTAAGCCGCTCAGAAGCATCGTAACGACAAGCCGATCCAAACAACGACGCGCAGTTCGCAGACCGCGCTCCTCGCTCTCGAGCAACCTTTAAACACTCACGATCCAATGTACGAAGCAATGACCTTGCGGAGCTGCTTGGTCGCGAGGAGCTTGCCGAGACCCTTGTTCTCGCCGTTGACGTAGGCGCCGGCATTGTTGGAAACACCGGTAAGCTCGTTGATCTCGGGCTTCTTGCTCAGAGCGTCGATGAGGGTATTGGGCAGGCCGCAGAGACCGAAGCCGGAGGCGAGGACGGTGTCGCCCTTCTTGACGGCGTCGATGGCGGTGTCAGCGCTGGCGTAGAGCTTCGAGTTGAGGCGGAAGGCGGTCGACGCGAAGCCGCGACGGGCGGGGAAGGAGAGCGCGAAGCGCGCAGTAGGGGTCAGGCGGCTGAGCATGACTGGTGGATGGATGAGGAGGAGTAAGGATGAGAAATCGGAGATGCTCTGAGGAGGCGACGATGTAATCTAGAAGCTCGAGGCTCGACGGGACACCCGGATCAACCATTCGAGCATGGCTGGGTGGGAGGGTGAGCAGGTTGCACCCGGTGTTCGGACTTGTCCGTGCCGCGGCAGAAGCGCAGGGTGAGTGCAGGGCCAGCCCACCGGCCAACCGGCCTCGGAAGCTCCGACCGACCACTGTCCCCCTCTCTTGTTCAACGACGCATGCATCCCTCTGACGGCGCTCGGAAGCTGGCTCCTCTTCCGTGCATGGACCAGAGGTTTGTGGTCCGATAGGCCCGACCCTGTGCCGCAATCTGATGCATGTGATGCGGATATCGCTGCAATCGCGATCACCCCGCGTGTTTGCCGTGACTAACTGCGGCGTCCCACAGTAGTCACCACTGTCCTCTAATGAGACTCAGCAGGCAAGCAGAGGGATGCTCAGGTAAGCAGTCTGCGAGGAGGTCTTGGCGGGAGTAGAGGCCGCTTTACCCGTCGACCCGTCCACGGCCAGATCTGTCAAACAACAGTGCGAGGGTTCCGCGTCGGTAAGCGGACCCGATATCGATCCCCACACGGTCCCCACACTGCCCACACCCGGAGCTCCAGTCCGAACTCAGCCCACTTCCGAGCCTCGTACCTGTTCCTTCCGTCCCTCATCGTCATCGTTGTGTCCCTCATCATCACGTCCCCCCTCACGTTGTTCCTCTCTGTTATGGGTGCACTGGCGACGCGATGCATGCCAGTCTTTATGTCCACGGCCCGTCGCGGCATGCATTCTTTGTTCAAGCCACGGTTTGTCACTTTTGATGCGTTTGCCATGGTTTACCCGAGCTGGTTATCCCGGTTATCTACCCCGCCCTCGTTGGCACTTCCGATCCTGGACCGAGCCAGGAGTGGGAGACTGACTTTTTTCGAGCCTTCTCCTACCGCACTCGGGAATCGGCTTCATTGGCTTCCATAGCGTGGAGTCATGATTATCACGCGTGCTGAACACGAGGCACCCCGAGATGTGCATCTTGGACGGGCTCTGCTTGCCGGCCGATCGGGTCACGGTCCTGAAGGGCTCCATCATCAGCGGGCGTAGGTGGTGAGGGTTCAATGCTTCCGACGCTCCGTGATCAACGAAGGTCGATCACAGCCACCTCTGACACACTGATACATTCTCATTCTTCTGACCTAGACCTACACATGCTCAGCCCCATGTCGACCGCGCAACAGCCCGCCTAAACAGCAAACGCCCAACCCATCCCCCAGCTCCCAGCGCCAAAAGTGTCATAATCCCAATACCTAAGCCTGCTTGTCAGCTTGTCACCCTATCCATTTTCCAGCTGAGTCTCCGGCTCACCGGGGATCCTTGCTACTCTGCACCTCTTCTTCCTCGTCCTCAGACTCGGTCGCCGACCCCCAGCTACCCCAGAACGCCTCGCACTCGAAATCGGCACACCCCTCACAGCCACGGCGGTACTCACGCAGTGCGATGTCCTTGTAATTCGTGGCGCGGGGCGACATGGACCGGATGAGGCTGACGCACCAATGCCTCGGGCGCTGGTTCACCGTCACGGCGGCGGTGCGGCGGAATCCGCAGTCGGCGGCATAGGGCCCGAGCGCGAGTTCGGCGGGATACCCATTGATGTGCGTCGTGCGTGCCGTGCCGCCCCTAGCGGCATACTCGGCGACGGCGCGGGCGGCGGCCGCGCGCTCGGCATAGATGACGGTCGCGTGGGCGGGTACCTCGCGCGCGACCTCGAGGGCGCGGTCGAGCGTCGAGAACGTGTACACGCCCACTTCCTGCGGCGGGCCGGCGAGATAGGCGTGCGGGCGGTGGTTGAGCTGGGGAGCGAGCTGGTCGGAGAGCTCAGATGAGACGAAGACGTACGCCCTGTCGCGGAGGTATTTCAGCTGAGCGGCTATGCGCTTCAGTTCGTGCGGGAGCGGGTCATCCTCCTTGCGTGCGGTCGTGAGGACGCTCGAGTCGACGATGATGGGAACAGGGCCGGTTTCGAGGACACGCACATCGAGACCGCCGGGGAGGACGTGCACATCCTCGGGCAGTGCGGCACGAGGACCAATGACGGCGTCAACGGCGGGAAGGCCGGCCACCTCGCCGCTGATGGACCAGGTGCGTACATTACCGCACGTAGTCAGCAGAGCGCCGGGAGAAGTGAGGAGGACGGCCTCGTTGCCGTCCGCGTAGACTTGGGCGAGGGGGACGGCCCAGCTCGCGATCGGGTCTGGAGGTCAGCTCAGCCAACGATCGTTTTAGCTTCCTTTGTGAGTGGACTCACAGTCGTCGCTCGCCACGATCAGCACAACGCCGACGGGCACGTCTCTAGCTCCGCGCTCAAAGATGTCCCGCAGCTCGCGGCGGCGCTTTGTCTCGCCCGCCGGGTCGGGCATGCTCCCCAGCAGCGTCGAAATGCGACCGAGCACGGCGCCGAGTTCAGCGAGGTACTCTTCGCCCAAGCTGGGGGCTGCCTTTTGTAGCGATCCTGGAGTAAGCTATAGACCCGTTCTACGTAGCTTACTGAAGAGTTTAGTCAGGCGCTTTTCGCGCACGACGAGGTCGAGCGGATCTGAGGCCACGTATGAGACGCGCGCCTCCGCGACGAGCGCGTCGAGAGTTGACATGGTTGGTGAAGGGTTAGTGATGGTAAGTGTGAGAATGGGGGTGGAAACGACAATGCACAAACTCCGCTTATGTACACTGCTGCCGGATGGGAAGGATGGCGCACCCGGGAATGTCGAAGCGAATGTCGATGCGGTCATGCGTTCAGATGAGAAGACGCCCCGTTCTCACGCCCCCGTCTGCGTCCAAGAACACATCGAGGATCTTGTGCCTGCGCCGACCGGGATCGGAGCCGTACCGGTCCGGCTCGCAGATCTCCTCGTTAGCAAGCCGAACGCACTTGTGCACTACGATCACTGAGATGAGTGCTTGAGAGGGAAGCCCACGTTCGTCATTCTGCAACACCAGCTAGCCTTAGTCTTAGACGCCTCCACCGCCCCCGGCCGACTCCGAAGGCACCCATGCCAAGCGGGGGCGTTGTCCAGAACCCACCCCGTCTCTCGCCATTCCGTTTGTTCAACCCCGCGCCTCCTCGACGCCTCCCCGAACTCCGAAACATCATATCTTCCTTGCTTTCTGTCCGCTGGGCGGTGAACTCATGCCAGCGGTGCACATTCTTGACGGCTTCGGCGCTCCCAAGCCCGCCGCCGCTACGCCGCAGTCATCAGCTTACGAGCTCCGCCTCGTTATATCAGTCGGTAGATAGTGTGACTCTTACGCAACAACGCCGATTGATCACACAGTCATGGGTTCGAGCCCCATACGAGGCTCATTTTTGGCCCCTTGGAGGGGGAAGAGGACGTCGGCGGCGCCATGGCGTTGGAGAGAGGATTTGTGGCTTGACCAGAACGTGGGCGGCGCCGGAGACGGATTCAGGAACGGAAGTGGAGGGTGCACGGTGTTGACCGGAGACGGGCGTCAGGCTTCATCAGATGGTCTGTTAGGAGCCTCTCAAGCATCTAAAAGACAGCGCTGAACTTGATTAGAGGAGTGGATGCAGAGCTGGTATTCCATTGCCTGATGACGAGACAGAGCGTCGATCCTGATCGGTGAACCGGTCTCACCTTGACATCACGCAGTTTGGAGCTGATGCGCCTTCCGTTTCCCTCCAAATGTCCCGTCGCTCTGCTGCCGACCCTGCATTCTTGGCATCTACAACTAACGGAGCTCACCGCGAGACCTTCTATGGTTGAGGAGGGACCGCGGGCACCGCTTGAAGGTGTGATTGCCTGTGGCTTGCGCGTCCCACTCTAACGGGAGGCTTCTGCAGCTCCTCTCTCCACGCCTCTTCTGTACGGCAATCCCCACCTGCAAAGTCCCTCAACGATGAGTCCAAGAAGCATGTTCGAAGCTTGATGGCCCTCCAAACCGCCTCGCATTGGACGTGCAGACACCCCGAGTCGTCAGGGTTCTCCCCACCCCAGACCCTGCGCTCGCCATCTCCGCCCCGCTCCAGCCAGTCAGACTTCCTCTTCCTCCAAAAAAGCGAACCAGGCGCCGTCGCCGACTCCTGGTTGCTCTGCTGTATGCCCCCAAGCGGGATTGAACCACTGACCTTTCCTTAAGAGCTGTAGACCTCTCTCTCCGAAGAGGAGGAAGAGGAACAACTACGAGAGGAACGCACTGCCACTGTGCTATGCGGGCGGATGCTAGATCTCCGACGCGCGTACTGAAGTAGGGGGCGAAACGGTTCATGCATGCCAGACATGTGTGCATGTGTACATCGACGCCTGTGGAAAGTATGCAGAGAAAACGGGCAGCCGGAAGGAACGAGTGGGAGACGCAGATTGGGCGCCAGGCGAGTCTGCCACCTGTGAATACAGGGCGCAGCGGCTTTAAGTCGCTCCAAGCAAAAACGGGGGCGAAGTCGCCGATCACACACACACAAGTCTGACCTCGGCCACATGCATCAATGTGGCTACCTGCATCACGTCATCATCTCTGCACAAGGTTTCTGCACCATTTCGACGTGAAAAGAGCTGGAGATCAGTGCAAAAAGCTCTCAGAGTAGCGGACGAGCCGCTGAGCAAGAAGATAACGACGCCTGTGAGATTCGAACTCACGCGGGAAAATCCCAACCGCTGTCTAGCTCGATAGCAAGCGATCACCTTAAAACCACTCGGTCAAAGCGCCTCCAAATGTCTGTTTTGACGGGGCAGAGAACGCGGGAACATCCTCGTCGAGGATGAGAGTCGAAGAACATGAGTCAGCTGTCGAAAAAGAAATTATCCAAAATAATCATCGAGTGCCACATGGGGCGCAAGTTGTGTGGGTGGAGGTCGTGTGGATCGTGCCTCGGCCGAGGGCGGGGATCACGAGAGCAGGCAAAAAGTCGGCGGGATGCGAGTGGTTGTGACACTGTAGGCGGCTCGGCAAGTGCGCTGAGGACGGGCAGAGTTGCATGAGTTGGTGTCCAGCGCTCGGGGATATGCGAATGTGATGGCGGAGTGTGAGGATGACTCGTCGACGAGCGAAGATCGATGATGGGCAATGTGGAGACGTCAGAGTCCCAGGCTACACACTTGCGTATCTGTACGTGCATATGGAACAATAGGCGATGCTACAAGAGTATGAGTACGAGTGCGGTGGATTTGCTTCCGCTCTTTGTGGCTAGGCTTCGTCAGTCATGGTGGTGTCAAGTAGAAAGTGACGGGTACCAGACTTGAGATCGAGGACTGGAGAAGGGAAACTATTTCGTGTTGATATGCATAAGAGAAGAGTGGTTCTATGTCGCTACGGGCTCTCTTCAAGCGAGTTGCGGCGGCTGACAGAGTCCATGATGGCTAACAGTTAACATCACTTTTATGGAGCTGCATCGACGGGGACTGAAAGGGGCGAGCCCCTTGGGGCTCGGAGGAAAACACTTGCCATATGCAGAGGGGACGTCCGATTATCTGTTAGGTCTCCTAGGTTCCCAGGCGGAGCACACTGCCTGTTCATACAGTATTCTCTCTGTGCGCTCGACCTCTGAACACACAGCTGTATATTCTGCAGCCTGCTCCCTCCGACCAGCGGCCTGGCAATCCCGCTCCATCTACACAACGATGCCCCGTCACAGCTTCCTCGCACCTTCGCGCACTCCTCACTCCCCCAATGCGTCAACCAACACACGACGGGCTGTGCGCACACCTCCCAGCGAGTGCACACCAAGCCGGGTGCCCTTTTCGCTGAACGCTTCACACGTCGTTCAACTGCTGCCTTCTTTCTTCCATCCACTTCTTCCCTTCCATCATGGACATCGAGATTCTCCACTCACCAACCCCGGTCTCAGAGATGAGGACCTCTGTTACAGAGCCTCCTTCGCCTTTGACTTCCTCTTCAGAGTAGGTATCGATCCCAATGGTGACTGACCCCGCAGGGACGAAGAAGCTGGCGTTCGCCACCCTGTCCGACCTGAGCGGATTGACAGTCATTCGGCGGGCAGCACGACTCTACCTGCGCCAAGTGCCAGCCCCACTCTTGCGGAAGAGCGCAGCGCGGCGGGCACGCTCGTCGCCATTGGATATCAGACGTACGCGTATGAGAAGCTCTTGGAAGCACAACGCGTGAGTACAGCTTTCTTGCTTTTTTCTCTAGCTGACTGTCAGATTCGTGAGGAAAACGCTGAAGTTGTTCTGCCGACCTTCGACGACACTGCCTTAGCATTGTACACGTCTCACAGGGAGGATCTTCCGCCCCGCCAGCTGTACTATCCTGAAGAGAACTACGCCGCGTCTCGCCATCACGATGGTCGTCATGGTGTGTACACCCATCACGATGACGATTATGGTGCGTCCGCGCGTCACGACCGCGGCACCTACAGTGAGGGCTCTTCGAGGACTGTACCATATGAGGTCTGGGATAAGCGGGACCGCTCTCAATTCCCCCAACTCGCCCCTCTGCCTGAGTCTCACTCGCACAATGACGGCCAGTATCGATACTCATCCCCGCCGCCACGTCGCGACCCTTTCCACCTCCGCGGGGACACTTACAGCGACGGCCGACGGTCCGCCAAGCTTGCACCACTGCCATCCCTTCCACAGCTGGGCCCGATGCCCTCCTTCGTGCAGCCCAAGCAGTCCAGGCACGACCGTGAACCTTGTCACACTTATAAGCGACACGAGGACCAGTGGCGCGAGCGGCGCCGCGACCGCGCGGCTCCTTATCCTCTTCCCAACTACCCCGCCTATCGCTCTGACAACGAAGCCGGGCACTACGTTGACCATCGTCATCAGCAGAATTACGAGCACCAGCCTCCACTTCAACCCCCGAACTGGCCGCCTCCGGAAGAGTATCACGCCCCGGGCACTGCTTCGCACCATCACACGATGCCTGCCCCCAACGCTCACGCTACTGAGTACGGCCAGCCCGCGCAGCAGTATTTCCAGCAGCAGATCGAGAATATCCACCCCGCACTCCTGCCGCCCAACATGCCCGCCGCCGCTCCATCCAAGCGCGGCCGGTCCTGGAAGATCCCGCCCGCTCCTACTCGTGGAAAGGCGCCTGCGCGCGGCAAGGGAGCTACTCGGGGCAAGGCGCCGACCCGCAAGAACCCGCCCCGTGGCAAGGGAAAGCAGAAGGAGACCACTCCACAGCCAGAGCCAGAGCGTCCTGTCAGGTCGCCATCTGTCACTGAGATCCCGGACTCGCCGGCGGCGGAGGCTGTTGAGGCACCGAAGCAGGTTGCAGCGACCAAGGGCAACGTGGACACCGTTGGAGAGGGGACGGATGCGGGTGACGATGGTCAGGTGGATGATGTTGTCATCGCCATGAGTTCCACTGAGGGTAAGACGGGACAGGAGGCTTCAGGGAAGAATGGTCCGGAGCCGGACGCTGCAGAGTATTCTGTCGAGGGTAAGACAGACGGTAGGGCGAGTATGACGGAAAGCACCGACGTCGTCGCCTCTCCAACCCCACAGTCGATGTGGTAAATCAAGAGCTGGAGTGAGCCAAAGCGAATGAGGCTCGGCGGCTAGCGCCGCCTCTGCCCACGTCCATGGCGTGGAGAGGCCCGGTGGACTTGTCGGCCGATGTGGACGAGTAGATGACCATCAGAACGTCAATGAGGTGAAAGTGGGTCGGAGTGGTGTATAGCGATGGTGTGCATAGCACAATAGGTTAGTAACGTCAATGCTGATGCACACTGTCTCCTTAAGTCCTTCACATCAGACTTCTTCCATCACAATGCGACCACTCAAAGCTTAGCCTTGTCCTCAATCTCGTCGTAGAACGTGAGCTCGGTCTGCTTGGCGCAGAGAGGGTGGACCTTCTTTCCGAACACCTTGAAGTGCTAGTTGTCAGTGTTGCCCAGAGAAACCGCCGATGGAAGCAACTCACGGGGTTCGCGGCGTGGGTCTGGATCGCCTGGGCGTTCTCGTAGCGCTCGACGGCTACGAAGGATCCCTTCGCATCCTTCTTGCCCGAGAGAACGTGCCAGCCAAGCGTGCCGGGGTCCTTGCGGTAGATCGGCGCCGCCTCCGCAAGAGCGTCACGGAGCTCGTTCTCCTTTCCCTGTAGATTGTCAGACACTAGTCCTCCATGTCTCCGTAACCTCCACCGGCTCATTCCTATACCGTCCAATGAGGGCACGGCAAGCATGAGTCGAAGAGCGAGCTACTCACAGGCTTAGGGGTGAACTTGGCGATGATAGTGATGCCCATTGTGACTTGTTCGATGGAGAGAGATGCTCCCCAGCGCCGAGATTTAATGTCGATCCAAGCCCACCGCCGGTTACATAGCCGGGGTAGCTCGGTCGGGCAACGCCGACGGCCAGATTGGTTCCGCGCCCTTCGCTGATGGTGGTGCGGCCGTTGCAGCCCGTCACCGACGGCCAATGCATGCATCTTTGCTCTTCCTCAGTCAGCGGGCGCCTGTTCCGTCATTCATTTAAAGCTGGACATGCATAGAGTGGGTTGGTGTACGTTGTTGATATCCTGTGGGGGGCGATGCGCGTTGACTCTCCGACCGGATACCCGGCGACTTCCATTAATGGGTCGGCAACTAACAGCAATCAGATACAGTCGCTTTCAGCACCGCCATGCATACAATCGCAGGGGTACGAGGTACCGTGGATGAGCTGGGCGACTTCGTGCTATGAGGGTAGACAAGGTCAACGTATTCGACAGACCGTTTATAGGGTGCAGTTTTTGGACAACGAGGAGCGAGAAGACAACAGTATGGGGTACGAGCCTTTGCACTCATTTCGATGTCACACTTGCGAGGCGAGCTGGGGAGACGGTAGTCTGAACTCTACCGTCTGGATTCGGTGGCCATAGGCCCAGCAGCTCACCAGGTTCATAAATCCAATTATTATTCATCAGGAGACGGGCGAAGAAAGGGACGGACGGCTTCTGCGCGCACCACGACGTTCCTTTTCTGACGAGGTCGTCAACGACACTACCGACTTTCTGCATCTGGCACTCGAAGGGGAAATTTGACGCAGCGGGCCAAAAACCCCAACCGAGTTTGGCATGAGGGCATAGAGCAATGAGTGCAATGAGTGCAATGTGCAGTACTAACGGTACTGCAGTGTCAGGTACCGACACCCTGGTCATGTGTGCGTCTAGCGTGGATTACGTCAGCGGTCATGTCACGCGGCTGATTCGGGTGGTGTGGTGATGGGGCTGCGCCCATGTGCCAGGTCGGGTTAGCACATGCTTGCTTTATTGATCCGCCGTGGGACAATGTCATCCTCAGCATGTCCCACGGGGACCCCTCTCACGCTCTGAAGCCGGAAACAGATTGTTAGCTGGCACACTCCGAGAGCGGCACACCGCTGCGCACCTAGTGAGGCACAAGGCTTCGTATTTCTAGGCAGCCGCGCGGCACTCTGGGCACCACCTCCAGGTCAACTTCGAGGCTACACTTGTGGCCCAGTAAAGTACGCATATAAACCCGCGGCGCCGCGATTCTCTCATCATCCATTAATCGGAACACCACAACCACCCATGCGTATCACTTGCTCTTTCCCGAAGAACGACACCGTCAAAGCGGCTTGTTGCTACAATGACTCTATACCAAACCAACTGTCTCAGTTCAACCTTACGCAGGACATAGCCTCGTTCTGTGTAGTGAACGACGATCTCGATTACGTCGTCAACTGTGTGGCCGAGCACGATATTAGCATAGACGAATGCCATATCGAGGGCGTCCAGGCCGCCAGCACGACCGGCGACAAAGATTCTTCTTGGGCGCCTGCGCCGTCTCGTCCCAAACGTCTGGGACTACTCGTGACCTCTCTCTTGGGTCTCACCCTGCTGATGGGTGTCTCAGCTGCCGATTCGAACTTCACAATCTGCAAAACATTCACCGCCAGTGATACAGCCGACTGGGACTTCAACGCTCGCACGGAAGCGAAGTTGCTGAGCTCCTCGTACACCGACTGTCGCGGTTCGCATCAGACATGCTCAGTCACGGATGACGTCCCTGTATCTTGGAGCGTCGCTTGGTCAAGTCCTCCGGGGGTAGAGGTGCGCGCTGATGTTCACCCTCTGATCAACATGATCCAGGAGGCAAACGATACGCAGAAGTATGGCGAGAACGTCAGCTGGCCGGAAATCCCGAATCACAAGGTTTGGATGTTCCCTCACACTGCTGTAGTCGCTATGGAGGGATCTGCGGCCGCGACTCGGGTTCCGGGAACTTTCAGCGACTGTGACAACAAGAATACGTACCAGGGGTCGGCCCTGGTTCCCCGCGCCGATGACTTTTGGGCCAAAGCCGTACAGGATATATAGGTGATGCATTCAGGAAGTTGATATAATGCAAGCTATGAATGACTTCAATCTGTACGCATTCAATTGCTGTTGCTGTTCCCGCCAGGACCCTAGTGGTGATGGTTTGCTTGCGAGCGAGTCAGGATTACCTTGCTTCAAGGAGAGGCACCTCCGCCAGGCCGAGCGGTTCTGTCGAAGCGCGCCACCCTCGTGCCCTTCCGGTGCCTCTATTGTCCTTGCCCTCCGTCGGAAGCGTGCCTCCAGACCTTTCGTCCCCGCGGCTTCTCACTGATGACTTGAGTAATGGGTGGACCCAGAATGAGAACTCGGCGAGTTACTCGGTGACTATCGCGTGCTAGGGCGCGGCATCTAGCTCGGTCACTTCCCAGGAATCCGATTGATAATAACGGCAGCGCTGCTGCGCCTCTGGCTTATGCACAGCCTCTGATAGTGGAGCACCAAGTCGCACGTTCCAACATGGGCAGAGCCCCTGAACAGCTACTCTTGTGCATCGGTTGCTATCGTAGACCTGGGTCCCCTGAGAGATACTGGGTGATCTTCCTCGCATGCACGGCAGCTTGGGTAGTATGCATCATTCGTATTGTTTACCGTTTCATTCCGCAGCCGCTCAGGCCCAGAGACCGGAGATACCGACCCTACTCGGATGTTTGATGTACTTCAGGCTTCACCCCGACGCAAAGGGCAGTGGGGCGACCCTACGCAATCCTTCAGTCAGCCGCAGTAATCCTACTGCAATTCGTGCCGGTGGCATGTGACTAGCCAACCTTAACCAAACGTTGTTGCCTGACCCAACAGAAGCGGCGCCTTTACCCACATGTACGCCCTTGCTTCGGCAAGAAAGACATGTGACCATGCATATGAACCCCGAGGTACCTTGTGATCAGGTTGCTCACCTCCTGGTCGCTCTCCACGACATCTTTGCGTATTACTGCCGTAACGCGTGGAGCCTCACACACTATCGCACACACATGACAGCTGTCGTGCCTGACTAAACAACACGAGGTTGGGTCCTGGGACGTGACCCAGTTGCACTTAGCGCATCTGATTAACCCATCAGGTCATGTGCTTGGGGAATCACGGCGGCCGTCTTGAGGTCCACAGGCGCATGCCACCGAGACGTATCAGGCAGCTGCCGAGTTGCGACCTCACGCCTCATCATGTCCTTTTCATGGGGCTCCCATTGCGTATCATATTCTACAAAAGTTACGTAGAGAGGAAAGCTTGGGCTACGCAGGGCCCTGAACAGCCTTGTACCAGAACTGGTCCGCGCGGGGAAGTAACACAGATCCGGGATAGGCCTGCTCGTTGTCGCAGTCGCTGAATGTTCCTGGAATACGCGTGGCCGATGCCTGGCCCTTCACGTTTACAACGGCCCCCGGAGGGACCGCCCATTGTTCATGCTCGGGGACCTTTGGAAACTCGACCGCTTCGCCGTAGACCTTGTGGTCCAACTCGTTAGCTTTCGAAACTATAGCCTTGAAATCGGCATGCACTTCGACGCCAGGAGGAGCAAACCACTCAGCCTTCCAGGTTGGGCGCATCTCGTCATCGGCTTTCAAGCTGCAACGTGAAGAGCCACGGCAATCGGCGGCACCCTGATAAAGAGGTGACAGAGATGTGCGGGCGTTCACGTCCCAGTCGGATTTGGACTCGGAGTTGACCTTGAAAGTCTTGCAGACGGTGGAGTTCGACGCAGGGGCGGCCGAAACGCCGGCGAGCAGGCTGAGCCCAAGGAGAGTAAGACAGAGCATTCCCAGGCGAGTGGGAGGGGATGAAGCGGAAGCGTACGACTTCTTGGCTGCGGTCGCAGTGTTAATGCCGTCAACTCGGCATTCATCGACGGTGATCGAATGATCGGCGAGACAACCGATGAGGTAATCCAACTTGTCCACCGCGCAATACGTCGCCTGGTCTTGCTTCAACGTGAAGCTGGAAAGTTGCTCGGGTTTGGGTCCGTACTTGCAGCATTCCGCTTCGACAGTGTTGTTCTTGGGGAAGGAGCAAGTGAAGATCATCTTGACTGCGGGTGTAGTGAGGATGAAGCGGGTGGGGATGGGATTTGCGTCTCATCTTATACCATGCTGCGGAGCATGACTAGCCTGCTTTCGAGCTCGCTAGTTCTCTGTCAACACCTAGCACTGAATAGCGTTCTGCCTAGTTGTCGTAATAGTGCTAGCTGAAGTTAGCTGCAATCGCAGCGCTTGAACCTGCACGCGATAAAGACGAGACATAGGGCTGTTTCCCGAGAATTTTGGTGATTTTATCATTCCTCGGCCCACTGGCGATGAGCAGAGCAAGGAAGAGAGTACAGCTAAGTGATAGCGGAATTCTCCGAGGCATCTGCTGTGGACTAAGCGAGAGTCCATCCCGGTCACCGACGAGTGAGGTTGCACCCTCCACCTCAGGCTCACCTCAGCCTGGGGAACCAATGCTATCCCTCCTGTGCCTCCCTTCGCCATTGTTACAGACGTGTTACTTCCAAAGTGCGCCAGCATCAGACTGACACGAGCATGCCGTCAACTATCATGTTGGCCGGCGCGTGGGCGCACGTGAGGGTGCCTCCACCACGTCATAATCTCGGGTACTGAATTGCGTTAGACTGCCAGTGGCAGCAGATGATCTGCAGCATTCCCAGCGGAGCTGCGTATAGGAGCTTTCTCATCGGGTTGCCCCACGATCATGCCAGCCGTCGGAGTGGTGGTGTTACGGAGGCACACTCTGCCATCTGAGGTGAACGGAATGATACTTAAGAAGAGGGAGCGCACACCATGGACGCCCCACCACAAATCATCACTGCAAGACCCAGCAACAGATATCGACCCCAGCATGCTTTCGCTCGTTCTCTTCGCCAATCTAGCTGCGGCCGTACCTTTGCCTCAGTCTGAGACCCAGAGCGTCGCCGGAACTACCCCGTACCAGGGCACCTGCAAGAGCTTCGAGTGGGACCCGAAGCCGACATGGGAGGACGGCCACCTGGGGAGCATCCCCGTTTCAAAGCGGATGGATTGCCGGCAGAGTGCCCAGCCCTGCTCCATCAACCACGCGGACGAGGACACCAAGCGCCCCACTGAGTGGTCCTCCTCAGCCAAACTCTCTGACGAGGGCAAGGCTGCAGTCGACAAGGCCGTCGGCGGCGGCGAGCTGCCACCCAAGCCGGCGGGTGGCGGCTTCGAAGGTGCCAGCTACTCGCTCTCCGTCGACCCGGGCCAGATTGGCTACCTCTCGTACAACCCCGCTGCTGTCGTCGTCCACGGTATCTTTAAGGGCTGCGAGGACGGGAAAGACCATGATGGAACTATCCTCTTCCCCACTGGTAAGGGCTCTTTCGGTATCGTAACCGTCGGCTCCCCTTGAGACCGCGACGAACTTGTAGCGCTTTTTTGTAACGTATGGAGAATGATGAAGTCTCCTGTTCTTCGGACGCCACCAGCTGCGGGTAAGGAGAATGCTGCCGGGGTCGTTGTGACATGTAATCGTGAGGCATGGTGTGCGTCGTCTTTGGCTGTGGATCGACCGTCAACATCAAAACGTACCGCACAGTACATGGGGAGCGACAACTCCCCTCCGGCTGCCACTGTTGCCGGCACTAGGCGTCCAGTTGCACTCAGCGCCGTCCCCTACCCTACCCCTGCCTGCGCCAATGCAAGCGGACTGTAACGGCGCCGCACCATCTCTTTAGCGGGTATGCCAAGCGTCAACCCCTGCCCGAAATGGAACCACGTGTAGCCATGCAGTCTAGCGGATGTGCTAACGCTGCGATCGGGTTCGAGCGTCGGGACACTGGTGTGTTCGGGCTGTGATGCCTTGCGTCAAGGCATTAGTGACGGTACTTTGGGATGGTGTGGTCACCATTGAAAGCTACTGACCATGGCCCGCTCCTGCGGCATGCCGTCGGAACTGCGGCGCTACATGGGGCCATGTGCAGCCATACTGCACGAAGCCCGATTGTGGCATAATGCCTCCAAGAGCCAGTATTATTCACGAAATCGCGCCAGACGAGCGTTTCATCAGTCACACTGTCGCCGCTGTTGTCGCCAACTGACGGTGCTCGTGAGCTCTGACCCCGCTTCGACCGCGAAAGTGGCGGAGACCACGGCTAAACTGGCAGAACAGACGTCTGGACGATGTCTGCCCCTTTTCTCGACGGAGCACGCCACACTGTACGCATGCCTCGTCTTTCCCACCCGTTCCATGCCTTGTCCGCGGGAATTCAGTGCTCAATGCGCAGAACGAAGCAGGCATAGCACTCCTTTGACGCAGTACTCCCTCGTTCCAAGCTACGGCGCGCTGTCTACCCGGCAGCCCCGCATACCCAGACACCAAACATTATAAGCCACTGCCGTGTTCCCCTGCTTTGCCCCCGCCTCTCTCCATCTCACCCCCCATATCCCAACAACCCCCAATGCCCACAGCCAAAGACGCCCTCTTCGGGCTCGCCTCCCTCCTAACTCTAGGCCACTTCATAACCTCCTCCATCATCGCCGCCGACGCCATAAACGCCCGGGACAAGTGGCAGCTCGAGGCCCACGGACACGTCCGTCGCGACCTCATCAGCTCGGCGCTAGGGTCGTTGGGTTCGTCGACAGCGAGCGCGGGACCGAAGCCAAGCGATGCGCAGATCGGTACGTTCTCCCAAAGTTCATCGCTGACAGATCAAGCGGCGCAACTGCCCATCTTCCACAGCGGCCTGTTCCGCGCGCTCGTGAATGGGCTGGCGTGGCTGTACTTTGTTTTCCAGTGAGACTCTACTTCGGGGGCCAAGTTGGAGGGGCGGAAGAGACTAACGGACAGCCTGGTTATTCGCAAGACGGCCCCGGCGTCCAGGATCCTCGCGCTCGGGGGCGACTTTGCCTGGCTCGTCGTGTGGACTGTGCTCATCGTCGTCGCGCAGGCTTGGCACTGGCCCCGTCCTACGCCTAAGCGCGGGGTTGAGCTTGCCGATTTGATTCTGTGGGCGGTGCAGCTGGCTTCGGTGAGTCCCACACTGTTCCTTCTTCACAGGAGCATCAGCCAAGTGAGAAGAGGAGGGGAGCGGCGAGGAGGGGTAAATAGTTGGAGAGTTGGAGTGTCGGAGTGGAAAGTCGGATGGAAATGAGAAGACACCAGCTGACACCCAGTACACGCTCGTCTTCCTCTGGCTCCTGAGGGTGCTCGCCAAGGGTGTGCGTCGGTTCGGTCTCCGTGCGCTTGGCAAGTCGGAGCACGCCATCTTGCACCCGGAGGAGGAACAGCCCAAGCTGTTCGAGGGCACTGCTTGAGCAATAAATGCCCCTCTCTGGTCCGCGTCACAGATTCATCGGGCCCCCCTTCGTTCAGTACTGTAACCTCCGTATAGTTTCACGCCACCTATCCTTGATGTCAGCGATGCATTAATGTGTCAGTCCGTCGTGGGCCATATGATACATGAGTTTCTCTGTACAACCTCTCTCTGCCCCCCCTCTTGCTCCCCGTCTCCGCCTCCGATCTCCAATGTGATACCCACTCAGACGCCTAGAACCCCCTAGAACCCATTCATGGGCACGAACAGCTGACTGAACTCCGTCCCATCCAGCGCCGTCGCCGTCGGCGGCGCGACATTCTCGACACTCGGCCAGAAGGCGCTAAGCCACATATCAAAGTCTGGGGCGATATCGCCCTCGATCGCGGGTGTCGGGATCGTAACGGGCGGCGCTGCCTCGTGCAGCCTATTCGTGCGGCCGAGCATGGCGTCGACCTCATCGTTCTCCACTGGTCCTGTGCTGCCGTCCGCCGAGCTGCTGCCGTTGGGCCCGTTCCAGCGCGCCATGAGGCGGTTCGTTGCCTGCGCCGCCAGTTTTTGGCCACGCGAGCACAGCACGCGATACCAGTCACAAGGGGTTTTGGTCGTCGTTGCCTCGAGAAGCGTGACGCCGCGCATGAGGTGGTGGTGGCATTCATTCGCGAGTCGGCTGTGCGGGGAGCGGCACACGAAGGCGGCGAGGGGCACGAGGGAGGAGTACAGATCGAGGACGACGACGGAGTGCCGCGATACCTTGGGCACCTTTTCGAGCACGTACGCTGCAATGTCGATGACGTTTACGCACGCCTCGTTGATGACGACGAGCACGGAGGCGACCTGCGGCGACTCGAGGGGCTCGTCAGGGCTGTCCTTGAGTGCCTGCGAGAAGCCTGCGCGGTGGAGGTGGAGCATGCCCGTGTTGTGGTGGAGCGACAGGCGGATCTGTTCCAGCAGTGCGCGATCGGTCGCCGGTTCAGAGGGGATCTCGCTCCGTCTCGATGAGAGGGGCACAGCGTCCATGTCGGAGTACACTGTGACACCGGGGAACTTGAGCGCCTTGGGAAGCCGGTGCCAGAACTCGCGCACGGCGCGGTCGCCCAGCTTCAGGCGGCTATCGTCTTCGCTGTTGATGTACTCGGTCAACAGGCGGTGGAGGATGTCGTCCCACTCCCAGCGCCAGCAGAGGTAGGAGGAGTTTGGCTCGTCGCTGGGTCGGAGGGTGTCGAACTGATGCGGCTGGATCGAGGGCGGACATCCGAACCGATTCGACTGGGCGTTAGCGCCGAAATGGATCTAGGATTGACTCACGTTGATACGCTCCAGCGTCAGGAGCTCCCACCACACGCGCCGGCGCGCGTTCACCTCGCGTTCGGGCAGCTTCCACCACGCGCCGTCGCGGTGGAATCCGGCCAGAATCGCAAGACGCAGGGCAAGTCCGACAACAGCGTACAGCTCCTCTGTTCGGCGCGAGCCCGCGTTCAGCGTGAACGAGTAGTGCAGATGAAGAGTCGCCCTGGGTGTCAGCTGCAATCTCACCTTCGAACAGCTCTAAATCATTCCCCATCTACTTACAGACTAGCGACGCTCGTGTTGGTGAGGAAATCGGCGGCACCGAGACAAGCGAGGGAGAGGCGGTTGAATGTGTGTGCTTTTTCCGAGTATGGGCTCTCCCTCTCGTCGAAGAGGCTTCCGACAGCGCTGACGGCGAAGACGAGCGCGAGCTGCGCGGCGTCGTTGCGGTGCAGCGTCTGCCTGCTATGCCCATAGACATCGAGCAGGACGACGTCGAGATAGCTCCTGCTAACGGGGATGAATCGCCAGCAAGTAGCCTCCCAGTACACCTCTAGCAGCGTCTGCATCTCCTCATAAGTCGGAAGAGCGGCGCGTGCTTCGGCGAGGAAAGCAGCTCGATCCTGTAGGAAGAACGGGAAGGTCGTACCCGCCCCAGCGGCGGCGGAGGGTTTGCTCTCCTCGTCCCCTTCGTCGGGGAGGACGTGCGCTGCGGCGGTCGGAGGGTAGAAACGGGAACGCCCGCCGTGACTGATCGAGAGCTGGCCGACGGTAACGGTGCCCTCGGCCACGTCTTGGGGTGAGCACGATGTCGGTGGCGGCATCGGCTTCGTGCCCGCTGGCGAGGACTGGGCGAGCGCCAGCTGCCGCTTGAGGGAGGCAATCTCCTCACGCAGTTCGCGTACCGACGTGCGGGCGGCGACGATGCCCTCGGGGCACAGACTGGCACATCCTGCGGTCAGCTATGACGAGGAACCCGGTAGCGGAGGGGGTGGAATGGCCACGCATAATGACCCACTCGCTGCCCGCTGCGGGCAACGCGAGTCCGACGGCGCCGAGCGAGGACGGCCACCGTGCGATCGTGTGCAAGGGACATCGCTATCAGTATGCCTATCGCATGCGGCGATGTCTGTCTCGCACCGACGTCGGTGATGCATCAGGCATTCCGGTTTGGCCTCTGTGTCTGCGCCTCACGCACGCTCCACAATGCCACGACACGGTGCATCTGGTTGCAGAGGGAGATGTGACACGGTGTTGCGTGTTTGTCCAGTCCGAACCGGGAAACTGATTACTCACCTCGGCGAACGCACTGCTTGCACGGCCAGTCCTCTGCTCCACCTTGGCTTGTCAGCCCCTGAACAGCATAGGAAACTTACTCTTATCGCGATCACGCTCGCAGCGGAGCTTGGAGCGCTTGCACTCTGCGCACGACACGGATGGCCGGCCAATCTTCTTGGGCATTGTCGTTGCGGATGGTGGATGTGTCGGTGTTGCAGTGGAGTACGAGCGGTGGCCAAGTGTTCGCGAGGAAGTATAGCTGGACTGCAAGCGAACGCGAGGTCCCCCTTGCCTTGCCCAGCCTACCACGCGGGGCCCGGCAGGACAGCCTAGGCTGCACCAAAGCGAGCAAGGGCACAGGAGCAGAGGGCGGAGATGGCCGGGTACTCGAACGGGTTATCCGACAGGAACCGGTTATAGTCACCTTCCTGCACGTGACTTGGACCTTGCGATGAATTCTGAGGGCGGCGCACACTTCCGCATCCATCCTCAATCTCATCGATAAGAGATCGATAGTGACTACGTCGAAGTCTACTACGCGCTTACAACGACTTGCTAACAACGGCTAGGCGGATCAAAGTGGACAGGACCAACTTCGAACCGATTCAAACACGAAGCGGACTAACGACGGTACCAGTCACATGGCTCTCGCAAGCTCGAGACGATCGGCCGCCGGGACTAGCTTGGCAGTGATACAGTTTGTGCTCAGTGTCGTTTTGTCGTTCGGTCTGACCTAAGCAACAGCAATCGAGACACATTGTACATTGTGATACTGAGCTTATTCTACTGATCTGGAATACTTCTTGGACCCTACTGATCCCCACACATTTCATCTCCGGCTTCACGGAGCTATCGGTGCTCACGCATGTGATAGACAACCAGTCCCACCAGCAGCACAAGATATCCAATGAGGAACCAGCACAGGGCGAGCACATCGCCATAGTACTTGCCCAGCTCATACCCGAACAGTCGCTTCATGATGTACGCTGCATTGATCTCGATTGCGATGCCGTCCAGGTCGTCCTTGATCGGCAATCCGGCGCCCACCTCATTGACACTGATGGCTTCGAGCGCGAATCCGAGAGGCGTAATGTAGGTTGGCCAGCGGACCCAGGCCGGCACATTCTCCAGCTTTACGAAGAAGCCGGCGTACACGAAGTTGAACATGTTCCAGAGGTTCGAGGCGAGGACGGCGAGGGCGGGGTTGGAACACGCCGCGGCGAGGATGAAGTTGAACAGCGCCATGGAGACTGCGAACTGCATCACGGCGAGGTAGAATTGGGAAAAGTTGACGATCGTGGGCGTCAGACCCACCAGGGCGTAGGTCGTGCACGCCAGCAGGGAGATGGGAATGATGCGCAAGGGCACAATGTCGAAGAGCACGCGGCAGAGGAGCCAGGCTGAGGGAGAGTAGAACCCGCCCCGCTCCCTCAGGAACAGTGGCCGAGCTTCGACCAAGTTGTTGAGTGCGGAAAGGGACGAGAACGAGACGAGAGAGCAGATGAAGAACAGGCATCCGATCCTATTCCTAAACCCAGAGATGGACAGGTCGATACGGGAGAACACGCCCGAGGCGAAGAGACCGAGCACAATGCCTGCGATTACGTGGGAGACGAAGAGCGTCTTGTCTCGCATCAAGTTGGCCCACTCACGCTTACTCAGTACGTCCATCTGAGTGAGGAACGTTGTCTCGCAGCGTCCATCGGGCCACCACGCCGACTTGGGCACGCTCTGTCGCTGGCTTAGATCCACGCTCGTCTCGCCGGCGCAGAGCAGGTCCAGTTCACTCGATCCCGCGCTGCTCAGCTCAGATTCGCTCTCTTCGAGCAACCTGGCCTCCTTGCTCTTGTAGTTCAACGGCACAACTGCATCGCGACCCGTCTGGAGGGGCGGGGAGGCAGTTGCGATCTCAAGCAGGTGGTCGGCCACGTTGTAGTGCGCCGGGCAGGGGAGACCAAAGCGAGCAAAGTAGTCTGCGGGCGCATCGCCGCCGGGGCCGAAATAGAGCTGCTTGCCTCGAGACAGCAGGAGGACTTGCGAGAAGGCGTTGTACAGGGCCGAGGAGGGCTGATGGATTGAGGCGATGACGGTTGTAGGGCAAGTTTCGTCCTCCGTGATGGCCTTCAGGAGGGTGACGATGCGTGCGGCGGATACAGAGTCGAGACCCGAGGTGGGTTCGTCGAGGATAAGGACGTCGGGAGCGCTGATGAGCTCGACGCCGATACTGACTCGACGCATCTCACCGCCAGAGACGCCGCGCGTTTCACCGCTGCCGATGCGGGTGTCTGCGACGTGCTCGAGACCGAGCTGCTGCAGCACAGTTCGAACACGTTCCGCCTTGACGTGGGCGGGGATGTTCTCGGGCAGCCTGAGGTCCGCTGCGAACTGAAGCGTCTCAGCTACGGTCGCAGTGGCGCTGAGGACATCGCGCTGGTCGACGTAGGCTACCTTGATCCGTCCGCCTCCGGTGTAGGACACAGATCCCTCCACATGTCCAGCCTTGTTCTGGCCGGAGAGGATGTCTACCAGCGTCGACTTCCCCGCTCCACTAGGGCCGAGGAGACAGCAGAATCCGCCGGCAGGGATGTCCCCGCAAGAGTCGCGGAGAACGACCTTGCCTCCGTGCGGGCCCACGTTCACGTCCCTTTCGAGTTTCAGGTAGGCTGCCCCGCGGCCGCCCTTCAGCCACTCCTTGAAAGCACGAATGAAGCCGCGCTGCTCTGGAGGGACCTCGTAACCAACACCGGACCAGGAGAGTCCCACACCGGGTCGCTTCATGAAGTCGCCGTGTGTGGGGCGGCGGCGGGCTCGTTCGCGAGAGTAGATGCCGTTCACCGTCGCGATGATTACAGCGAGAATGACGCAAGCCACAGCGAGGAGGCCGGCAATCACGCCTGCGGAAGGGCCGGGAACGTTTGTGTCGAAGGAAGCGTTGTCGATTGTGCTCTGTTCGACGCACTCGCCGAAAGTGCAGTCGGAAAGCGTGAGGCCCTTCTCGCCGAAGAAGTTGGTCACAAGCTGCTGCTTGAACTGACAGTTGTCGTCGCCGCCACAGTCGACGCTAAGCGGACCGTGAAGCTTGTTGATGATGCCGAGGACTCCGGGCGAGCGGCACAGGTCGCTCTCGCCATTGCAGCGACACTCCAGGTCGGCGCAGTCCCATGTCGTGCTGTTGCCGGCGGCTCCGTCTATCTTCGATTTGGCAACGGTCTGTGTGCAGTTCTGAGCCATGCAGCTGAACTGCTCGACATTGTTGATCCAGATTTGCGCATACGCCACACCCTCTCCGCCATTCAGTCCGCCTTTCGTAAGGACCCGCTTGCCGCCGGGATGCTTCGTCGAGTTCAGGGAGCGTGTGATCGTAACGTAGGCGGGACCGGGGAAGAGCATGTTGATCGTCGGGTCGCTGAGCGAACACGTCATCTGGCCCGTTCCGTACACTGTCGGCGAGGCAGAGCAGATGAGGGTGTTGTTCAGCCCCGGGACCTGGGAGTACTTTGTGCCCCATGAGTAGCGGTTCAGCGACGTCGAGCATGCCTGGTTGCTCTGACAGACTGAGGTCAGCATGCTTCAGCTATTCAGAGGCACTTACCCGTACACGTCGGTCCCGTCCAGCCGTCGTCGCATTTGCAGTCCTTTAAGTTGCCGTCCTTCGCCTTGGGGCCGGGAACGTAGAGAGAGCCACCGCACTGAAGCGTGTCGCACTGGGAGCCGATCGATGCACCGAAACCGGCCGGACACGTGCACTCGTCACCCTCCGGAAGGCCGTAATGTGTGCACTGCCTGGCGGCGCTGGCTGTCGCCACCCACAGGGCCGCGGACGCTGCGAAGAGCGCGGGAAGGCGCATCGTGTTGAGACTTGGTCGAATCTATGAGCAGTAATGATACAGTGTAGTTGGACAGTGACTAGTATACAGGCTTGGACGTGTTCGTGGAGGTGAAAGCGGACTAGCGGCTTGGCCGGGGAAGACCATCCACGCTACGGTTAAGTAGTCTAGCGTAGTCTAGCGGGGAAGCCTCACCGCGTCCATGGTAACACACACCAACGTGTTCAATCCGATGATCGCATGCTGCTTGCTCCATTCGTTCGCGGCCGTGTGACGATGGGCTTCCCCTTATCTGAACTTTGATCGAGAGATCCGCTCCACTGAAGACACTGGAAACGGAGCTGGAACGGTGTAACAGGTTGCATTTGTGTGATGCGAGGAAGGTCGGGTGTCAGTGGAGATGAGTGTTCTTACGGGATGGGGATGGTTTCAAATTGTGATGCGACGGGGTTAGGTTGAATCTTATGACCAGGTAGTTCTGGGAGATGTCGGCGATGGTGTTGAAGTGTGCAAAGTTTACAGTCTCGGATTCAACGTCGCAGACGATGTTGCTGAGGAGGAAGACGCATGTCTCGAGGGGGAGCAGCATCGATAAGATTGGGACGGGAGGTGCTTCGACAAGGCACGCCAGCCTGGCCATCTTTACTCGTGTCAAGCTTGTTTCAGACTGAGCGTGGAATGCCACAGACCGGTGATATGCACGTGGGAGCAGTAACGCCGTTGTTGATCCGGGAATGACGCGACACGCGATCGGACGCCAAGGTGAGTGGATTGTTTTGGTGGTGGATTGGTCGTCAGGGCCGGTGGCATTTGTGAATTGTCAGCGGACTGGAATCAATGGAGGATGCCGAGAAGCAGGTCCCGCCTGCCGTGTACGCCGCCGTACGCCGTGAGTGTATGACCGTCTCCGGTGGCGTGGCGGACAGGAAGCGGTAAGCATGCATGCATGTCCAGGATCTGTACACTGTATGCCGTGTGCATGCCCTGGCAGCGCCCTACGAAAATTATTTGCCCCCGCGATGGTTGTTGTGCAAGGGCCTTGTTGACAGCCGATGGCAGCGGACGCCACTGACCTCAAATGCACCGCTCGCATCCCTCAGTCCCTGTTGGTGCCTGCTCGATCCCTCGGGTCTTCAGGGTAATGAGAAGGAACTTCGGACAGTGTGGTCGACCACCACAGCCATGCAGCCAAAAGCCACCCACCGTTGGTCGTCGTCAGTGCATGCACCCGCGAGTGGGTCTTTCGGTCTCACTTTCTCACAAAGCAGTCACCAACCTCCGTCACCATGCATGCACCGTACCTCGTCGTTGCTCATCACTCCCACAAGGCCATCATCATCAGTGCATCACTCGCCGTCGCCGACGCTGTCCTCACTAGCCTCGGCCCTCAGCCTCCAGCCCTACTCACGCGCCTGGTCACTGGCCACTGTGACCCTTAGGCTAGGACCAACTGCTGGACGCGTTCCCGCGCTCACCTTCCGCTTTGAGCTCTCTGTCTTTGCTCCGTTTCATCGCCTCCCTCCACCACCACCACCCACAACTACCCACCATACCCTCCCACCCAGCCTGCTTGGGCTAGCTCGTTCCTCCCACCCTTCAGGCCACCACCACCATCACCAACCGACATACAGCCCTATATCCTGTTCCGAACATTCAACAAAGAACGCGTCAAATCATTCATCCTCACCACTAAGCACTAAGCACGCCGCACACCACGCCTGCCTGCACCTGTCTGCACGCCGGCCTGACGCCCACGGCACGCCCAACGCCCGACGCCGTACGACAAACGAATCAACGCGCGACTTTGGTCTCGTCTCCCGGAACTGGTATTCTCCTGCCTATCCTGCTTATCCTTAGCAACCTTCCGACACCTGAGCACCCGGCCTCAGACCCCCGCCCTCTCCGCCAACCTTACCTCTCCCTCCTCCCTCTCCCTCTCCCTCTCCCTCCCTCACACACACACACACACTCCCCTACCCACTCTCACCACCGGATCGGCCAGGTTGGGTCGCATATGGCGTCTGTCATTTCGCCTTGACCTCCATCTCCTTCTCTCAACAAGTTTTGCCACCTCTGCCTCATTCTTGTCCGTCCAACTCGGCCCATTCGCTCTCTTCACCGCCCTCCCGACTCCCCCTCCCTTCCTTCCCTCCCCTTTCCCCCGCCCCTCCCACCGCCCTCACCCCGCCCATCCCCGTTCCCGC